GTGAGCATACCGATCACGGGCGGGTCTACGGGGAGGGGGGAGGGGCTTTCGGGCTGAAGCCCCCCCCCAAAATGGAAAAAAATAACCATGTTTTATGGCAAAGAAGCACTAGCGGATCCAGGATTTAATTTTGGGGAGGGCTTCAGCCCGAAACCTTTTTTTTTTCATAAAAATAACGATAATTACTTTGGAAAAACAGAAAGAAACTAACTACCTATATGAAATGGTGTTTAATTTATTCCTTAAGTACTTTTAAATGTAATTACACGAACAATAATACTTTAAGAGGTATTTTTAAAATTTTTTTCCCATAAAACATGGTTATATTTTTCCATTTGGGGGGGGGGGGAGCTTCAGCCCGAAAGCCCCCCCGTAGATCCGCTCGTGCAAAGGAAGCAATATGAATAATACATAGATGTCCGTAAGATATCAGTAAAATATGGCTGGTATCTCTAAAATACAAAATAACATTAATTATACATATATTCGGAAGATTGATTACTGAGGAGATAGAAAAATAAATGTTGTTCAAATGAGGCCAAGGATGAGGATTTGCCTATTGAGGTTGCTAGGGAATTCCAAAACAAGGTAGAATGTATGACGAAGGATTTTTTAAAGAAAACAGTTCTATATAAGGGATGTCATGTTGAACGAATGGACAGAGGAACAAGGAGTAAAGAAATAGAGAAGGTTTTTTGGTTGTAAAGTTTCGGAAAAGGAATACACCAAGAAAATATTGCCGTCGGAAAACTGGTGAGAGCCACCTCAAATCGGCATAGCAACTGCCGTTTCGAAGAAGTTCCACAAAGAGAAAAACTCCACTTTATTTATAGAAAAATAGAGAGGATTATGTTGAGAGAGTTTTTGGTTCAGAAGTAGAGGAAAAACTCTGGTAATTTTTGAAAAATCTGGATGCTGAAAGGAATCAGCTACAGAAAATGGCAGACACTATTGTTGTGGACACGCTGGGAATCCTGTATTTGCTTGAGAACAAGACAAAAAAAAAATCAGGATAATCCTGTAAAACTTTATAGCTTTTATTTTTTTCTGATCACGGACGGATTTATGGGGAGGGGGGCTTTCGGGCTGAAGTTTTAAAAAAATACCACTTAAAATATTATTGTTCGTGTAATTACATTTAAAAGGACTTAAGGAATCACTTAAACATCATTTCATATAGGTAGTTAGTTTCTTTCTGTTTTTTCAAACTAATTATCGTTATTTTTATGAAACAAAAATCTTTCGGGCTGAAGCCCCCCCAAAATTAAATCCTGGATCCGCTAGTGTTCCTAATTATTATCAATTCGACTGATTAGTGTGCGGTATCAATAAGCAACACAGTTGAGGAACCTTACAAGTCATCTTAATGGTGACGAAATTGATGACTTCAGACAATATGGTTGGAAAGTTGATAGGGGTGTAGTCAGAGAGAACACACAAATAAAAATAAAAGATTTTTACTTAGTCCCAACGTTTCGGCTTTCATTAAGGCTAAGATGAGACATGATAGCAACCAAAATTATTTAAAAAAAAAAACAAAAAAAAAATATTGCAAAAGGATATGAGAACAAAAATATTTATCTGCTTATAAATAAATTAAGGTCAATGGTTAGATTAGAATACATTTAGGTCAATTGTTATTCAAGATTCAAGTTTTAAATTTATTTAATTATTATGGACTTAAATTTTAAGCAAAAACTTATTTATTAGTACGTAATATATTTTTGTTCTTGTATCCTTTCAAAATATCTAAAAAAAATAATTTAGCCTATATAAAAAGGCGAAATGTCAGCGCAAAATAAAATCTTTTATTACTTTCATTTACCTATAAATGTAATAGTATAAATACATAGTAAGGAAAATTATTGCGATTATGAAAATTGTCTACGTAAATAAACGTTTTGAGGTTCTCTGAGTGAACAGCCTAGCTCAAAAATGAAAAGTCTTACGAAACTGATATTACTTACTATTACCTATTAAACATTTTTATATGTCTGGAATGTTACAGTAACATTTTCGTTAAAATCGGCTAACCGAGAGTGTCTCTTTACATAATCGATTTTATAGATTTTTACAATTTTTTTCGAAAACGGCTCAAGCGATTTTGATTAAACTCATTATATCAATTTATTATAAAGTGATTTTTAGTAGTCGACCTTATCCTTATTGATGTTCTTCAACTGGGCTCAAATGCCGAATTTTCAAAATTTCTTCATCTAAAGTACCTTTAATTTTGTATATTTAAAATAATTAATCATTTCACATTAGAGTTACTAATATAAAACAGATAAATACAAATTATGAACGAATTAGATAAATAACTGAAGTAGAAATAAGGGTTAGTACTCCTGGATAGAGGAATGGGATAGGAATTCTTAAAGTGGAAATAGGGGAAGGCGCCCAACATTTCCTTATCCTTCTTCACTTTAACTACTCACCTCATTATGCAGCTATTTTATTGTGATTTATTTTTAGTTTAATTGATAAAATTACTTTCTTTTACACATAATTTTTAATTTCATGCTAAATGTTGATGCTATATATCTATGACACCAATGGATCCACGATTTAATTTGTTTTTTTTTTGGGGAGGAGGCTTCAGCCCGAAAGATTTTTTTTTTTGTATGGATATATTAGAATAATTACTGCAGAAGAAAGAAATAAACTAACTATCTATATGAAATGGCACCAACGGATTCAGGATTTAATTTTTTGGGGGAGGGCTTCAGCCTTTATATATATTTTTTAAATGTTTATATTACGATAATTACTTTTGAAGAAAGAAAGAAACTAAATACCTAAATGAAATGGTGTTAAAGTGATTCTGTAAGTCCTATTAAATGTGATCAGACGAACAATAATACTTTTAGAGACAATTTTTTTCATAAAACATGGTTATATTTTACCATTATGGAGGGGGGGCCCAAAAGCTCCTCCCCCTCTCCACAAAGCTCAGAAATTTAAATAAAGATCCACTTTTACTTTAGTATGATGTTAAGATTTAACCTATTTTGACAGGATTCACTTTTACTTGTTAATAATTTAATTGATTTTTATTTATCTATTAGCAAGGAATTATTTTTAGCATTCGCCTATTTCATTTAATAATGTATTTTGAACACAGCCATAATGTTTTGTATGGCAATTATTCATTTCAAATGAGTACGTTATATCGTCTGTAGTTTTTTCTTCCCTACTTATGAAAACAAGTGTCTCTATACAAAATCGAGTGGTAAGAGAATCTTGTATGATGTGCGCACCACACCAGATTTTTTTTATTTGTGTGTTCTCTCTGACTACACCATCTGACCAACTTCCTAATCATAAGTTATTTTAACTTCTAATTGCAACTTTCTGAATGAGGAACCGCAAGAGGGGTTTAGTATTTGTTTTTTTATTCTTTAATTAAACGATAATTTTAATGCATAAACATTACATACGCGTTTCAAAAGAGAACTTAATTGCTTTAATAAACTTTTTTTTTGCTTAGTTATATTTTTTTAAGAGTACTCTAACATTATCCCACTCTGGACCCCAAATGATCTAAATACATTAGACAGGAGGCAATCACATTAGTTTTAAGAAAAAGAACTAAATTCTTGAAAAGTGGCTAGCGTATGTGTTGATGAGTCAAACTATAGAAAATGAATACAAATGTGCTTCCCAATCTTGTTTTTTTCCGGAGTAGTGCTTCCTTTATTAAATTTCCATCTAAAATAAAATGAATCTCAATGGTTTGAAGCCTATATACATTATTATACAATTTAAAACTAACTATTTACTCTTTATCAAGAATTAAAACGGATTTTTATTTTATAATTTGAAGTATTATTGGTAATAGCTAGAAATATAATTAACATTTTCTCAAATATTATTTTACACACATGAAGTGTAATTCTATTAATTAAACAATTTGCTATGCCTAAAATAAATTCAATTAATCAAAACATACATCATGTATGCCTTTGGAGCCTAAATGTGCACAAAGGCAACATTTTGTTCAAATATGAAACATAAAAATTTGGCAAAAAATTTAGGATTTTTTCATAAATATATCCACTTATATTTTTGAAAAAAAATAAATCTGCGTTTGCATATACATGTTGACCTTAATGATGAATATAAATTACAAATAATTGAAAAATTGTGGGTGATAAATAGTTAGGATGCAGTAATTTTAAGGTTTTTATTGATGGGGATGTTTCAACCCACATGCTAGCGTTGAAATATCTGCACCAATAAAAACCTTAAAAATTACTGCACCCTATTTATCACCTATGAAACAAACGTAGAACAGTCGACTAACTTCCTTCAATAATACAACACTAGAAAAATATTAAAATAAAAAATAATTTAATTGTAAAAAATTCAGACAATGGGAATAATTCTATTCATCTGAAAGAACAGAAGGTATTTACTGCGGATATCTGAAGGGGGTGTTGTTGGTTTAGCAGGACTACTACTATTTTGATGAAACTGGATAACAAACAGCAAAACTTTAACAGATTTGATATTGAAGATAAGGAGTTTTTTGTTCATGGATGGATTTCGGTATGAGGACGCTTGTAAACCTTACTGGATAAAAGGCGTCGTAGTCAAAAAATTAGTTTCAAATCACATTATAATGAAGCTATGTTGGCCAAGCGTGTTAAATGCTTTATTTTCGAGTCTAACCAGTTCAAATCTGGCCTGGGCAGGTTTAAATTTATTTTGTGGTGGGCCAATCTCAAATTTCTCTCTCTGGATAGAATAAGTTTGGTAGAACCTCTAAACAACCCTCACACATGCTAGAAATGAATATATATATATATATATATATATATATATATATATATATATATATATATATATATATACATATATATCATTATATGCTAGTTGTGATTAATTGTGAATTTTTATATTTAAATCGCTGAATTTTTTATTACCCTTATATCTTCTTAATTGTAATTGTATTCAGAAAGTATGTGTAGTAAACAAATAAATAAAAATCAGCAAAATTGAACTTATGATAGTTTATCTCTGATATACAGCTTTAAAGAAAATAAGTAATAAAAACAAAATATCTAATAAGGTTATTTATTACGAAAGTAAAAAAAAAAAAAAGTAGATTTTATTATACAAGTAAAACAAGTACCTTATATAACTCTGAGTAATGATTAAAAATGTTTAAAATTAAAATGTATAAGATAAATAAAATCATTTAACAACTATCCAACAGTCTTCTTCACAAGTTTTGGAATACAAGGTCTCACCAGATGAAACACCATTGTCTCATTCAATGAATAAAGTTTTATCACTTGCCAACTTTTTGGAAAACAAAGACCATGTATAGAGCTGAAAAAAAAAAAAAAGAAGAAGATAATAAATACATATAAATAAAAACTTTGGTTATTATACGGTCAGCATGTTTTATAAGAGTATTACTCACATGCCACTTCCCATTCTGGCATAGATAGTGTGCCGATGTGTTTGTTACCATAAAATTCTTTCATATATTCTTTTGCATGACGGTATTCTGAAGTCCTACCAACTAGTTTAACATTTGCCAAAGGTGGATAGGTCTAAAATTTTATAATAAAAAATATAAATATAAAATTAAACATATCATAATAGCTTAAAAATATATTAATTAAAAAAAAAAAGTTGAAATAAATTGACATCACCTCTAATGCAGACATTCTCCCTAGCAGTGAGTGACCTTTTTTACGCATTTCCTCAAAATAATTCTGAAAACGCTTTTTTTTAACACACTTTAATCCATACATGCTGGCGAGTCTGAAAATATACATTATACACAACATTAATATCATATTATATTATTTTATAAAGGATAAATTATTTTGTTATTTATATTAATAGGTATAAAATTTATGAGACCATTTTATAAAATTTTAATGTACAGGATGGTCTTGATAAGCCGAACCCTTGGTAATCCGTATAAAATAGAAAAAAAAATTAAAGTAGACTAATGAGAGACGGAATGGAAATGGCTTTGTTTTTTAGTATATATTAATGGAATTGCTTTGTGTGGTATTGTCGAAATTGAATTGTCTCTAAATGTAAAACATTAAAACTAGGTTGTCATCCAGAAGTTGATATATGATTTTTGTAGCAGAGTTCACGAGGGCATAGGTTCAGACTTTCTTTTAATTATGGGGAGGGGGGGAAGGAAAAAAAAAAAATAATAAAATAATAGCAGTAATTCTTATCATGTGTAAAAATTCAACACAATTATTGTGAAACGAGCTAATATAATATTGAATATTTAAAAATAAGTATATATATCTGTTTGGAAGTTGCAGAATTTTTTTATGTGCATATGGATATACTTGAAAATATCTGGAATACATGGAAAATAAGATGGAAGGAAGTCTTCATAACATAGGTACACTTCTATAACTTTTCCAGATAAAAATAAATAATGTTAAAAAACTGAAAAATATTTTTGATTTCTTGGTTTGCGCAATCTTAAATTAAGAATACAAAGTTTTCACAGTATACCTACTTATGTAAAAATGCCTATGAATATATTCTCTAAGAAACATATTTATACTTATATTTATTAAATATACTTTTGGCAACTTTACTATAGAAAATTTATAAGAAAATCCCGTGGAAATGAAGATGTACACATGAGAGGTGAATGAATCATAAAATCCTAAGATATGTTCTTATATAATTTATCCCTGAATATAAATGAAAATCCACATGGCACAGAATCCTGTCAATCATAAAGTAGATAAAAACTACATTTCTTTAACATATATTATAAGTGAAAAATAACTTATATATTACTTTTATTTACTTTCAATTTTTATTGATTAATTCAATTTAATTGTTAATTATTCTAAGTAATTCCGCTTTGTATGATCTTTCTTTTATTTTATTTTACTTTTATATTTACATTCTGCATCAATGTATGATCATCTGTTTTCATTTTACTTTTTAACCATGTCTCAATATTATCTAATATTTAAATATAATTTTCTTAAATATGTACAACTAAATATAATTATAATTATTCATATTTTTTTTCCTCCCTATTCTTCTAAATTAAATCTGCAATGTATGGTCTCTTATTTCTATATTTATATTTTACTTCTTCCAAAATACTTGTTTTTATTCACATTGTACTCTTATCTATAATTTCTTAATTCTATTTTAAATGTATATGTATATATTTATAATTTATTATTTCATAGATACAGTATTTTTCCATTGTATCCATCCATATCTTCAAATTTTAGATACTGTAATTTTCTTGATTTTTTCCTTTTACCCAAAGAGGTCAGCAAATTCCCCAATACCTACCCTTACCCTGATTGTCCCGTTTTGAGTGGAACTCCTAGCTGAACACAACTGAAAGTCTCTATTTTTATATACTTATTTATTTATTTTTGGTTTTCTTTTTTGTCTTCACATTCCTTTATGTCTATTATTTCATATTATATCCTTTTCTTTCAATCTTTCCTGTAAATCTGTAGAAGTATATTCAAATTTGCATATTTTATATATTACACTACAATAATTGTTACCATATATTTATTTCAGTTTAGGATCTTGTTACTTAGCTTATTCACATTGTTTATAATTTTATGACTTAATATTATGTAACTTCCACAGTTCTCTATATCTTTTTGTATCTTGTCCGCTCTAGCCCTGAAGAAGATCTGCAAAGTCGGGTCGAAACGTTTGCTTTTAATAAAATAGTTTTGCCACTATTTAGCCTTTTTATGACCGGACCATCTCCTTCCTTAATAAGTTTTTATATATTTTTCATTTGGGTTATAATTAAGTTTAGGAAGTTTTAAAATTTCTCATAAACTTCAGTCACTGTAATGTTTTTTAAACATTTCTAATAACTTAATTTATTTGAATTTAAATTATTTGGCACCGAAATTCTTCGTAATCATCCCTATTTTCAAAGTTGTAGCACTTCACATTTTCTGTTTGAAAAAAAAAATCTCTACAAGATTACTCAACGGACTCTCAATATCTACTGGATATAAACAACCAAGTCACTCTATTTTCTATAGAATATATTGAGGATAAATATAATTAACAAAGACAAATATAATGAGATCGATATATCCCAACATATATTTAGATCTTACCAGATAGTTCAATATAACACAATTCTTATGAATTTTTTGCTGCAATTATACAATTAATATAATATACTATTTAATTTTATAATGATTAAAGCCACAAATTTTTCATTCTACTCATCTTTTATTAAATAACTTAAATTTTTGTTATCAAGTTGATCAACATTTAATGTTGTTATGAGAACAATAATATTAACTTTCAATGTTAGGCATTTAGATGCATTGTAAACTTTAAATTTCAAGCTTATCACTGTATTTTTTTTTTTTTTTCTTTATACCAATATTATGATTTGGTATAACTTTGATTAAACTAATAAATATGGAATTATTTTATTTGTTTTTATTTTAATAGTTGTGTGAAATAGGAATTCAGTGAACATTTCTGACCACCAGCGTAAAATGAAATAAATAGGTCTCATATCATAAGCTGCTAACATAGATTTTTACAAGCAAATGACAGCATTTTTCTCTGAAATTGTTTTACTTAACTTTTTAATTAAAAATATTAAAGCAGTTTTGTCTTACGAAAGATTAAATCTTCAAATAAATTAATAAATTAATTACTTCTCTAATGTAGGAAAGTGAACTAAATATTCAGGACAGTCAACGACTCCTTCCAGGTGGAAATTATACTTAGCTCCAAAAATGGGGTAGTGGTTTGTGACCCCTTCATCAAATGATATGTTAAAAATTGAATTTCCTATGTTATCTTTCTTTGCTGTCTTCTGTCTCGCACTGCAATACAAAATGTTCGAACTACTCAATTAATACTGATTTACAAAGAATAATTAATATTTATCAGGGAATATTTTACACTATTTCGAAGGCATTTGGCATTGTTCCTATGAAGTAACCACCTGGTTTGAGACAGTCCGTTACGTTCTTCAGCATCATTTTGGCCTGCTTGAGGCTTTCGAAACAGTAATGAAAAGCAAACTGGCAGCTGACGACATCCAACTGCACCGATAGCTGGTTTCTATATTTTTCAGTCAAGCTCTCCTGAAAAGAATTTTAATATCAGATCACCAAACATCAGATTTATGACTCTGCTGTATAACATAAAAGTGCTCAAACTCAATCACTCACCTTGGTGACATCAGCGACTAAGAATTCCGCACTAAAGATGTTAGGAGTCCTTTGCCTGTTCTGACTATAGCGCTTCTTGCAGTCGGCTATAGAGATCTCTGCTATATCCACACATACCAGATGATTAACATTACCCAACTTCCATTTCAGTAGGTCACCTCCCTTCCCACAACAGAGATCCATTGCATTGATACTGCTTCCTCGTGGCTTGTTCTCCTGAATGCTTTCAATACACTCTCCTATAATATTTACGAATAAATATATTTTCTAAACTAACTTTTAACTATTGAGCAATATAGTCTGTAAAAATTTTAATTTATTATAATATCAACAGAAGTCATAGAATAAAAATTTAAAGTCTGGTTTACAGGATTAAGTATTTTGATTAAAGCCCAGAAGAAAATCACATTTATTAAAAAAAATTTGATCATGTAAACTGGTTTAGATAAGTTATGAGATGAAATTGTTCCAAACATACTATTCTTAAAAACATGCTGTTACAGTAGACAATTGGTATGAATGAGAAGATAAAGAATCATTCGTTCGATATCACATTTTAAATGGTGAGACTCTAATTTATAAGTAAACCAAATATTTGTTGTTTTTTTTAACTATCCGTTTAGATTAAAAGGGAGATTTTCCCGGGCCAGGAGAGAGTGAGGAATTAATGCCAGAATTAAAAGCCCCCTCCTCTCCAATGCAACAGGCTGCGAACTCCTAGTCATTTCAATCTATAAACTTTGGTTTATTGATCATCTAGTTACACACACGTTTTTTACATATTTAAATATATATATATACAAATTAAAAAAAAAAAAAACTTTTCCCACACTTTTCACAATAAATTTTCCCTTTCAGTCCTCAAGTTACTGGCCTAATATTCTTAAAATCAGCTGCCATTTTTTCAGATAGCATGATCGGACTGGCACTCATTTTTTAAATATAAATGTAATGAATATTCAAAAGATGCTTTAAAAATTTTCATAAGATGTCAATTTTTTTGTAAAGGGCTCTACAACTCTGTAAGAAATAATCAAAACACTTCCCAGTTCTTTACTAGTAAGTCTTTATAATCACATTTGTAAAAACTGTCTAGAACACTAATTATTGAGGAGTTCAGAAGGTGAAAGACGAATATTTATTTCCTTAAGATGATTGAATTAAGGTGGCCAATGGCATAAAAAATAAAAATAAATAGTGCTATATGGTGTTGATAAGTTATAAAAATAATATAATTCAGACAGCAAACAAATTCAAACCATCATATTAAAAGAGAATAAATAACATCTACTTTTTTGTAAGTATTCCGCATCAATTGGTAAGAAATATTTTCAGTGAAAGAAATGGTTTGAAGTCTTGCTTATGCTGAAGAGTAGTTCTACTGGAGGGTTTAACAACCATTGAACTAGATTCCAGGTTTAACCTCAGAATGTTGATAACTCAGACTAATGCTACAGTTGCTGTTATCAGATGAATAATAGATATTGCTGACAAGTCATAGACATCATTCTATGAGCCATATTAGATCAAAATCAACTGATGTCAGACCAGGAAAAAAAAATTCAATCTTTGATAAATGCTAAACATGATCAATATATTATATATAAACACAATCGTCATTAATAAGACTTTATAGAAATTTAAATGAGAAATTGGATCATGCAATCATTTTCCTGGATAGGAATATTTAAAACTACATAATGGTACAAGATAATCTCACCTAAAAGCATACTTTTGATCCAATTATTAAAATTTCTCAAGTATAAGATCCTGCTAGTATTTCGAAAATCCAGCCCTTTATCCTGCATTGTATTATAGTGTTCAGCAACGACATTGCTGCTGCTCCCCTCACTTGTTTCATCAACTTCCTAAAAATCAAGAATTTGCATTGGAGCATCATAAACACAGTAATACTATTTTAAATCAATTTATATAAATTTATAGAACCCAGCTCTGAATTTCTGACATCAAAACCACTTTTGGTCTGAGCTATAAAAAATATTTGATGATTGACTAAAGTGGATCAATCTCCAATGAGAAGAGGCTTGGTATGACTTTGGCTTTAATAGAAAAGAACCTATTTGAGGTTTGTTTTTATCTCCTTAACAAGGAGAAGTGGATAGTCCTGATCTGATTAAAGTAGTATTAACTCTAATTTTAATGACCACTAACATTACAAAATGTTTAAGTCACGACACATATATGAACAAAATTTTAATTAGCCTTAATCTTTCAATCGAAAGTTCATTTACAATATGATTTTGGCCCAGGCATCAATTGACACATATAAAGTAGAACCACCTATATCATTCTAAATTCCTGAATGAGATCAATTTCACTAGTCAAGGTGCTAGGTACAAACTGCTAGACGAAGGGTAACATTAGTTGCCAAATTCAGACAATCCAAAGCCCTACCAAAAAACGCAATAAGCATGGATATTTCAAAACATACTTTGTTTAAATCCACTTTCACTAGCAATGATAAGTAATAAAGTATAATATTAAATTTAAAAAACTTCAAGCGTGATCATCATAAGTTTCAAAATTACTTAGAGAAAAAGTTCAAGAAAAAAAGTTAGGGTAGATCAAAATCAAAAACATCAATTGCTCTCAAATGTAAATAAGATTAGCAAAATTCGAAAAAACAGTAGCAGTGATTTTAATTATTTACTTTTAAAAATTTTATCCATTCAGTATTTTAAACAAAGACAAACAATCAGTACATATTATTATAACCACAAACACAGTGTTAAGTATAAATATATGAATTATTAATGTTGGCAAAAACATTTACTTATCATTTTACAAATGATAAATAAAAAAAATATCTTAAATTACAGTTAACATGCAACTAAAGAAGATATTTTTATAACTTCAAATTACACTATAAAAAACAAATACAACCCTATTTGGAATACTAAACTTAATTATAACCCAAATAAAATAATGCAGTTGTTTTCATGAAACAAAATGTTTATGTTCTTAATAAAAATAAACATTACTGACCATCATATTGATTCAAACAAATACATACGGCCTCCTACAAACACTCCAAGTACCAATCGTTCACTGCCTATTCAACAAAGAATAGAACAATATTTTTAAATACCTTATGCTTAATCGATATTTTTATTTAAATATAATTTAATTTCTTTAAATGTTTTTTTAGAAATTTTAATGATGGATAATTTACAAATAAAAACTTAGCAACGATGTCATTTGAAACTGGTAGTTATACAATTGAATAATTTCGATAATGTAAACATTACTTCCATTGTACAATGGATGATTACTTTTTAGAAAAACAAGAGGGTTAGACATAAATATATAGAAATAGAAATAGAAAAATCATCTTTATTCTGGGACTAGGTCCCTTTAGAATAACAGTATTGTTCATATAAATTAACCATAAATCTGGCCAAAAGACTTATTACAATGAATAATAACAAAGTACTAGTAATAAAGCAAGTATAATAGCTCTTAGAATAAATTAACGAGAACAGTTGGGTAATAGGGGTTCAGTACTACAATATCAATTTTATAGGCAAAGCATTGTAGTGATGGAATATAAAAATTTTAAAAAAATAATAATAACTGTGTAATGAAACCATTGCCGCTATAGTTTCTTGACCACCGGTTTCACAAGCAGGTGATACAGTAAGGTTTTCCCCCAATCCTATGAGGGGCCAATTTATAGAAATCGGGTGGGGCACAGAAGGGTACTCCGACACCAGAGTGGATTACCACCTACAGTAACTTAACATTCATTTTCATCATCTCGACCTTCAGCAAAAAAAAAAAAGAATCATGTTGTAAGGTTTTAATTAAGATTCCTCCTTTCGTGATCAAAGAAGCTGAAATTTATTTTATCAAGCCCCATTATATAATAGATGGAATTCTGAAAACTCCCGTGTGTAAACAGAATTTAAGAGACTTACAGCGTAAGTACATAAGTGTTAAAACATTAAAGTAATCCCAAATGGCTCATATTTTTCCACACAGCTTAATAAGGTAGATCTAAAAAAAAAATTAAGAATAAAACTGATAATTAGGAGAGATGTGATGGAGTCATTAAAGTTTAGGTTCAGGTCCACTTTCATCAGGCCCGGTCTAGCCAGATCGGCTAATCAACGATCGCCGAATGCCCCTGAGCTAGGAGGCCTCCCAGGGGCCACAAAACACTTATTTATTTTTTTCTTTCTTTCTTTTTTTTTCTTCACTTATTTATTTGTTTTATTTTTTTCTAGTACCCCAAAAATTATTGTTTTGTATTCGTTTATTTCCGGATATTTTTTGGACCCCATTATGAATGTTTTGTACTTTTTTATGACCGTAGAATGATTAGGAGACCCCCTCTGAGGGCCCTGTATATCGCTATTTTGTATTTTTCTAGTGGCATAGTATGTTCTTCTTTTCTCGCTTAATTCTCGCCGTTACCTTTCCCCATGTCTTCTCTACCTCTACCCTATTGCTCTGAATTTGCTCTACTAACGGTTCGGTAATCGTTGTTTCCCCATAATCCCGCCTTGACCTGCGCATCCCAAGTATTACTTCCACGGGTGAAAATCCAGTGACGGAGTAAATCGAATGATTATATGCTGTTACCGCTTTTTTCATTGCGACATCCGGCTCCAACCCTTTCTCCCCCTGATATACACGGATGTGGTCAATCAATGTACTGTGTAACCGTTCGATGCCGCCTCTGCTTTTAGGATGTCCCGGGGTGTTGTAGTGCAAAACAATCTCTAATCGTTTCACCTCCTCCCTAATCGCGGCATTGTCAAACTCCCTACCGCCGTCTGATGTGATCCTCTCGGGGACCCCGTAGAACTGCACCCAGGTTTGTAGGGCTTCCGCAACTGCGTTGGCTGACTTGTCCATGACCTGATGTGCCATAGCTATTTTGCTGAAGACGTCGATTATAGTAACCCACTTGAACCCTCTTCATGTGAATGTATCAATTTGGAGATCCTGTAGCGGCATATTCCCTGTAGGTGTCTCCTCCTGGATTCCTCTGGAGGGGAGGGGGTGTCTATCATATTTTGTGCGCATACATACTTCGCATTTCCCTACAGTTTCTTGGATGGATCTTTTCATGCCCTACCAGAAATATTTTCGACGTAATGCCTGCAACCTCTCGTTCACGCCTCGGTGGTTGGTTTTTCCCTGGTGATATGCCAATGTGACTGCTTTTTGTTGCTCCTCGTCTTGTATCGTTTCCACTGAATACTTGCAACGGATGAATGTCCTATCCACGCCTATTCGCTCGGATCTCCACATTCGCTTTATTTTGTCCCATATCGTATTATTCCCAACATAGAGATAGTGCGTTTTTCCCGCTTCCGTGGCGTCCTTCAGTGCCCTATGGATTTGCTCTTCACTTGCCCCGGGTTGCGACCAGATGACGTGAATCCTACTTTTCCCATATTTCCTGAAATCTATTTTCATAGCCCCCGCTGTTCTCGTTTTCCAGATCACCTGGCGATGCTTGTCGTTAATAATCTTGTCTATCTCATCCATCTCTGCTGCTCTTTCATCCGCTGAGCTCTCTTCTTCTGGGGACTCCTCTCTGTCCTCTATACCGACGGTATCATCTGCCCCTTCGCCATCAGGAGTCCATTCACTCAAAAATTGGCGCACATCCCGCGATGGTCCTCCCCTGTCCTCTTCTACCGCGTTGATCATGATGGCTCTAGAGAGCCAATCTGCCACCACGTTTTCCTTTCCCGGCTTATACACCACCTCTATGTTATACTGACTAAGGAATTCCTTCCATCTCGTGACCCTAGCCGAGGTTTCCTTTAGTTTCCCTACCCACTGAAGGGGTTTGTGGTCGGTGTGGACTCGAAACTTCCTCCCGAATATATATGGCCTGAAATGGTCGATAGCCCACACTATCGCAAGTAAGTCCCTTTCCAAAGCGCTGTATCGCGATTCCGTACTCGTAAGCCGTCGGCTTGCGTATGCTATCGGACATTCGCCCTCAATTCCGCTCTGGGATAAAACTGCCCCTAACGCATATTCGCTTGCATCGGTGGTGATATTAAATTGCTTCTCAAAATCCGGGAACGTCAACACGGGTTCTGTTTGTAATCTATTCATGCATTTCCGGATATTGTTCTCCATTTCTGGTGTCACCACAATCTTCGCGCCTTTCTTCAGCAAATTGTTGATGGGGACCAAATATTCTGCCATCTCAGGTACGAATCTCCGGTAATAGTTAAGCGTTCCGAGAAGCCTACGGATCCCTTTAACGTCCTGTGGTACCGCCATCCGTGTGATTCCCTCCACCTTCGCCGCATCAGGTTTGACCCTCTCCCTAGAAATAGTGTGGCCTAAAAACTTGATCCGCGTTTGTCCCAGCAGGGACTTCTCGCTTGACAGTTTCAGCCCCAATTGCCGCAGCCTTTCGAATACTGATCTCAAATGCCCCACGTGTTCGGTTTCCGTTCTGCAAAAAATCAGCAGGTCATCCATATATACTTGACATAGCGAGTCGTCAATACCCCTCAAAAATTCGTCCATTAGACGTTGAAACGTTATGGGCGCATTCTTCAGTCCAAACGGCATTCTGTTGAATTCATAATGCCCCCTTTCGAATGTGAACGCCGTTTTGTATTGATCTTCTGGGTGCATCCGTATTTGTGATATCCAGCCTTGAGGTCCAACGTGCTGAATACCACGGCCCCACTCAACCTATCGAGTATGTCCTCAAATCTGGGGATCGTGTACTTCTCATCTAATGTGTTGTCGTTCAGTTTGCAGTTGTCGTTCAATCTACTACCACCCTGTATTTTTCCCTATTATCCCCCGGTGCTCCCTTCTTTTTCACTGCCCACAGGGGACTATTGAATGGTGAGGTGCTATCGACTATGATCCCTTGCTCCTTTAGACTGTCTAATTACTCCCGAATATGCTGCCTCAGCGCCTGCGGCTATCTCCTTTCCTTCACGTAGGTTACCCTATCCTGCTTTAGTGGGATTTCATGCGCCGTTCTCCCTGTTACTCCCAATACCTCGCCCTCCTTGAAGAAAATATCTTCAAATTCCGCTTGTAACGACTTCCTCCAGTCCTCAACCCTGTTCACTGCTCTTATCCGCACCCTTCTATCTCTCGCGACCCCTATACATTCAAACTTCCTCTTCCCCAGCCTAATACTCCAGGCTCCTCTACTGTTTCTAATGCTCGCCCCTACCTGCCCTAACAGATCGTAACCTACTATGACTTGATATTCTCGCGTCACGTTTCCTACCACGTGCACCTTTAGATCGCCCTCTTTCTCTGCCCACCGATCAAGCCTGATTGTCGCTTCCCCCTCTACACTACAGGGACCACCCAGAGTGATTAACTGTCAGTCGCATTTTGGTATCCGGAGTGCCCTCTCGCTTCCGCACACTTTCCCTAGCGCCCCTTGGGTCATAATAGTACTCGAGCTCCCTGTGTCCACAAGGCACTTTACTCCCCCTTCTACTTCAATGATTGGCTACCAGCATGGATTACCTCTGACATTGTTGCATGTTGCTGTGCGGTCGTCTCTCTGCGGACACACTTCTCGGATGCCGCCCCACTTCCTCCTTAATGCCGTCGCTCGTCGCTGCTCGCTCCGTTGGCTGCTCCTGCCTCCTTCGCCTCCACTGCTGCCTGGTTCGTCCGTCTCCGTTTCCGAAGTTCCCGAAGCATCGTTTGCCTCCTCCGAAGATCTGCCCCTCTGCTGCATCTTAGCTCTTTTTCTCATCTTCTGCACGTTCACCTCCATCGGCTCCTCTTGAGGTCTCTCTCTCCTACGAAACATGTATGGGCAATGTCTCGCAATATGCCTTTCGGTCCCGCACTCAAAACATCTAGTGCGAGGACATTGTGCTACCAAATGTCCTGGCTTTCCACACCCATGACATTTTCTATCCTCCCTCCGGGGTCCATTCCTCGGCCTAGACTGTCCCGTAAACTTACTGTAGCGTAATACTTACCTACTGAATCGTCTAATTTTAAAACAGACCTAAACATAAATTGATTATAAACTATCCCCAATAGCAGTTGGGACGAGCAACTTTCTAAACAACGTTAAGTACTTTGATGGGTCAGAAATCTATCAGACTGTACCTTGGCACATCGGGGGAATGCAGTGCATTTGTTTATTCATAGATTGAATCACCAATGGCCCAACGGCTCCTTCGGCTATTGGAGTCGTTCATGAACTCAGCGTTAAATGATGACATTTGTGATGAATTTCAGTCATGAAATAAAATTTGTATTAAGAATCTCGCCATTAGCTTACCAATAACTATAGGGTAAGTTTTTGAACTCAACATTCCTAAACTCATCTATGGCATCAGAAATCCATCAAACCGTTTCTATACTCATCGATGAATCGATTGAATCTAGCCTAAAAGACAGCGATTTATGGAAAAAATCAAGGCAAGCCATTGGCGGATTCAGGATTTAATTTTTGGGGGATGGGGGCTTCAGCCCGAAAGCTTTTTTTTCATAAAAATTACGATAATTACTTTGGAAAAAAAGAAGGAAGCTAACTATCTATTCCTTCCTTTGTCCTTGGTGATTCCTTAAGTCCTTTTAAATGTAATTACAGGAACAATAATACTTTAAGAGATAATTTTTTTATATTAATATATTTTTCCGTGAAATGTGGTTATATTTTACCATTTTTTGGGGGGGAGGAGATGCTTCAGCCCGGAAACCCTCCCACCGTATATCCGCCCGTGAGGCAAGCCTATAAAGAAAATCTGCTATAGTAGCTCAGAACATGATTTCATAAGAAAATAAATTAAACATATTTGATATACCTTAATTCAGAAAGCACTTTTGATAGAAAAATAAAAGAATAAATGAAGGAGTTCAAGAGAAGGTATTAATTCACTGTCACAACAGGGTCCATTGATTATACGCGGTAGTCCACATTCATGAAAAATACTATAATGGCTCCTTCATAGTAGATTTTGAAAAAACGTTTCTATAAGTATGATTATAGTTGAAGATACTCAAGTCAAGAAAGAATTTCGCAATATCAAATAAGTTTTCCTTTCTCTTTGGATTATACCTATACTGAACTTGCTTTCTTGAGTATCATTTAATTATAATTCTTTGTTTAGCATCAAGTAGTTTAACTTGTAAATAGGTATGGCTGTCAATAGTTTCTAATTAGTTGTTTTAATCACTTTTTTTGTGTGAATGGAATTCACGATGCCTAGTGTAGTGTAATTCTAGTCTTCAGTATGTAATTTTGTTTTAATAAAAAAGAATTGATAAACCCCAAATTTTTAACAGACCTATCTAAAATTTCAAATTATGATGGTGAGTATACATATTTAATCTTTGTTTACGTTTATCAATTTGTATGTGTGGTCATTTATTCTGTTTACTCTATTGATAACTTATTATTTTTACATTTTTAAAAATTAAACAGTTTACTTGTGATGGTTATTTTGATCTCAAAACTTAGTGTAGAATTAGCCTTATCTCTTAGTCTGTGTAGAGTTTTTAAGTTCCTGAATTTTATTTATAAAATAGCTTAGTGATGTAAAATTATTATTAACCAAATATTTGAAGTTTTAAGTCTACATAAATCTTTATCTAATTAAATTTATTAAGAGTTATTTCTAGTTTGGACTTGAAGCAGTACCTAAATATTCTAATATTTAACACTTTTATTCACGTGAGGGTCATTCTATGTCATTTCAACACAAGGTCTGAACCTTACCAAGATTTTCTAGAAAAAAGGCACAGTTGTACATTGGTACAGTTTTAGGAAAATGTGACATTTTATTGTTATAAGTTAACTCGTTTTTAAAATAGACAACTGTAAAGATCTCATAAATGAACTAAAGAAAAAAAACAAATATTTAAAATTGCTTTTTTTTTTTTTCAAAATATAATTTAAAATTCTTTGAAAATATACATTTTAAAATTTTCATAAATATTTTTATGTGAATATATTGTAGTGTAGTAAACCATTAAATAAAATGTAGATGTGGGGTGACAATGGGGTACTAGTACACAAGAGTTATGCATGGCTCACAGTCATTTCGTTCACATTTGTTCATGGAGTACCGAATGCGTTCGGTTTTATCCGAAAGAGAACGAAGGCGACCGATCTCTTGAGTTAGTTACTATTAACTTTCCCCATTTAAGTACTTCCCTGTACTATAACCCTAACCATGTTCAGTTATATAGCCGACTTACATTCGAAATTTGGGCTACACATCATGAAACCTGAATCGAACTTGTACATATATTATAGATCTGTGAAAAAGAAATAGCAATAGATAAAAACTATTAATTATTACATCTCTGAATGCTATTTCACGATATTTTTTTTTTTGACGATTTCCATTATTCATTATCTTGTAATTATTGGTCTGTTGCAATATGCAGAACTTATTGGATATTATCAATTGCTATCACCAAATTATTTTTTAGGCCTTCCCAACTAGTTTGTCCATTGCGTCAAGGTACCAATCTGGTGTTGCCATCGTTTCACCCTGAAATGAATTATGTTATGAAATTAATTTTGTTTTGTTAAGGTTTAATGCAAATAATAATAATTGCTTTTTTGGCGAAAGCAATTACTAATTTTCAACAAAAAGTATTGCATGTTGCATGAAATAACTGGCCACCGAGACTACCGGCTTAGTAAAACCTCAATTTTCAAAATTAACTATAAAGAGGTCCACCCTCTTTATGATGCAAGTTACGCAACCCAATTATCAAAGCGTTGATGGCATTCTGAAGAAAATTTTCATTATTGAGCAATTTAAATATCTCTCAATGACAATCCTATTTATTGTGAATATTAATGGTTATTAAAATTATTACTGCTTTTAGATCACAATTCTTGATTTTCACTTGTTCTAGAGATAAATAAACTTATTAGTTTATTATAAATAAACCTGACGGATTCTTGTTAGTTGGGGTCGGGGATTTGCCTAGGATCCTTACCTAAAATATTTACCTTGCCTCCTCAAGTTGGAATCTAGTTGAAGCATTTCAAAACATAAGATAAGAGGAAATATTAGATGAAATTCAGCAAAGCAGAAGGCAAAATAATCCAACTAGTCCAGGGTGTCTACATAAGGGTTAATATTCTTTTAGTTGCTTCATTTATGATAAATTTTGGTACTAGTTCATTAATGGGTCTAGATCACTCGAATCATACTGTTATCAAATTCTGAAATTGCTGAGTTAAGAATTATGATTATGTGTGGTTTCACTATGATTAACAAGGCAATTAACAAACCCTGGGGTCTTTTTCAGAGAACGGGAAAGCTCAGTGGGTAATCACTGATTTCCAGAGCTTAAGGTCCCAGATGCAAATCTGGCTGATGACTAGTAATTTTTCATCAGCCGTGGATCGATCCTGGGGTGGGGAGACCCTCCTGTGGTACACCCAGCCTATATAAAGTAGTTACTCTTAATTAAATAATTATTTGAGGGGAAAAACCTGGCGGTTGAACCTGATATAGGCCTAATCACCTCCCTGCACAATCGTTGGCCTTGAAACAGTACTTCCTCACATCTTCTGTCTTCACATCACACGTCACATCACGAGTCTTTTTCAGTTGAGATTGGGGTCTTAACAAGTTGTGCTCTTATCTGCACAGGTCGTCGTCATCATCAAGTAATTTCCATATTTCTTTTGGACATCATCGGCTATTTTGGGGTTCAATGTAGGCATGACTCTGGTAGACTATAACTCGCCCATGATTATTTGCATACCCAAAGGCAAACTCGTGCATACTAATTGAAACTAACATAATTTTTCTCCTTTAGCGATCTATTGCTGTAATTTTTCTTACAATTTAATTGCTTATTAATTTATTAATGTTTTTTTACAGTCATTAATAACACCTATTCCAATTCCAAGTGTTGCACCTGGCACTATGATTGAGGAAAGAAGACTATGGATAGGAAATTTAGATATTCGAATCACTGAGTGAGTTTCTTTAAAGTATAAAATCCTTAAATTATGATAGCTCCAAATCAAACTAAACTAACTTCAGACTTTTATTTCCTATAAGGTATAGATCTGTTTCTAAGACCATTATTGTATTTAAGAAGTGATATTTGTTCGACTTTTGATTATTCGTTATGATATTGTATCCAACTGGGTGAAACAATTATCACTCCTAAAAAAAAAAAACCCAAAAAAATCTATATTACTGAATCTACAGCCGTTCATTGTATTACTACTCAACAAATTCACTCATTTTCAAAAGCATTGTCATATCTATTTTTAAATATTTTTATTGAAAAATGTAGTCTAACGTGAACTCAACATGGAAGAGAGAAAAAATATATCAGTTATTTTAATAAAACTGACTAATTTACATAAGTTAACTTAAAAAAAAAGACTGCAATGCTTTTGAAAATAAATTAATAATGTCATTATTTAATCTTCCTGTACAATTTATTTATCTTGATAAGAACAACTAACTGTCAACAATTCAAATAAAACTTAGATTTAATTCCATTTTTTAATCAATTATTTATTTTATTTTATTTTTGTTTTTTTTTGCAATTGGTTTCAACTACTAAAAATTCTACAAAAATATGGAACCATTGAGAAGTTTGACCTTCTTTTTCATAAGAGTGGTCCACTCGCTGGGCAACCTAGAGGATATGGTTTTGTCACGTTTAAGAATAAGGAAGATGCAGAATCGATGATGAAAGATCTAGATGGAAAGAAGATCGGATCTAAGCATATCTCTGTTAAATGGGCACATAGCCTTGAGAAAGTGAGTTCAGAATTAATATTTTTGTATTTTTATCTCAAATTATCTTTACTGTTATAGATTTCAATTTTCTGTTTGAGAGAGCAAAATCAAATAAAATTATCTTAACTTATATGGTTAAATAGTTCAACAACAAGTAATATATGATTGTTATTTGTCCTTTATTACTCATCTTATTTATTTTCAATTTCATTTTTATGACAATTTAAAGAAATCTTCAAAATAATTTGTTAGGAAGTCTTTTCACGATACATACAGCAATGAAACACATTATTAAGTATTATATCATAGTTAATCTCACAGAGGAATCTACAAGTCATTACATATCTTTAACCTGGCTACATGTCACTATGTTCACTTGGGTAGAAAATAGTTCATTTTAAAAAAAAATTTCCAAGATTGAATCCAAGACCAGTCAAGAATTGTAACGGCAAAGGTTTCTTTTTTTGTTCTTTTTCTATGAATAACGGGTTATCAATATATTTTTTATTGTTTGAGGCTATATTTATACTTCATCTAATAATATAATATAAATTTTAGACAAAACAATGTCTAATACCGAAAGTTGTAGAAGGTAATAGGGAGTGACGAAAAAGTTATAAATAATACTGAAAATTAAAATTATTTTACTGAAATCACATGTTTCTAAGGAAATTAAACGAAATTTCCTAACTAAATATAAATTTTTAAAATTATTTTTAAGTTTAAAAAATCCATCCAAACGATGCCAGGACGTTGGTTAAACACTATTTTATTGTACTTGAAAGAAGAATTAAAATGTAAAAATATTTCATGGATGTGTAAAACATCTGTTTATAATCTTAAATATATTTATTGCAGTTTAATAATTCTAGATCCGATATTATATTTGAATAATTAGTTATCGTTGGTTTATTTCGAAAAATCATCATGTAACATTTTAGAAAATTAAGTTACTGAATAATTTGATAAATTTTCTCTTATGAGAAATCTCAACATTATCCACTTACAATTAGTATGACAACTTTTGTCCTATCTATGGCAGGCAATGAAAATCTCGTAACTCCATTTTAGTAAACTCTGCAATGGCAAATAAGAGTTTAATATTTTTAATAGTCGTACAAACCATAATCATATAGAGGTTAAATATACAGATGTACTTTTAAATCTCTCCAAGTATAGCTCAGAGATTGGAGTTATGTGGTTTACAAAAACAGATGAAGTTACAAGGTTTTATTGCCTACCGTCGATATAATAAATAGGGTTTTTGTTATTTTAATGGAATTAATGATTTGTCACCGGTAAGCTTTAAGATTCAGCTTTGTTAAAAATGCACTTCAAAAATTTTGTAATTGCCCAACATTGCTAAGAAATAATTTCTATTCAAAAAGGAAGAAGATGGTCCAGTGTGGCGGTCATAAATAGGCTAAATAGTGACAAAAATATTTTATTAGAAGCGAACGTTTCGACCTGACTTTGCAGGTCTTCTTCAGGGCTAGAACGGACAAGATACAAAAAAATAGAAAATTGTGGAATTTACATAATACTTAGACAAAAATTATAAACAATGTGAATAAACTTATTAAAATTATAAACAATAAGTACATTAAAATATAAACCGAATAAGCTAAGTAACAAGATCCTAAACTGAAGTAAATAGATGGTAACAATGGTATTATACTACAACAATTGTTACCATCTATTTATTCGTCAAAGTTTTTTTTTACAAAAGTTTATATGTGAATTTTGTATTATAATAACATTTTATTAACTTTTTAGGTTGAAGATACAAAAAAGAAGATTGATGCTACTGTAATTTCAGTTTTAAGTGTTAATAAAAAGGAGAAGAAGATCAGGTATAATCAATTTAATTAGTCTAGATTAGATTTATTGATAAAAAATTGATTAGTGAGTTAGCGTATAATTAGTAAAGTGAATGGTATAATTGTCCATTAGTCATTAAATTTTAACCATTATAATTTAATTATAAATTTTTTTTCAGCCCACAGATGCAAATCAAAGCGATAGAAATGAAACTGAAAATGATGGAACACAGTGGGTCCGAAGAATTTAATATTAATATTCCAACAACTAGTTCAGCTTCCCTTCGCCAATTAAATTGCAAAGGGTCAAAATCAACTGAGCTTAAGTCTAAACAAATAAGGCATCAACCCTATTCGATGAAGCATTAGTTTGTAATATTTATTTATTTGTATATAAACTGATTTCATTTTACCCTCCGAATACATTATTAATATTTCTTTTGAATTGTTTAATTTAACATTTATTAAAATATATTTTGAGGATGGAGTATTTCAATATATTACCTTAGAGTATTTCTACTAGTTATGTTTAATTGTAAGGTTACCTTCTCTATATGAGAAGTATAACTATTAAATAATGAGACTGCTTTTGCAAAGCATTTAATATTTAACATATTTAATTATTATCATCATCAATATACGCCCCCTTCATCTATCCCTGCAATGCTTGTTAAATACTTTACTAACGGACAGGCAAAACTCATTACCCTTCTAGCTGCTGTTCTGTAGTTGGGTAAAAAAAGTAAGCCATAGCATAAAATATTTTCTTTTTTTGGTATTGTGATCATGAAAATTTTCGAATCTGAGTTTTCAACGGAAAGACATGTTATGATGTTTCCTGAGTCCAAATAACCAAGTTCCGCAAAGTGGTCTATGGTACCAGGTGTATGTATGTGCCAGGTCTAGCTCAAAAACAAACTCGTATGAAAGTGAAATTGCATATTTAAGGTTTGTATATATCTGAGATGTTACAGCACCTTTTTCATCAAAATCGGCTAACCGGAAGTGGCACTTTATATTGTCGATGAAACACATTTTTTATTATTTTCTCCAAAACGGCTCCAACAATTCTGATTAAATTCATTATATCAGCGTAAAATTAAACAGTTTTTAATGTATGTAGGTTTTATTGTCATTAATGTTCTCTAACAGGGCTTAAATGGCTAATTTTCAATATTAGCTTCCTTTGAAGTACCTTTAATTTTATTTTATTTGATACAATTGACCATTTTACATTGATCTCTAATATAACAAATAGTTAAATATAAAATATGAAAGCATTTGATAATTAAAGGAGAAATAAGACATCGTAACAGAGAATAGTTGTAATGAAAGAACCAAAGGGATACGAGCGCGGCTGAACTGGCCTGAAGATTTAGTAACATGAACTTGATATAATACGGACTCTGACAATATTATGTGGTACGTATACATATACTGTTTTTCTAAACGTTTTCATTGGTATTATTTAATATTTAATTGCATAGATTACAGCAATATAAATATTAAGATTTGTATACATAAGGGTACTTAAAACAAATAAAAATATCCAAAATGAAATATAAATCAATATAGCGTTTATAACTTTTACTTTTACTTCCCCTTTGTCTAAAAATACTTATTACTGCTAAGAGGGTAGTAAGTGAAAGTTGTGTGATGTGCGTCCAGCACCAGACTTCTTAATTATTAATTCAATAAAAGAATGAACAAAAAAATGTAAATAACTTAAAAGAAGTTCTTTATTAAGAGGTATACAGAAATAGATATACATTTAATGTAGCGAACATTTTGGCTAATAATAAAAATATTAAATTATCTAGGTATCCTTGGAATAAATGTATTTGCCCCTCATATGCTTGGGTAGGGGTACAACCGATGGGCAAGGAACTTGACCAGGGATTTCACAGAAGCAGTGCCTACTGCAGCCATACCCAAAGTTGGCAGGATTATCAATCTTCTGTAAAATTCTCATTTCTGTTTGTAGCACCTTCCTTAAATTGTCAAAACAAAAAAATTCATTAATAATAATAATACTAACTAAACTCCTGGACAAAATTAATGCATCTCTTTATTTATAATACAATTAACCTAAATATATTATTTTTACAAGTGTACAGAGAGGTGATAAGAATCAGAGTGCAAGTATAATGCAAAAAGAATATGAATAATCCCTGGTTTTTATCCGTTAAATCATCTTAGTCACTAAAATATCAAAGTTAACAACTGGAGATTGTTTTACAACAGATGTTTTCTCTCTTAGTAATATTTAGAAACAATTCAATGACTAAACTAAAATTCAAGTTATTATAATTCTATAAGACTCCTCGTTGCCAACATGCACAGCCATTTTAAGGGTATAGGGTGTGAATTAAAAATTCCTTAAATAATGAATCCCTGATTGAGGAGTTGGGCTGTAGTTCAAAAGAAATCGAACTGCACATCAGATAATTTAATCAGCCAACTAAAATGTCTAGTGTGTACTCTCCAAAACTCAGAGATGTTAAAAATTTCTGATTTAAAGCAAAGCTAGTTGTTAAAATTTTTAAGAAGACGATTGTGAATAATGGGAGTAACAATTCATAAATATCTGTTCATCAGTATATCTCTCACTAATCAAAATCAACTTAATCTGAATAAAAGGTTATCAAATTGAAAATTAATTATTAAACATTTAAATGTAATGTAGTGCATCTGATCTTCTTTAGTCATTTCTTGATTAGAACAAAACTGCTTTTTACTCACATTTAAAACTTATAATAAAAATAATGCTAGTTAATATTTACTTTGATTTTCCAACAACACTAATTAGGTGGCGGAGAATATCTTCTTTCTTTTGACTGTCAATATCTATTAATAAGTCTTCACCATTATCTAGAAAAAATAAATAACTTTAAAAAAATAAATAACACAAATAATTCCAATGGGGAACAAATACATACCATAGTAACATCGAATAAAAGGGGTTGGTGTCATGTTCCTGAAAGTGATTACTTGCACATTCGGATTTTTATATTGCAGTTGTGGTAAGTGCCAAAAAATAAAGTCTCTTAAAATAAGAAAAAAAAATTGTTAACTTATTAAGATAGATAAAACATCTGTGTATGCTTGCATACTAGTCCATGGTACAGACCCCTTTTCATGAAATTATTAACATCCGCCTAAAACTTCATTTTGTCCTAGCCTACAAGTGTAGGCTATTTTATCTACGAAAATTCTCAGAATTGGGGCATTTGGTGTGAACTACAACCCCAACATGTCGCCAGAACGACGTGAAAATTTATGAACATCCGACTGATTTTCATATTAATGGTTAATAAAGATGAGTACAATCAAATGGTCATAGTGGCCTACAAAAATATTGGGGCGTTTGGGATGATCTACAACCCCAACAAGTCGTCAGAACGACATTGTGAAAATTTATAAACATCCGGCTGATTTTCACATTAATGGTTAGTAAAAAGATGAGTACAATCAAATGGTCATAGTGGCATACAAAAATATTGGGGCGTTTTTGAAAAAAAAAAAAAATCTACGTACTTATTACACTAACTTTACTAAGTAGCCGAAACATCCAAAAAAAAAGAAGTTAAATTTCGTCAAACATTTTTCAAGACGCTTCTCCTAAGAGCTGGTAAAAATTTCCGAAGATTCTGGGGTCGAATTTTTATGAGGGGAAGAGAAAGACAATAACTAATTTTTTTTTCAGTTTTTTTTGTGATTATCTCAACAACTATGAGGTTTGACGCAAATATCATACTATACAAAATTAAAGTACTTCAAATTCTCAATAAAAATTCTTTAATACATTACCTTGATATAATCAGTTATTACGGAAATATTATGATTAAATTCTCTTTATTGGGAAGAAAGAATTGCAGTATCGTCAGCAAAGCAATAGATGGTGGCTAAAATACATTTTAATGATACAATAATTACAATTTTCAATAAATATTTCCTTTGACAATTTTTGCACAGTAATCCCAAAAAACATAATCAACTTTATAATCTAATAATTTTCTTTTTCATATTTCTTTGAAATTGAATATTACATTCTGTCACAATTAAGGACATTAGCAATAGTGATAGAGTAGCTCATTTACACTGTAAATAAAAATAAATCAAACAGCAAAACAATAATACTAAAAGTAAATGAAGATAAAAAAAACAGCTAAATTAATCGGATGTTAATAATTTCATGAAAAGGGGCCTGTACCACAGACTATTCACACACTCGCATATAAATTATAAACAAATTTATTTAATTAGTAGACTTATATGTATTGCTATAAAATCTTATGTTACACTAAATAATAGTCAAGTATTAATGAAGGAAACATAGTCAGAAATTGGTAAATTATTGAATATATTTTAAAATACATTTCTACATTACTGAATCAATTTTTTAACATACATGTAAATGTTTAAGTTTAAAGTAAAGATAAGATTTTAACAAAAGCAAATTTTATTTAAATAGATCCCTCCCATCTACATATTAAAAAGTCATACATATCAACTAATAATGTTCTGATATCACTATAAGTCACTCTAACATTATTTTTTATTTATAATATGTATATTATTTTTACCTTTTAAGGTTATTCAGAGCTTTGCCCGTGCCAGAGTACAAGACATGGGATTAATGACTAAGTTAAAAGTTCCACCTACAACAGGACTTGAACTAAAACCTTCAATTCATCAGGCTGCCCGACATCATATAACTCCAACTTGTATACTGGGCACAGATCTCTTGTTTTAGGGGAAAATAGGATTCTGAGAACAGCCAATGATTGACATGTTCACAGAGTTTATTTAAATCAAAATTTATGACTTCATCATAGTCTATACTGGTTAAAATTGATGTGTTAATGAGCTTTAGTGACATCCGTGATAATGAAACCACTATAAATAGATAAGCAAACTCCCATAGGGGTTCTTTTCAGTGGGAATCAAGATTTTACCAGAGGGTTTAGTCACTTCTGTCTACTTTCAAGCAGTCAGTCATTCTCAGGATTCCATATATGATGTGATAATGAGATCTTATACCACCAATGAAAGTGGACTTACAATTGTACCACACAAATTGAGAGATAGTTATGTATATGGATAAATTCATAGAGCTTTAACAAAAACAGATCTTCAGGATGTTAAATTCTTCTCAACTATGACGAATTTACATGGAAATTGTTCTGTAAATGCCATTATTCAACTATTGACTACAGAATCTTTTCATTTAAATATTGTATGAAACATTTAATGAATAAACCTTTAAATTGAGGCAGATTGTATAAAATAAATATCATTTCTAAATATGATCAAGCAGCAAGTTACCTGGCACCTTCATGGTGTTTTCCAAAGTTATTATAGTTTATAGAAAATACTTGAACCCTGTCTTTTAATATGAGTTTACCACTTTCTAAATACTTTAAAGTTCTCCTGATCGGAGCTGGACCTTTCATAAAAGGCATATTTGATAGGTTTTGTTTTGTTAAATATCAATTATATTAAATTACTCAAAGCAGCATACTGTTCAAATGTTTATCAATCTGACTACCGTTAGAGAACGCCTAGATCAGTGATTTTAATGTACATTACATAGAGGCAGGAATATATACATAATGTAATATTAATTCCTTCCTGAGGTCTGTTAGAATGTCATTTTCACATCGATTTACCATTTGATATGGCAAGGTTTCATAAAATAAAAATCTGGTGCAGTGAGCGCATCACACAACTTTCACTTACCAACCTTAGAGTAAATAGGTATTTTATTAATGCTGGGCAATTTGATAGGAAATCGAAGTGAAAACGACGATATAAATTCATTTAAAACAATTCATTACCATGTTTTTGACGCCCATCGAATAAATTAAACGTATACATTTGCATCACTTATCATTTTCTTTTACGACTGTGTATAGTATCAAACAATTCTAATCACTGTCGGGAATATGAATCTTTTGGAAAAATTCTGTCTCTTATCACAAACATTTATTACGAAACTTATCGAAAAAAATAATTTATGTTAGTAAGTATTGCATATTATTAGGTTTATATTAGTAAATCCTCAAGATTTCTTGAGAAAACCTTTTTAAAAATTTATAGATAAGTGATACTTAAAAGTTAAACTAACAATATGAAAGCCAGAGATGTCGGTAATTTATAAAATGTTCAGAGGGTTATCGGATATCAGTAAATGGAGAGGATCGGCGAAGGTCGGGGGCTCTCGGCTAAACAGCCGAGCTTCTTACATAGCATAGCTTCCTACCATTTTTCGCTATTAGTCACTAGCGGATTCAGGATTTATTTTTTTGGTGGGGGCTTCAGCCCGAAAGTTGTTTTTTTCATAAAATTAACGATAATTACTTTGGAAAAAAGAAAGAAACTAACTACCTATATGAAATGGTGTTTAAGTGATTCCTAAAGCCCTTTTAAATGTAATTACACGAACAATAATACTTTAAGAGATACTTTTTTAATATTGTTTTCGATAAAACATGGTTATATTTTACCATTTTGGGGGGGGAGGGCTTCAGCCCGAAAGCCCCCTCCTCCCCCCCCGTAGATCCGCCTGTGCTATGAGTTACCAGTCAATTTTCTATATTCATTATATTTAACCATTTTTTTTAATAGCAGGTTTAAATGTGAAAATATTTGCATAAGTTTCAACTCGAAAATCCATTGGTGTCGGCCAGGGAAATGGAACTTCCGGTCCCGGCACTCTGGCGAGCTTTATATCTCCGGTTCCTGAGGGGTACAAATTCTAATTTTTGGTGTACAAATTAGTACAGATTATGTACTAAATATTGGCATAGGTTTCAACTCGAAAACCAATACGTTATTTGACCATGTCGCTGGCCCGGCACTTTTACGAGCGTTATATCTCCGGTTCCTGAGGGGTACAAATTCTAATTTTTGAGGTACAAATTAGTACAAATTAGGTACTAAATATTGGCACAGGTTTCAACTCGAAATTCCGTTGGTGCCGGGCCAGCGACATGGTCCTACATCTCCGGTTCCTGAGGGGTACTAATTATAATTTTTGGTGTACAAATTAGTTCAAATTATGTACTAAATATTGGCATGAGTTTCAACTCGAAAATCCATTGGTGTCGGCCAGGGAGATGGAACTTCCGGTCCCGGGCCTCTTTCGAGCTTTATATCTCCGGTTCCTGAGGGGTACAAATTCTAATTTTTGGTGTACAAATTAGTACAAATTATGTATTAAATATTGGCATAGGTATCAACTCGAAAATCCATTGGTGTCGGCCAGGGAGATGGGACTTCCGGTCCCGGCACTCTTTCGAGCTTTGTATCTCCGGTTCCTGAGGGGTACAGATTCTAATTTTTGGTGTACAAATTAGTACAAATCATGTACTACATATTGGCATAAGTTTCAACTCGAAAATCTATTGGTGTCGGCCAGGGAGATGGAACTTCCGGTAGCGGACTTTCGAGCTTTATATCTCCGGTTCCTGAGGGGTACAGATTCTAATTTTTGGTGTACAAATTAGTACAAATCATGTACTACATATTGGCATAAGTTTCAACTCGAAAATCCATTGGTGTCGGCCAGGGAGCTGGAACTTCCGGTCCCGGCAATCTTTCGAGCTTTATATCTCCGGTTCCTGAGAGGTACAAATTCTAATTTTTGAGGTACAAATTAGGTACTAAATATTGGCATAGGTTTCGACCCGATATTCCATAGGTGCCGGGCCACCATGTCCCTGGCCCGGCACTTTTACGAGCGTTATATCTCCGGTTCCTGAGGGGTACAAATTCTAATTTTTGAGGTACAAATTAGTACAAATTAGGTACTAAATATTGGCATAGGTTTCAACTCAAAATGCCATAGGTGCCGGGCCAGCGACATGCACCTTTCTTGAAGGGTACTAATTCTAAATTTTGGTGTAAAAATTAGGCACTAAATATTGGCATAAGTTTCAACTCGAAAATCGATATGTCATTTGACCATGTCCCTGGCCCGGCACTTTTACGAGCTTTATATCTCCGGTCCCTGAGGGGTACTAATTCTAATTTTTGAGGTACAAATTAGGTACTAAATATTGGCATAGGTTTCAACTCGAAATTCCATAGGTGGCGGGCCTTGTAGATGATATTTTATGCTTATTATAAATAAATAATTTTAAAAAACAAAAGTTTTTCCATTTGATTATTATGTTTTCTAGTCTATGCTTTTATACACTGTCTATAAAAGGCTTTCCTTTCCAATGTATCATCTCACTGTTTCCACTTTGTGGAAATCCCAGGTTAGCAAACTCATACATGCATTGTTTCAGCTCTAAGTGTCAGTTGTTTTCAGTAAAATTTTAATACTGCCACTTGCTTGGTTCCTGACTATTTCCTACATTATCGTATGCTATTTACAAACCTTTATCATTGAACTTTTAATAGCAATGGTCTCCCACTTCTTTGGTTGGTACTTTGGACAGACTTCAAATAAATAACAGCAATAGTTCTTCTAATTTCTTGTTTTGAGATTTCTTCTTTCTTTGTTTGATAATAGCCATCTCAATAACTCAAAAATATAGACTAATACTATTTATTTCTCAATCCAAGAAAACTTAACTTTTATAGATTTGATAAAATGAAAAATATCCAAATCAATAATCCTCACATTAGTATCTGATAAGGGGGGAGAAAGTAAGACAAGTAATCATAACATCTTTAATTTCAAAAGAAAAGAAATAGGCTTCTTTATGTTGTACATTAGATCATAATTTACCCTGACCCACATTTGCCTACCTAAAAATTGGGAGAAAAAGTGCCAAATATAATAATACACTTCTACATATTATCTATCTCATAAATTATTGTTTTAATCCTCTGAAATAATCAAGCTTCACAAAAAAAAGTTCGCTTTTATTTTCCCTTCCAAGAATTATAAAAAAATAATCAAAATAGAGATCTTATAAAGTTTACAATAAAACACAAACTGATATTTGAGATGTAACCGTTTCGTTTTTATAAACAGAGCTGTTGCCAAATTTTAATATTCAGGTTGTGACAGAAGGAAAGGGTTATTGTTGGTTAAGTGAAACTATCGAGACTTGTTGATTGCCTGGTCCTATAAATAAAACACTAGACAAACAAAAGTTAGCTCAGATGGTTTCAAATATAAGTTCGTAAACATCATAATTGTTTAAATTTGTCAATTATGACTGAGATATGAAAAAAATAACGATTGAAATAGAAGGGAAGAATACTTTACCTTTATCTGTATACAAAAAAATAAAAGAAGTAGTTTAGAGTAAAAGTTTAATTTATAAAAAATGTGTGAATGCAATTGTTGTTTAAAAATGATTAAACTATAATAAATCAAGATAACCATATAAAATAAAATCAGACAGACTTATAAAATTTTACTGAAACCATAATTTATTAAAGAAAAATAAACAATATTTTATTATTATTTTTTTGCTAAGTGTTCAACAATATCTTCCTTTGTAATTGATTTCAGTTCTCTATTGCCATTCCTATCCACAACTTGAACGCTGAAGTTAGGCAAATTAACAATCAATCTTCTTTGAATTTCTGCTATACACAGTTTTAATACATTATATCCTTCTTCTTGGGTCATATCTGAAAATAATAATAAATAAGTAAATAAAAAATTTAACCATACTATAAATATTGTAAAAAAAAAAGTATATATTATTAAAGATATTTTTTTTTTTCACGTTTTAATAAGAAAGACTCATTATTGAAAATAATAAACCAAAATTCAATAATAGATTTGATTACATTGTATTTATGTAATGTAGATGAGATGATCAATTCATTTTATCATGCAGTAGAGTAGTGTTTGGATCACTTAGTTGAAGGGAATTTTCCAAATGACTTTAAAGTGTGTTAACAAATGAGATGGGAAACTTACTTTTAAGTAACAATTCAAGATATTGAAGTAGCGGTATCTATTTGGACATTGTGGCCTGAAAAGGAGTTAAGGCCTTCTCTTATGGAACGAACAGTGAGATTTTCTGGTTAAAGCATATAAAATGTGAAGAATATACTTAGGCAAACTAATCACTCATTATTGGGATGTTAAGACAAAAAACTCCAGTAACGAGAAATAAAAAATGTTAAGGTAATTACACTGAATCTAATGAAAGTATTTGAGATAACAATAATATTGTCGACGTTTGATTTCCTTTAATTTGTCTCATTTCCTATGGAGAAATATTAAATACATCTCTGTCTGATATTGTTTCATTGTAGATATAACGAGCCTTGTGTTAAACCAAATAAGCTAAAAGTTAATTACTTTATTTGTTAAATTAATTTGAAAATTTTAATGGAACCTTTATTTGCGTATCGATCAAGAATGCTGTACGATATGAGGCCACCGTAACCATGAGCTGCGAAAGGAACTTTCTGAAACGATGCTAAATAGTCAAGGAAATATAGTTCACCACCATTTTCCTTATCAAAACCAGCCAGTAGTAAGTTTACTTGGTAAGGAGTCTGAAAAATAAAACAAAATTAGTTATATTTAAAAAGTAGAGCAAGCAATACCTAACAATAATTCATTTCTTACTGATAAAAAACAATTATTACAAAATAATGTGGAAATAATTGTATAAAAAATTTTTACTTGTTTAACCCTTTGCTGAAAACACAACTAAAGAGGACCACTTTTGAGTTTGTTTATCTCTTGAATGAGAAGTACGAGAGCTATGATTTAAGTGAATACAGTAATGATTTTAATAATTTAATTTAACCAGAAACTGGATCTTAAACTAAGATTATAAAAACAGTACAGTTGTAAAAACTGTTTTAACAGAAAAACTTCTGAGCATGAAAACTCGAGCTGCTGGGCATTTTGAGGAGATTCTGGCTACTCAAAGTCGAGTAACCTGGTTTACATTTACAGTCATACACTGGTAGACAAAAAAGATAAATAGAAAAAAGAGAATTATCAGGTGATATTTACTCTTGCTGTTAATGGCAATATTATTACGGTACTAGTTCACAAGAGTTCCGCACGGATTATGCGTGGTTCACAATCACTTCGATCACACTTGTTCATGGAATCCTGAAAACAGCTGAATGTTGTCGTATTTTATGACGTCAGCTATTGCCTCATTACACAATCTCTTTTCATGCATTTTTGAAAAAGAAAAAAAAAAGTATTCCCTTCATGGAACTTCTTTATTAACAATTTATGAACGAATTGTATATTTACTAATTATTTAATTATTAATTTTTATTATAAAGCTTATCACTGTGAAAGAAAAAGAAAAAAATACATAAAATAATGTTCGAATCGTTTCTTCAAGGCCTGTCAAAAAAAATGCTTTTAGTAATAACATTTTTATTGACACGTGCTTACATGTAAAGGTTGTAAATACGCATATACTGTGCATTATCTTTTACAACTGTGTATAAAAGATTTTTTTATCATTTGGATATTAAATAATTTGAAGTTAACTATTATCTTTTTATTTGAGTTTTTGAATAGAAGTTGGAATAATTGAATTTATAATTTATTTTAGCAAGCCTTTTTTAGATTGTGCAATCGTGTATCTAGTTTATGTAAATTTTTAGATTTCTAATAATACGAGGTTCCACTATTTTCTAGTGGGGAGGAGGGGCTTTGTATGCATTTACTGTCTGATTTGAGATTGAGCATCAAGTTTATGTAACTTTTTTGAATTCTTAGATATACGGATCCACTATTTTCTAGTCGTCGTAGCTTTTTATGAATATACTGTCGAATTTTAAATTGTTCGTCAATTGTTTGTAGATTTTTGGATTTATTAGATAAAAGAGTCCACTATTAAGTTGTCAAGGAGGCTTTTTATGAAAATAATGTCAGATGCGAAAAAAGTATACAAAATTAATAAATAAAATGTATCTATCAATCGTTGTATAGATAATATTTATTCCAAAAATATCCAATCCCAACGAGACTTGTAGATTTGCCAGTTAGTTAACTGTTAACTTAAAATTTATTTTTTTGTTTTAACCGCTATTATTTTTATTGAATGAATTAGCTGTGTAATTATTGTTATTCCCAGTTATTTTTCTTGGTAATACGAAAATGGGAACTATTGTAGTCATTGGTACAAAAAAAAAAAATCGTGATTATTTTCGAGAAAGGAATTAACGTATTGGGAAAACAACTGACGAAGAATATCTGATAATTCCAAGATAATGAATAATGGAAATCATCAATAAGAAAAATAATATCGTAAAATAGCATTCAGAGATGTAATAATTAAAGGTTTTAATCTATTACTATTTCTTTTTTACAGATCTATAATATATGTCCACGTTCAATTCAGGTTTCATGATGTGTAGCCTAAATTTCTAATGTAAGTCGGCTCCTGCTATATAACTGAACATGGTTAAGCTTATAGAAGTACTTAAATGACGGGAAAGTTAATAGTAACTGGCCCAAGAGATCGGTCGCCTTCGTTCTCTTTCGGATAAACCCGAACGTATTCGGGATTCCATGAACAAGTGTGACCGAAGTGATTGTGAACCATGCGTAATCCGTGCGGAACTCTTGTGAACTAGTACCGAATAATCAATAAAATGAAAACAATCAAAAGTAATGAAAGCAGATGAGGAAAAATATTAGTATTATTTTGCAGGTACTGCCCACCATAGCAGCTGCTGGTAGCTGTGGACTACTTCAGTGAAATAAAAAGAATACTTCATTGACACTGCTCGGCAGTATAAATATAATTTCATACTCATACTGCTTCTTTCTAACCACCCCAGAAGCAATGAAGCAGTTGACACCACCATTCGAGATTATGTTATCAAATAGAAGAGTTATGATGATAATAATCATGTTGCTACGTTTCATTTCCTTTGTTTAAAATTTAAACATCACCATAACAAATCATTTTTGTAGGATTGAAGTAACAAAACCAACCAACTAACATTAAATAATAGAAAAAATTAATCTTATATAAATACTCATATCGAAACATTGATGTTTTCTATTCAAAATATAATCAGAATCCATCACTAACTAGAAAATGGGTACAAATATATAGATAATAGTTACCACTTTATAGACAGTAAACAGTAAATACTCAGCCAAAAACTATCTATCTATCTATCTAGTAAAAAAGTAACCTAATCTCATTATTCAACTTTAAATAACAGGAAAAACGGTGCATATTAGATTCTCATACAAATAAAACCTATTACATTTAAGGCAGACATTTTCATTAAACATTACTCTCAACTATGATTATTAAAATGCTATTAACAGTTTCAACGAAATACACAAGAACAATTGAATAACGTTTGGCAGTATGGAATGATAGTCATTACTGTGGGTACTGCCAATAAAATGGTACCTTACAGCATATAATTTGAAATTGTACATTTGTATTGACTTACACATAAATTAAGAGTAAATTACATCACAACAAAAACTCAAATCAACACAATATGAAATACATATACATGGGTGTCGTAATTACAAACCTGACTGCGCAGATAATCTGCTAAATTATGCCTAGTGAAATGAGCTGCTGCACTTGGAGTAAGTTCATATCCATTCCTCATTTTGTACAATTGAACATTCTTACCAATATATTCAGCAAACTGAGAAGTATCACCACTGGTTCCAGTAACACCCATGATAATGTTATTTCCAAGAGGGAATATTTTCTTCTCGTCTAAAAAAAAAATTGAAAGTAAATATATTACAATGACTAAGTTTTCCTTTTTAAAACTACATAATAACTAACCAGTTTTCATAACAAGTATGCTCTGGGTTGTTGAACAATCGGTAGCTATCATTGCAAAGTCCTGACAAGCAATTCCTAAAATTGTTTCCATTGTGAGGAGATTATCAAAAATATTAATACAACTCCAACCTCAAATTCCAAAATCACTAGATGACAAAGCTACGAGGGCTCGTTAGTTGATAACTATCGATTGTTTATTTATCGATAAAACAAAATAATGCAGTACAAACGAATCCAAAGTGATAGGTGGAATGTTACTTCAGTAATCCGACAATTCTTCTTGGATTATAAAGAATTCCAATATTTGTAAAAAAAAATTATAATCTCAACCAAATTTAGTCTAAAAATAAGGCGATTAGCTTAAGAACAAATGTAGTAAATTAAAACTATGTAGATACTTAATAGTTAAATTAGTGGAAACTATTTCATTTTCTGATCACCAACCCTGACTATCCCTTTCCTCGTTGATTAAAACTGTAAATAGGTTAATAAATTCATGATAGCCAATAACTCTTATAGAGAACAGTGTCATTATTGTTAATCGAATGAGAGATTTTTTGATGAGGAGCTTGAAAATAGCTCATAAAAAAAAAATACAAATCTATTATCAATATATCAGCACAGTTAATTAAATTTTCTAAAAGTTTTTATTTTACATTATATATATACTCAGTTCAAATGGCACTTTCTAATGCAATCCTGGCCACTTGATTCACCGCCATTCCAGTAACATGACCAAACCACCTCAGACGATTTTCCTCTTTCATAGATTCACTAACGTTTTTGGAGGAGATACATCCAAGAACAGCAGAATTCTCCCTGAGGGAAGAACAAAATGGATTCAGGCCAAGCAGAAGTATCCATGATCTTATATTCGCATTTAGACAATTTCCAACGTGTCCTTCTTTCTTTGTTCGTATACGCAGACGATTTGGTATTTTTTGGAAGCAATAGATAAAACCTTTAATTCAACCTTCCGTCAATCCTTCAAAGAATTACGAAAGATAAATATGAAATCAATATTGAACCTATGAGAACTGGAAGGAAAGAAGGAAGAGGTGTAGAATAGTTCATTTGAATGGCCACAATATTATCGAATGTATGATTTTAAATTTTTAGGCTAGTGTAATATGTCAGTGTTTCACTAATTTCGATGTTCTCTAATTTTTAAAATATAAAACATATTGCTGAGAAGCCCCGTTTTTAAATTATAAAGCAATTATTGAAAGCATTTAAAAAATCTTTTTTTGATTGGCCGCCATTTAATATTCCGGCAGAAATATACTGTTTAACTCTTCTTCAAACAAATAACTGAAATAGGTAAAACGTAAAATGTTTATAAGACACGTTTTTCTAACTAGGCTTCCCCTCCGCTCTCCCCGACTATATACACATACATAAAAAGAACATTATGAGTGCAACAACCAGAAAGTTGCTTTGAGGTGCACATAAAGCAGGTTAAGGCATTGCATGATGTCTGCATCTGTTAGAGTTTTAGGGGCTGAAGAAAAACAACTCTGAAAAAAATTATGAGCTCTTCACTGAACGTCTGTTTCCAAACCACATACTGATGTCATAAATACTTTTTTTCTTCACTGCATTCCCTTAAAGCAGGGGTCTCCAAACTTTTTGACCAGAGAGCCTTAGTTTGGAGGGCAAAGGTAATAAATGTTGTACCAATAATGGGCTACTGGACAAGCATATGCAAATGCCACTGGTGACAGTAAATCTTGAATTTTAATTTCTATGTTCCATTTTATAGGGTTTATAGTTGTTACAATAAAAGGGATGTTTAGACCTGAGCACAAGTCAACATCTTTTCTTTTTTAATGTACATCCTCATCCTAGATTATTATTTTCACCTTCAGCTTACTTAATTTGTCCCCATAGAGGTGTTTTACCCCTTCTACAATATCCTTTACCCCAGGTAATTCTCCCTCATATTGGCAGAGATAACGTGCTCTCAGAATCCATAGATATTAAAATTTCTTTCAGAGGTTTTGCACCGCAGTGCATTCGACAACTATGTGATGTAACTGAGGTATAAGTGTTCATATCATATTCTTCGTTCATAAGTCCTTATGTTTGTTAAAGATATTCAAATATAAATACTGAAGATGATAAATTCATACTCAAAACTTTACATCTCATGATAACTACTGTCAATTCCATTCCTCTATTATTCCCTCACAAGTAGCTAAAGACGTTATCAATTTAAAAAAAATATCCATACTATTTAATATGAAATACTTGTGACTAGTGATTTCCAATACAGCGGACCTAATTCTGCATTTCCATTATAAACTGACCCAACAAAGATGAAAATAGTATTTTACCTTATTGTATGATTAATTTGTCTTCTTTTGGTTCCAAAATATTTGAAAAACTGTGATACAAGACATTTTTTTTTTCTGTTGGCATTACAGACTTTGTAGATCTTTTGCCGCTTTAACAAGCCTACTCGATCTTTGCCTGTCTTGGTAGCTCTATTAAATCGTTGTTGATTCTATCTACCCATCTGCTTTTTGGCCTTCCACATAGTCTTTTGCCTTCTATTGAGGCATTCATTGTTACGTAGATGCTTCCAGATGGATTGCTAAGAGCTACATGCCTCGCCCATCTTAACCTCTGTGCCTTCATGTCATGTAGGATATAGATTGACAAGTTTCTGTAATCAGTTTTTTATACTCTTATCCTAAATCGCTCCATTTATTGTGCATAAGATTTTTCTCTCAAATCTTTCAATAATTTTTTCTAGGGTGCTGGTTAGTGTCCAGGTCTCACAGCTATATCTTAGAACTGGCTTCTTTTTTTTTTTAGCATTGTGCACTCTTAATTTGAGATTTCTTGAAATTTTAATACCTTTGAAAGGGAGAGGATAGCTCTGTTTGCATTAGTTATATAGTGGTCTATTTCTGTCCGTTGGTCATTCATATATGTTATTGTGGAGCTGAGGTATTTTAATTTTTCTACTCTTAGGAATGATTTCCCCTCTAAGCAGATCCCGTTATTGGGATGAAATTTTCGGCTTATTATAATATATTTTGTTGTCTTCATTCACTTGTAAGCCGATCTGCTCTGCCTAGTTTATCATAGTCTTATCTTGTTTCTCAATGTCTTCTTGATTACTTCCAAGGACAGCTATATCGTCTGCGTATCCAAGGATTTTATGATTCATTCCGACGTGGACCCATCCATTTTCGAGTGATGTTCTTCTCACCTTCTTCAGGACTAAGTTTAACAGCATTGCTGGTAATCTATCTCCCGTCCATAATCCTGTGCGAACTTTGAGGGCTTTAGATACTTTTCCTTGTATTAGGACTCTACATTTAGGATCATTTTTACATGCCTTTCAATCTCACCAACTTACCAGGAGCCCCCAGTTCAGTCATTTTTTAAAGACAGTTCCTGTCCACAGAATTGTAGGCTGCTTTGATATCATCAAATAGGAGGTGGATGTCCTGAGCTACTTCCAATTTTTTTTTTTTCATTGTTTGACTACTAAAGATAATCATTTAATACCTAACTCATTAACATTTACAGTTTCACATAACAGAAGAATGATTAATAGCATTTTTAGGGTATTATCACACATATACTTCCTTACACTAGAGGATCCTGGATTTAATTTTTGGGGGGGGGCTTCAGCTAGGAAAGATTTTTTTTCATAAAAATAATTAAAAAAAGAAAAGAAATAAATTAACTACCTATATGAAATGGTATTTAAGTGGTTCCTGAAGTCCTATTAAATGTAATTAAATGAACAAGAATACTTTAAGAGGTAGTTTTTAATATTTGTTTTTGTAAAATATGGTTATATTTTACCATTCAGCCTGAAAGCCCCTCCCCTAGATCAGCCTGTGCTTCCTTACCATCAATTTTCTCTCCTTGATAAGCTTTTCTCCATCTGACAGAGCTTAGAACAAACCCATAGGAGCTGTAGTTAGGTTAGATGTTTTATCAAGTTAAGGGTTTGAGCACATTCAGATAGTTTAGAAGTGGATGGGTATAGGTTATTAAATATGACTCATTTTTCATTCATCATAACATAATGAATTATTAATTCCAATAACAAGTACAATATATACAGTATATAAATTAATTAAACACACAAATTAGATGTATAAACATTTTATTATTCATATATTAAGAAGTTTCTCCCAATCTGGAAGATTCAGAAAAATATAAAACAGCTGACATTTCATTGTTCACATTATTATTTAATATGATAATAATAATCATTAACAAATCATTGATTGCTCTTAAATCAATCAATGCAACTTAAAGAAAAATACAAAAATGTATAGCATAAATATAAGTTAAGAATTTATAAGATTACAAAACAAAACAAAAAATGATATAGAAATGCAATGAAACTTTAATTGTTGTATAATCAGATGGCACCATGGTCTTCTGTTTTCACCTACCATCTTACAAATATTAATGCAGAATGTTTGGATTAAAAATAAATAATGGAATGAAAATGCTTAAATATTTATAAGAATACTTTTACATAATATCAGACCAGGTTCAGGAGGTAAAGAATAAGAAATAACTTAAGACTTCCTTTGGAAGCAGTGCATTCAAGCACACAGCATCGAAATGCTTATTTCAGTTCTACGATCAAAATGGCTTAGCTATCAGCTAACTTAGTCTTCATTATTTGTTTAGAGCTAGTGTTCCTTCTCCGAATATTAATAAGCAGACCCTATCAACGACGTAGGAAAAGAAGAAATCTGCACATAATATTCCAACCAAAATTAACTTGAACTGTAAAAATAAAGAACAATGTTATCAAAATAAAATAAAACAGAAAATTAATATTATAAATAAAACAGTATAAATACCTCTGGGTCAAAGTCAACAATTTCAAAAGTGTGTGCCACATCTGGGAAGGCACCCAGAGCAAGTGCGAAAACAGCAAATGTTGATCCGACGATGCTAAACAAGAGCGGCCGGTTTTCCGACAGACTTTCCATAAATGGATGACCCTATATATATAGATCAACTGAATGAGACATTATGTCTAAAAAAATTTAAATAAAATAATAATCAGATTTAAAATATTTAATTTATTTATTTATAACAATGGGGGGCTCCTCAACATCTTACGGGTCATTTTAGCCTTTACAAAATATTTATATTACATCAGATGAAATTAAATTTAGCAATAAACTGAAAGTACAAAATATTAAAAAAAAAAAGTTACATATTAAAGCCTCAAGGATAGAAAATTACAAGTTCTTTTGTTCATGTAAAACTTTATTAAAATACAGTTCTTTGCACATCCTCAATACCTTTTGTTAATAATAAATAATAAAAATAAAAAAACACCTTCGTGAACCTGAGGGTTCTATGCTAATATCACTGATCACTATCTACAAACTTATATCTAACAACCGACGTCCAAATTCAATCCTGCAAGATCAGTCATAACTCAATCCTCCCATCTTCGCTTCGGTATAACCCTCAGACACTTACCAGTTGGCTCAGAGCATATTAATCTTTTAAGAATTCTTTCATTACTAAGCCCAAAAATTTTGCATGTCCATTTTATTCACCACAATATAATGACCTCAATAATATTTACCGGGTACAGTTCATGCAATTCAATCCAACATTCTGTAGCAGATTTATTTTCAAAAATCTCAAGATGCTGCTCATCCCTTAAAAATAGGGACCACGTTTTGAATCCATAAAGAACTATAGGAAGGATAATGGTTAAAATTAAATTTTGGAACGGAAGGTGTGAGCAAAGAAGTTTCGCGACAGGAAAATAGCTAGCATTTCCCGCATCAATTTTCTCTGTTCTAGTTTCGTCATAGATATATTTTGATAATTTAAAAAATATATTCTTCTAAAAACTTAGTATAAATGACCTTGAAATAAGCTGAATTCTGGTAAAACAATCTTGACTTTGGAATGAAGACTTCATAGCCCAGTAAATTTAGGATTTGATATCAAGAAAATTCATAATTGGCTATAAATGTGGGGATTAGTTCTTCATCAAATGCAGAACAAACCATGAAAAGTCCCCTCAAATCCCATGTCTGCTTCTATCCAAAATGGAGGGTCAAAGATGGCCATATAGAACTTTTTGTATTATGTTATGTTTTTTCTCATTTCTCCGTCAAAATCCACCATTCTTGAACTCTGTAATTACTAATATAATTGGCAAGGATGCTCGTTTTGAATTTCATTGAAGTTCACCTTATAAAAAAATGATTAACAAATTAATCTTTTTGGGTTTAAAAAAGTGAAATTTTCCTGAGTCGAATTCTATCACCCCACATAAGTTTGAACTTATAGACAAATAAAAATTAATGTTTTTACGTAATCCTAAGCACTTTATGTAATTTAAGAGACACCTCATTAACTAGCTTCATGCAGTGGTCAACTGCCAGCATGTGATATGGAAATTTAAGTTTAAGTCCTTAAAACTGTTTCTTTAGTATGTTTTCCTTAGTATAATTATGAAAAAAGAAGAAAGTTTATTTTCATCCCACACTAATAATGAGCACTTACAGACTAATAATAAATAAATTTAAAAATATTCCAAACCTAAAATTTTTATTTTTAAAAATATACTCACCCTGTAGTTAATCGCGAATGTAGAGACTTGTAGACATATCGAGATGATATAGACGGTGCTATTCAATAAGTTAGGCTCGAATATTTCTTCATCTTCTTCCCCATCCGCCGTAACAGTTGAGTTACTTTTTATATCTCTATAAAAAACAAAAATCAATTGTCTTACAATATTATGAAACTCAAAAATATATATAAAGCCCAGATTTATTAGCAACAATAACCATTGATATATGTCATATAATACTCTTTAAAAAGTATGATAATATGCAATATAACATCCAACAAAATAGCGAAAGAAAGTAAGGTAGCAAAAATATAAAATATTAATCCATAAAAGTTTCACTATTTACACTTTTCAATATCATATTTACTATTTTTAAAATATTATAATTTCAAATAGCAGCTTTGCTGATAAGGACTCTCAAGAAGGATTAAGTTTTATTTTTTCTTAATAATATGATAATTTCATTCAATGCAAAAGCATATACATTTTTTTCAGAAATGGCTAAAAACTTTTATGAACCTTTCCTATAATTATCTACTTAAAATTATTTCAATTTTCATATATGACAGTGAAATACTGAGAAAATGCTAGAAAAAAATAATTATGAAAACAAAAATGTTTTCAGGCAAATTCACAAAGTATTCCTTTTAGCAAAAATAAATAATAACAGTTATACATCACATTCTATTTTCTACACTACAATTGTGGTTTGAGTATTAAAAAAAATAAAATATATTAACTAGACCCATGCAAATGCTTTGCACAAACCTAATATTTGTATCTGATTTTAATACATTAAGGACTCAGCACAACTTCCATTCAATAATGTTTAATAAATATATTTAATAAGCTATAAGTTTATAAATATGATTTACGCTCTGCCACGGTTTAACCATTCATCATTAATTTATAGAAGCTTCTAAACATTGCTTTAAATATCCGATGATGAAAAAAGAGAAAAGTCTCAAATTCTCAGAAAGGAGTAGTTAGACCTAGCAGAATGTTTGTTACTTTATCATTAAAAAATAAAAAATGAATTTTCAAAAAGATAAACTTCAATAACAAAGATCTAAAAGTAAAAAGAACATTCCAAAAAGTGTTTACTGGAAGACGCATTTATAGAAACGAAAATAAAATTAATAATTTAAAAAATAAAATGTTTTGAAATAAAATAAAATAATTACTAATTGAAACATCATATACTGTGCGCTGGAAAAAAAAAGGGCATTGAAGCCTAGCAAATCTTAAATTCCCAATGTGCAACAGAATGTTTGTGGTACAATAAATATTAACTAAATGTACAGAATGCTATAACTCTGCACCGAATTTCGATGATTTTTTAAAAAACGTTTTGTAGAGAATTCAGTAGTATCTTTCAATACTCGTAACCAGGGGTCATCGACCACCAAGAACCAAGATTTGTGATGAAAAAAAAAAAAAAAAATCCCGTTCTATATATGATACTTCAGCTGTGAAATGAGCTTCTCCTCATTTCCTCGTGTCCGAGTAATTTGTTAAATTTCATATTTTAAATTTTATCATATAATCAAAAAAAAATTTTGTGGGCTGGATCTGCCTGTGGGCCATATTTTGGCTCATTTATGAATTCGTTCATAACGTCTTGATTGATATAGATGGCTCCATCATATGATTTGCAACATCCCAGTTTTATTTAAGTCCTAGAATAGCATTAGGAATCAAAATTACGATTTGTGCATTCTATGCGATATTCCCTTTCAATTGATACCTCATTCATCAATCAAAATAAAAGGATATAAGAGAAGAGAAGGTAAGAAGATAGATGATAAAATCCTAATCTCGTCACCATAGAAACGAACCATTTCACTATTCGAGCCGTGTTGGACCTCTCACACTTTTTGTGAATTAAAAAAAAAAAATTAAAGGAGTCTTTACAAGAATTGAGAGTAATTTTTTTCTATTATTCGATTGCTATGAAAGTTTGTTGTTGGAGATTTTCCAAAATGTGAAATAGGAATCTCAACTTCGTTTATACTTCAAAAAATACTTGAATCCACTTTGCTCCTTGGGTTGGTACAAATTATTTCATTTTAACATTGTACTTGGCATATGGCACATGCCAAAAATAAGCATAACAAATAAAAATAAAATATCAGTTTATTATTTCATGTTACAAGATGTAAAATTAAAATCTTGCCTTTCCTTCCGAAATGGCGAAAAAAGCATGTGTCGCTAAAGACTGTAGTGCCAAAACGTCTGTAACAATGTTAATAAAACTTGCTACTCCAAAAAAAAGTACATAAATGGTACAGAACTGTTTATATTTAAATACATATAAAAGTGTATGTACGAAAGTTTAAGAGTTTCATATAGTTTTTCTTCAAATTTCCAATAATAGTTATGGTCGATTCGAAAACTGACCAAACTCTAGTTTTATTAATTAAACAATTTTCTACACTAAAAATAAATTCAATAATCAAAATCTGCACAACACATGCTTTTAGAGCCTAAACATGCATTTACAAATAAATCCATGCCTTATGTTTAGTCATGTCTAAATCGCTACTGCTAGTGCAAATGGTCTTATTCAAAAACTAGTAGGCCCATGCGAAAAATTCGCACAGCATATTGTTATCAAATGCCAAATTAATAAGAAAATGAAATAATGCAACCTATCAAAAGATGAAGGAATCAATTGCTACTTTATCAATAAATATAATCGACAAAGGTAAAAAAATTAATTTAAATCTTCATTTTTGTTTGGAACCAACATATTTACAAATTTCAATAAGCTGTATCTTTGCGAAAAATTGTCCGATTTCAATGATTTTTTTTCCCTTTTGTAGACAATTTAGCTTTATAAAATCATGGGAATAACCAAGGAAAAAGTGTGTAATTTTTTAGTTATTCGCAAATAAAGTTTCTTTTCTTTTATAACTTGTTTGCCTGAATTTTCGGGGTGATTAGACTATTTCGCCCACCTGAAGGAGAAGGAAGCCTTCTAAATTGGTGGCTCAATCTTGAGATTTGGTGAAGAATTAACAATGATATAGCTTTCCGATCAAAAACACCATCGCGATAAATAATATAAACTCCTCCTTTCTCGATCATAGAGACCTCAAGTCGACGAAATGAGACATGTATCCAATGACAGTATTACAATTAACGTCAGGTTTTGTGGATGCGAACCCCATGCCTTGCGTTATTGAAAATAGTACGTTTTTTGGCTTAAAAACGCAGGATCCAATAGTTCCGGAGGAACTATCCGGGTCTTGCTGTATGCATCAAAATCTTCAAGGTCCAATTTGTCCCGCATCGATCTACGGACTTACCACCGTTCCAGTATTAAAGCCTAGCAAAATGTTTGTATCGACTTTATTTATTTTAGAAAGAAAAACAAAAGCGGAGAATACGATTCGCTAACCCCCCGTGAAATTCTGAATCTAACGGTACCCCATTCATGGTATTTGAGCACAACAGGAGCTTATATTTGGTACATAACCGATTTCGAGCCTTACTGTAATAATATATGTGGGGATTGTCTATGTTAATTCTATTTGTGCTAAAAGTGACATTTTGTGGTCTGTAACTGCAATAAATAGTCTGCTACTATGGAAAATAGTATAAGGAAATAAAACATAAAACTATACTAATAAATCATAAAGAAATAATCAGTTTTTGATTATTAAAAGAAATGATCTTTTGTATAAAAAATTCAATTTTTACAAACAACCTCCTTTGGCACTAACAGTCGCAATATGGAACAATTAAAAATTAATAATGAATTTTAAGTAGCAAGCGTGAGTAGTAGGACTTAGTTACTGCTATTGTGTTAACGTATGATTGAAGTTGGCAAGTGAGTTGTTTCCATATATTTGGTTTTGGCTGCCCATAATGCTACTAGTAAATTCACCACCTCTCGTCTCAACGGCTGTTGCTTCTTGAACTGCTTATAGCAAGTTAGTTAGAAGATAATATTTTTGATCTAGTTCACAGAGCTCGCTGTTTCATGCAAGGAACTGGTAATAAAAATGTCTAGTATAGTAACCAGCAGAGTGAAAGCAGTAATTGACAATACAAGTTAACAATGCAGTAACTATCTACTCACTAAGAAAGCTACTCGCACTGTGCAAACCCGCCTTTAGGAAACTTAAATTTCTTTTCTTTTTCAAAACTTATCATCTTTAATAGTAAAGCCTTACTTCACAGGTGATCGAAGATTTGCCTGCTGGACCAGGTAGACTAAGCAAATAAAATGTACAACAAACTGCAGCAGTACTGTTAATATCGTGTAAACGTTGAAGATATTAGGAAGTGGCCTTTGTTTAGAAAGTACCTTTAATGGCTGAAAAAAAAATGAATAAAAGAAATCATCATTGACAAGTAAATATAATTTTATAATATAAACGATTACATAAATACAATAATTTTATTTTAATTACACACCATGATATTGTGCTGATCTTCCCGTTGAAGATGTCATTCGATTCAACTTACCGAGCCTAACAAATGTTGTTGTATACATTTTTAGGATTAACCAAACAGATTAGCCAGAAATTGGAAAAAAAATTTTCACTCCTTCCCCCTGCCACAATATTCAGATCAAGTTCTAATTTTACACGGATGTAGGTGACTCAATGTCCAATGTTATTTTGCCACCGATAAAATCAGCAGAGTTTAAAGAAGTGGAGAGACTACAACTCTTTTTGGTTATTTCAATCGACTCCTCACTTCATCATAAATGAAAATTAAACACATACAAAATTTTAATGGATCGGTGGTGTTTGGTTTAGTTATGAGGCACCTAAACAAATAGCCAAATAACAAAGCTTTTAAGTTATGACTATTGCGAAAGCTTGACTTCCATAAGCCCCACCATAAAAAATTTCAAAACAATGAATCAAACAAAACAAACAAACATTAATTATATGATTTAATCAACAATAAAAAAATTGTTAATTCTTCAAAACAATCTTATGAAGGCATTCATAATTCTATTCAGTCTGTCCCTGAGTTCCGCTAAGAGGCCACCGTACACCACGCAGCCGTAATCAAGGTGACGGAAGATACTAGTCAACGTGTGGGAATGTGGAATTGTTTCAAGTTATCAATTGACCATCGAGAGATGTGAGCAATATGGTGATCCAGGAGAGGGTTTGGTCTATGAAAATGCCTAGGTTTTTTACTGAGGAAGTGAAGGTGATGGGATCGTCATTTAGGTAACAGGATAGGAATATTAGTATTGGATCTGAGAAAGGGTTTGGAACCAATGACAATGGCTTGTGTTTTGGTAGCGTTTAATCTTAATCCATTTAAGTTTGCCCTGGCACTGTTCCGATTTAAGTCTTCTTGAATTTTGGCAACGCATCATGCAACTCTGAGGAAAAGAAGGATAGATAAATTTGGGAATCATCGGCATAGAGGTAATGGGAGCAGTGAAGGATTGATTTATGGATGTCGATATAAGAACAAAAAAGAAGTGGAGATATGCTTGAGCCCTAGGCTACTCCTGAGGACAGAGTAAGATAGGCAGACAAAGGTTGATTAGGGATAGCGACAGATTGTGAGCATTGAGAGAGGAAAGATTGAACTACCAGGTAGAACTATCGGAAAAGGATAATGATTTTAATTTGGAAAAGAGAATGGATTGGTTAATGGTATCAAAGGCTTTGGGGAAGTCAATGAGCAAAAGGACAGTTATTTTTTGTCATCTATGGCGGACTGAACATCATTAATGATTTTGATTAGGGATAGTGTGGAGTAACCTAGTCGGAAACCAGATTGGTAAAAGTCAAGTTGATTGGACTGTTGAAGGAAGACGGAAACTTGGGATTGCACGATTCTCTCCAGGGGCTTGGAAAGGTTAGAAAGGATTGAGATTGGCCGGAAATCTTCAGGGGAAGACGGATTAGAATTTTTATTTAATTACAGAACATGTTTTTTTTTTTTTCACAAGGTAGGGAATACTGAATTTTGAAGGGAGAAATTAGAGATGAAAAGGAGCACCAGAAGGATTTCATGGAGGCATAATTTGATATAACAAACATTCCGTAAAGAATTTTCTTGGCTTTACGCATTTAATAGGTGTACATACAATAATAAAAGGAAGAAAGATCACTTTATAATATATACCTTAGATCTGGATATAAAGAGGAAGCAAGCTGCCAATAATAATCCTTGGACTGTAGCCTGCATGTCGCTGAACTTGATCCCATCAATGTACAATACAGACTGGCTGTAGGCGAGTATTAGAGCGTTCAGTGCTAGGATCTTGAACATTTGTAATGTGGTCACCAGGGTGCAACGTCCCTGCTTTATCACATGGCATACTGCAAAAGATTTTTTTAACGATAAGATTATGTTAAAAAACAAATCAAAATGTTATCAAATACGACAGTATTTTCATAAAAAGGGCCCCCTAAAACATATAAACAGACCTAAATATCGAAGAAATTCTAAAATTGTAAAAAAGATTATTCGAATCGTATTTTCATCTTAAATAACGAATAATAGATAACAGATAATGCATATTATTTGTAAATAACAAATAATTATCTGTCCAAAGATCGTCGAATAAGAAATAACGAATAAAAATTTATTTATTATTCGTTATCTAGATAAAATTTCAAATAATTTATTTAAATAATGCCCAACACTGCTGCCATGCAATCTATACAAGAACAACATCAAGTAAAAGAAATATGTTACAATACACTAAAAACCTTACTGCATTGAATAGAAGATCTTTTGCTCGTGAATGGAGCTGCTATGCTTGCATCGCCCAATTTTACTATTGGAGCCTGTTCACTTTCTTCAATCTCTCTTAACATCCGCTGAATTTTTTCCTGTGTTGAATTGACAGAATTCTAAAGAATACAGATAATTATTGACACAATAAATATAAACTGTTTTGAAAATATAAAATCTTTTGTAAACTCACAGCTCTTTGTTCATTACTTCCCCTTTGAGGCATGGCTAACTTTTCAGTTAGGCTTCTTACTTTTTCTTTTTCCTTTTCTATTTTCTTCCGATCAAACTTTGGTTCAGGTGCATTGGCCAGAATAGCAACACCTTAAAATTAGGCAAACTATCAAATTCATATAAAATGGAACATGCCAACAAAGTTATTAATATTCATAATTGTTAGGTATGTTACAATCTAAAATGTTTATGTGCAATTAAAGAACTAATGGTTAATCCAAAAATCATGTAAAATATTAACAGTCCAAAAGAAAAACCACCAATGAGAAAAAAAGTTTAAATATCAATTTTATGTAAAGTTTAGAATTATATTTTTGTTGTTTTCTTAGGTTAACCTATGAATAGGGGCTGAGCAGCCCCATGGACTAAAGATTGAGCAAAACACGTGTTGCCCGGCAACTTGATTAACTGAAGATATCATGACCGAGTTCACGTTCCAATGCCGATGGACATTTTAACTCTGGCATTCATCCTTCCACTCATCCCAGGACCAGAAAAGACACTATACCCTGAAAGGTGAGGACAAAAAAAAAAACTAACCTATGAATGGTGACAAATGAATCTGAAAAGTCTTTGTATAACTCAAATATCATAAATTGATTTATTTGATTTTTGAAAGCCAAACAAAACTTCAAACCTCATTTTCTCAAAATTAAGAATTTGCCCATTAGTGGTATTGCTTTTGAATTGATAATATTATGAGGTAAATAATATAAATTTAACAGAATAATGATAAATTATATACCACAATCAGCATGCTTTAGGGCACCTACATCATTGGTACCATCGCCACACATAAGCGTTGTGAAACCTAGAGCTTTAAGGCTGACGATAACGAACTCCTTCTGTTTGGGCGCCACACGAGCGAACACAGCTGTGTGCGGAAGGAGATCCATAAGAAGACGTTCGTTGCTTTCTTGTAAGTAGGTCAGTGCCTAAAATAAACCATTTTTCATAAATAATTTATAACTAAAAGTAAAAAAATTCGTAGATTGCACTTAAATAACATTTTCACCACAGTATTTTTGACTTAACCATTTTAGAAACAAAACTGATCCATATATGAGAGATTTTTAAGCTTTCTTGTAACTGAAAATACACCTGAGTGTTTTGTTTTTTCATTATTTGACATTCACAAAGAAAACTTATAACTTAGCTGTAGTCATGTCTGTAAAAATGCCACTCGTACAATATATAAATTGAGTGCATTTACTAGGAACAAGATTTTCTGTAATAGAACTGATAAAATTAAATCACATAATATAAGGACATAAGATATTCACATACCTCACCAGTAATACAAAGATCGTAAGATTCAATAATACTGATCCCTTTGGAAAGTGAAATCTCAGTTCTTTGTTCTATATCTTCCCAATGCCAGCTTCCATTGTTCTCTTTTAAAATAAGGACACCGCCTGGCTTAGATACAAACTTCAGTTCTTTAGCGACATGACAGGCAGTCAAAGGATTGTCACCAGTAATCATCATAACCTATATAAAAAAAAAAAAAAAAAAATCAAAAGAATTATTCAAATGGGTGTTAATTTGGATATAACATAAGGTATCTATGCCGTTTTTGGCCTTTTCAAAGCTTCTTCAACATGTTTTAGAATACAATTTGTATAATAACATAGCTAAATAAATATAAATTTAGATATTGTAGCAAAGAAAATACATAAATGAATACAGAGAAGGCTTTGTATAAAAGAAAACAATTCACTTCAGGCTTTATAATACTGAAAACTACCTAGTATCTAATGTTGTATACTAACATTGTAAAGCAATACTTCAATTGGGACCTATCATAGAACAATTTTCAAATTAAATAGAGAATTTTTAAAAAGCAAATTAAATTATTTAGTTTGGTTACGTACAAAGTATTGTAATGTAAATATTATATATTGAAATTAATGGGTCAACAATAGTTTTAAATAGTGGCGCGAAAGCAGTGATGTTAGGAACTAATTTTAAGGAATGAACGAAGAGGAAGAAGCCATAGATGTTGGAGGGATACAATAACCGGCCAGCAAGGAATAAGTATCTAGACCAGGACAGTAAAGTGGAAAATTGAGAGAAGCCACTAGTAGATGTTTGATTTGGAGAGAGGGGCAAGTTGGATTAATACAGTAATGTCTGCAGAAAAACTACAGAAGAAGATCGACTAAATTCACTGTCTGGCCAAAGGGTGAGTGCAAAATATATAGTGACAGTATTCAAAGCGCCAAGCGTAGAGCTAGACAAATTAAAGGGTGAAAATTCATAATTGTTTCATATAAAATTAATGTATGGTTTAATAGTATACAAACTTTGTAAATAAGGAATGTGTGTTTAATTGTCACAACCCAACCTGATTAAAATTTTAGAGTTTTTTATAATAATTTAAAGTATTTGTTGAGTGAAATAAATTTGTTCAGAAATGGTTTGTTTACTTTTCCACGTAAAACACAACCTTTCAGTATATTATAATTATTTATTTATTACAATCATAGGTTTAATTACAAAGGTTTATCAATTTTTAAATCAACCAAGAAGAAAAAAAAAAAAAAAAAAAAAACGAGCTTGAAAATGGGCAATTGCCTTAAACATCATCGAAAAAAATAAAACTGAATTGAAGCATGGAGAGATAGTGTAAGGGTTTAATAAAGTTATTTCCTCGAAATTATTAATTTTAGTAAAAAAAAAAGATGGGTGGAAGCAGTTGCGAAAAGACTAAAGGCAGAGATGGCATTGCACCTGAATTAATAAAGTAGAAAGAAGAGCAAAGCAGACAAAGATAAAAACACAAAGATAGAAACAAGGTACTCACAAAGTGTGAAGAACTGATGATTTCTTTAATGACAGATTTGGAATCAGTCTTAAGAGGGCAGGTGATGATGAGGAAGCCAGCGAAGCTCAGACCTGACTCAACATCATCTCTCGTCAGCTCTCGAAGCTGTTGGTGTGAGAGGTGTCCAAGCTGTCGCCAACCGAGTGATAACACTCTTGCGCCTCTGCGGGAAAGGGATAGGTAGATGTTGTCATAGTTCTCTGGAGCATCTACAAACTATAAATACAGACAAATCAACTGACGGTTACGCTAAGAGAATATAAAATATTACATAGTTCATTAAACATTAAACAGAAATAAAATTCACCAAAACTTTTGTTTAAGAATTTCCACAAACCCGTCCGAGTCATTTTTAGACAAATTTCACATCATTGCTGATAGGACATAATATATATCATAGGTTTATTGCAAAAAGTAACATTCCATAAAATTAAATCACTATGTAATCTGATGAATTTTCTTTATTTGAAATCAGAACACTGTGAATTTAGCATAACTATATAGGTTTAGTAAAAGGTTTTTTGTCGTTTCCATGCCCTTACAATGATTTTGTATCAATAAATGAGATAGAAATTTTTAAAAAACATACTTGAAAGTTAATCTTCATTAAAAATTTAACTAGTGATTTTATACAATAAACCTATAATATACATTGCAATCTCAGTTATTCAAATGAATTCTTGCAGGAAGATGTTTACATTACAGAGATTTTTTGGAAAAAATTAAATCTTGTAATAAAAGATTAAAACTCAATAAATACATAGAATTAATACATAGAATTAATATGTCTAAAAAGCAATTTGTTTTTTTAAATGAATTCAGTGATTTTTGTTATTTAAAAAATAAATAAATAACAGATGTACCACCAAAACCTATGAAGGGTCTTGGGTTCGGCACTATGTGATATAGCACTGTTGGAAGGAGGTTATTGGGCCGACATCATGCTCAACCACCAGGTTTTCCCATTTAATTAATTAATTAATTAAGAGTACCCACTTTATAGAGGCTTGGTGTGCCCCAGAGGGTCTGCTGACACCAGGGTCGATGAAAAATTACTAGTCATCAGCTGGATTCGAACCTAGGACCTTGCGTTTAAGAAGTCAGTGCTCACCCACTGAGCCTAACTACACAGCCTAGAGCCTCAATAATGCAGGTAAAAACTAACTAACCCATCTATGCTTTGCCAATACAGAACATCTATACCGTCCTGATCATTCCTCAATAATTGTTTTTTATCCGTATTTTTGAGAAACAAGGTAATATTTTGCTGGTACTGCCCACGGTAGAAACCACCATATCTTATTGCCAACTGTTAATGCTAGTGTATTTTACTTAAACTGCTCACTACTCTCTAATGGTCTCTGTTTTATAAAAAAAAAAGATGAAGAGGCTTTTGGAAAATAATCATGACATGTACAAGTGTCTGTGTTAAGAAAATGCCTGTAAATTCCTTTCCGTCTTTCCTTAGAAATACATGTATTGCTTTGTGGGTCCCTTTTCTTTTTCTGAATGAAAAATTTTATCCACTGTTCCTTCATTCCACCACGTACAGAGTATTGAAGTTCGGATTACTGAGACTGGACTGCATAATTATAAAATTTAATTAATCGTTTTACTTTTAAAATATCATTAGGCAATAAATGATCATTACCCAAAACTATATACCATCAGGTTATAGCAAAAAGTCAGCAAGAACATTTTTGATGGAGCTGAACTTTTAAGAACGTTTTTGTGGATTTCCACCTCGCCCGAGTCTCTTCATGTAGTTACAGTACAACTGCCTAGGCCTGCCTCTAGGTCGCCTTCCCTCTGGTTTTGCTTCTAGGAACCATTTTGCCTTTTCCACACACTCAACGCCCATCCCCAGTACTCGTAGCCAAACCACTTCAGTTGGTGCTCCTCTATGACTTGTTTTACAAGCCTTACATTCAACTCTTCTCTTATCCTCCCATTACTCGAGCAGTCTCTTCGAATTTTCTCAACAGCTCTCCTGAGATATCTCATTTCTATGGCCATTACTTTGCTTACATGTTTGTCTAAGACTGTCCAACTATCTGCACCATACAAAAGGACAGGCAAAAATACTGTTTTAAACAAAGCTATTTTTTTATTTCTTGTTTTTTCTAATATTGTAATGTAGCTGGAGTAAAAACCACACCATTGGCCTTCTTGATTCTAGTTAAAACCTCTATTTTAAAACCTATATTCATTGATAACATTGCATTTTTCATAATTGGATTTGGTACAATTAATAAAACAAAAGATAATAAGAAAACAATCTGAAAATCTTATATTTTGTGAATTTTATAAGATTAATAGATTTATTTATGTAAAACCATAAAAGAATGAGTTCTAATAACAATATATACTATTGTTTATCGAAAAATTGATGAACAAAATTAAATATATCTGACCTGTCACGTGTAACATTGTTGGAACATAACTTAAAACTTAATTTAGTAAAGAATATTGATATATGATAGCTAATTGAAACTCATTTCCCTTAGCTTGGATAGTAGAATTTCCTGACTTTTCAAAGTTATAAATTAAATATAATATTTAATATTTTTAATAAATAAGAATCAAATAGAATTTGAACCATTGGTTTGAGAGTTTCAGGAGCCCCTTTGACAGCTGCGATGTAGGTGGTCTCTGAGGCACCCGGTTGGGTGTATCCTGCGATGACTGACATTCTCTTGAGACTGGAAGAGAAGTGATGACGAGTAAAAATCTTTAAGCCAGGTGATTTATACCTCTTAGGTATCACAGCATCTCCTTAAAAAGTAAAATCATTCAATATTTAATTAAAAATATTTTTAAAAATATATGTAAATATATATATTTTTAATATACACCTAATAGTATAGACCCAACTCACCCACAAAAACAGTAACACTGGTGAGAATGGGTTAAATCCTATAAGGTTAATGAGTTAAATAACAATATTAAAATGTACAGATTACAAGATATTACTTTAATGAAGATAAGTATATATGATATAGCCCTTAGTTATTATGCAACAAATTGCTTGATTTAAATGTGAAGTATTTATTTCAAAGCTTGAATTTCACACTAATAGATAAACTACCATACTTATAAAGTATGATAATATGTAGAATAAGAAAATCATTGTCAGGGAGGCTACCAAACAGTTAAAGTAAAATTCTCTGCCATTTCTCTATTTAATGATAGTTTTCCCTGATGAATATGTCTGGGGAAACAAATATTAAAAATGTATAATTTATAACTAAATTTATTTACTATAGTTAAAAAAAAAAAAAAAAAAATAATTTGAGTAAAAAAAAAAAAAAAATGTTTCCTCTAAAACATTTTTTAAGCTTGATTAAGATTTTTTATTTTAAAGAACTAAACTATTAGTAATTTATTTTAATCACTTTTATCTTATTTTCATAAACTGAGAGAAGGTCAAAGTTGATCCTTCACATAAAAAGCTCTGATTTTCTCCATTATAAAATAAAGTGCGTTATGGGATTCTAATATTAATGTATTTCCTCACAAGTAATTTAGTTTCTTTATTACTATAAATAGCATAATAATTATCACTATGACACCAACTGTGCAATTTCTGCTTATTAAATGTTCTTTTAAGGAGCACCACAGGTCAAACGAATGAGTGCTTGCCAACTAGATCTTGACCCAGATTTATATATCACGAATAATATTGGTATGTTTTTCTTTTTGAAAAAACACTGTTTTAAGTCTATGTTTCTTAAATTTCATTCATTACCCTTGGTTGATTTCAATATAATGACCAGTGCCGTTATTGACAGTCAAGAGGTGGAGGAATAAAGCGACCGTGATCGTTTATAATGATAAAGTTTACTCCATCCCATGTACATTTACTTCCAATTTGAAAAAAAAAAATTACATACAAAACAATTCCCTAACTGTTTTAATATGTACTTTTCTCCATTCCCATTTTTCAGGTTATTAAGATTGGTCGCCACCCTGATTGTTGAACATAAACAAACATTGTAAAACTTAGCAGAAATATTACACCATAATGTTAAAAAAAATCCTATATTAAGAATTAACATTAACAACAAAACAATATGGTTTATATATTTGTGAAAAATAATATTTGATACATTTATGGAAAATGTTATCTCAGAATTCAGCCAAGAAATCTTATTCGAATAATCGGTACTACTGGCTTTCATTTAAAAAAAGAGCAATATTCATATTAAAAAGAAATATTATGGCTATGTTGAAGAACTATAGGTATGTTCTATTAAAAATGAATGAGCATCATTCAAAACTATCTTCTATTGTTCAAAAGTTAAACAACAATTATAATACGCTGAAAACTGATCTCTAGTGCTGGGTGGATTTCATTTATAAAACGATTGGCATTTATATTCAAAGAAAATACTATAATTATCTTGAAGAACTTTTGATAGGTTTATTAAATAGTGAATAAGCAATAACTAAAGATATCTTCTCTAATTTTGCACTAGTGCAAAAGTTAAACAGCAATGATAGTACACTGAAAACTGATCTCTAGTGCTAGACAGATTTCATTTTTAAATGAATGGCATTCATATTCAAAGAAAATACTGTACTTATGTTGACGAACTGTTAATACGTTTTATTCAAAAAGAATAAGCATCATTCAATACTATCTTCTATAATTTTGCACTAGTGCAAAAGTTAAACAGCAATGATAGTACACTGAAAACTGATCTCTAGTGCTAGAAAGATTTCATTTTTAAATGAATGGCATTCATATTCAAAGAAAATACTATACTTATGTTGAAGAACTGTTAATACGTTTTATTCAAAAAGAACAAGCGTCATTCAATAATATCTTCTATAATTTTGCACTAGTGCAAAAGTTAAACAGCAATGATAGTACACTGAAAACTGATCTCTAATGCAGGGTGGATTTCAATTATAAAACAATTGGCATTCATATTTAAAGAAAATACTATAATTATGTTGAAGAACTTTTGATAGGTTTATCAATAGTGAATAACCGTTAACCAAATGAATCTTCTATTATTTTGCATTAGTGCAAAAGTTAAACAGCAATGATAGCACACTGAAAACTGATCTCTAGTGTTGGGTGGATTTCAATTATAAAACGATTGGCTTTGATATTCAAAGAAAATAGAATAGAAAAGAAAATTGAACTTTATTCTGGGACTAAGTCTCCTTAGAATAACATTGATGAATTAATACAAATCTGGCCAAAAACTAACTTATAAAAATTCTAACATTATATACATTATTTAGAAAATAGTATGTAACCACTAACAAATGAACCAAAAAATACCATAATTATGTTGAAGAACAATTGATATGTTTTATCTAAGTTAAATAAGCATTATTCAAACGAATCTTCTATAATTTTGCACTAGTACAAAAGTTAAACAGCAATGATAGTACACTGAAAACTGATCTCTAGTGCTGGACAGATTTCATTTTTAAACGAATATCATTAATAATCAAAGAAAATGCTGTAATTATGTTGAAGAACTGTTAATACATTTTATTCAAAAAGAATAAGCACCATTCAATACTATCTTCTATAATTTTGTACTAGTGTAAAAGTTAAACAGCGATTAAAATACACTGAAAACTGATCTCTAATGCTGGGTGGATTTAATTTTTAAAATGAATGGCATTCATATTTAAAGAAAATACTATAATTATGTTGAAGAACTTTTGATAGGTTTATCAATAGTGAATAACCGTTAACCAAATGAATCTTCTATTATTTTGCACTAGTGCAAAAGTTAAACAGCAATGATAGTACACTGAAAACTGATCTCTAGTGCTGGACAGATTTCATTTTTAAACGAATATCATTAATAATCAAAGAAAATGCTGTAATTATGTTGAAGAACTGTTAATACATTTTATTAAAAAAGAATAAGCATCATTCAATACTATCTTCTATAATTTTGTACTAGTGTAAAAGTTAAACAGCGATTAAAATACACTGAAAACTGATCTCTAATGCTGGGTGGATTTAATTTTTAAAATGAATGGCATTCATATTCAAAGAAAATATTATAATTATGTTGAAGAACTTTTGATAGGTTTATTTAATAAAGAATATGTGTTTAAAAAAAAAAAAATTCTGTACCACTATAACCCTTGAAGGGTCTTGGGTTCAGTATTATTTAGGGAAAGAACTGTTTCTTGGTCTACAGTAGTGCAAGGAGGTGATTTAACCGAGATCACGCTCAACTGCAAGGCTTTTCCCCTTAATTAATAATTAATTATTTTAATTAAGGGTCATCACAAGTCTTGAAAAATGGTGTCAAAACTGGAGGATTAAAATAAACTCAAATAAATCCCATCAAATTATTTTCACTCTTCGTTGTAAACCTATGACTTCCTGTCCTACAGTATCCTTCAACAATAACCCTCTTATCCCTGTCGAACAAATCCGATACCTAGGACTCCACCTGGACAAACTACTTACTTGGAACCCCCATACCAGACTGAAACGACTAGAAACCGCCCGACGTTTTCGACTACTGCAGCATTTACTAGACAAACGCTCTAAGCTTTCAATCAATTACAAACGACTCATATATTTGACAATAATAAGACCTATTTGGACTTACGGAATTGAGCTTCGGGGCTCCACTAAACCACCAAATTCCTCTCGCATCCAATCCTTACAATCCAAAATCCTTCATAAAATACTTTACGCTCCTTACTTTGTCACAAATAAAATCATCCAAAAAGACCTTAATGTTCCGTATGTTTCCGATTTGGCCCAATCCAGATACCTATCCTACCATAACAAACTGCAGAACCATCCGAAACCTCTCGTTTTAAACCTTGCTTCCTCCTCTATCCCTGATAACCCCCCGACACGTCTGAAAAGAAGATGCCCACGGTACCTTCTAATATAGAACTTTAATTTGAGTTCTACCAATGGGTAGTTTCTCTTCATGTTGTACATGTCATGTTACCAATATCACATTTACTTGTTGTATTTTTCAAGTAATACAGTTGTACATTTCATTAAAATAAAAAAAAATTAAGGGTAGCCACTTGATAGAGGCTGAGTGTGCCACAGGAGGGTCTACCTACCCAGGGTCGCCCCACGGCTAATGATACAGAATAAATAATTTTTCTGCCTCATGGCAGCCGGGATTTGAGCCTCGGACCTTTAGCATTCGATGCTCAGTACCCTACCACAGAGCTACCCCACTCCCTTTGTTAACCAAATGAATGTTCTATTATTTTGCACTAGTGCAAAAGCTAAACAGCAATGATAGTACACTGAAAAGTGATCTCTAGTCCTGGATGGATTTCATTGTTTAAAATGAATGGCATTCATATTCAAAGAATAAGCATCATTCAAAACTATCTTCTATAATTTTACACTAGTGCAAAAGTAAAACAGCAATTATAATATAATGAAAACTGATCTTTAGTACAAGATTATATTCATAAAACAGTGACTCCTATATTAAAAAAAAAATACCATTATTACCAAACTTATTAACAGTCTTATAGCAGATAAATAAGAATTCTTAGGAGTATTTTAAATACTGCTTCTCAAGTTGGAAGAATTCGTCCTAACCTCTTATAAAGATTTATAAACTAAGGAGGAAAACCTAATGATTGAGCTCAATTCGGGTCAAATCATTTCTTCACACTAATTAGTTATAAACTATTTGAACTGGTATAGGTTAAATGATTAGGATTCAGTTAACCTTTGTAACAACTGGGTTTTAAGATTATCTATACTATGATAGCAAATGACTAAATAATCACCTTTTGTAAGACTCCAATCAACTGCAGAAAGTGTAGCTTTTTCTAGAGGATCGCCAACTATACCATCCTCAAGCTGAGCCAGCGAATGGCAAGATGCTAGCACATGCATTGTTTCCTGAGGTATGTCACTCAGAGATGTAATTGTTTCTGGTTGTTTACTGAAAAAAAAAAATAGATTATGAAGAGAGAACCATAAAAACCAATCAGTATAGATGCATAATTCCCACAAGTAAAACTTAAGACAAACATGACCAGGGCCTCGGCCATATATAGGGCTTGTTCTCGATGAAACCACATATGGTACAAAACCACCTTTGCTGGTCTCCTTTTGTTGATCTAACCTAATTTAACTGTATATTTCAATCTTGTTTATGTTTTAATTTTAACAATATTTTTTAAGGATGATTCAAAATGTTTAAAAATTTAATTGAATATTTAATAGTTGACTGTTGCATTATAAAGGAAGGAGATGGTCCAGGGGGGTGGCGGTCATAAAAAGGCTAAATAGTGGTAAAACTATTTTTATTAAAAGCCAACGTTTCGACCCGACTTTGCAGGTCTTCTTCAGCGCTAGCTGAACACACCTGTAAGTCTCTTATTTTATTCTTCCATCTTATTTACATATTTATTTAATTATTGGTTCCCTTTCTTTTCTTTCTCCACATTCCTTTATGTCTATTATTTCATATTATATCCCTTTTTTTCAACCTCTCCTGTAGATCTGTAGAAGTATATTCACATTTGCATTTATTATATATTACACTACAACAATTGTTAACATCTATTTACTTCAGTTTAGGATCTTGTTACTTAGCTAGCTTACTTTCTTCATATTTTAATGTACTTACTGTTTATAATTTCAATAAGCTTATTCACATTGTTTATAAATTTTGTCTAAATATTATGTATCTGCCAAAATTCTCTATCTTTTTGTATCTTGTCCGTTCTAGCCCTGAAGAAGACCTGCTAAGTCGGGTAGAAATGTCGGCTTTTAATAAAAATAGTTTTATCACTATTTAGCCTTTTTATGACCGCCACCCTGGACCATCTCCTTCCTTTTTAAAAATTTAAGTACTAGTGATTTGGTCATATAGGACAGGAATTTTCAAATTTCTTCAATTAAAATTAAAATTTGCATTTGTGATGCACAACTAGACCCCATCGACACCTTCAAAAAGCAAACTAAACTTGACTGGCCTGGTGTAGCCTCTATGCTGTGAAGGGAGAACTATTCTTGTATTAATATATAAGATATTATATACTAACATATTATAGAAGACTATTCCTCCACTATCCAGGCTTAGGTGCAGGCATCTGCATCCTAGCAATGACTGTTTTAAATATAATTGAGCAATATTGACATAAAAACAAACCCAATTTCAGTTAGCTGACAACATTAATTTGAGGCAAATAAATAACTTCTCAATGATGACATGGTATTTAATTTAAAAAAAAAATTTAAATAATAAATCCCTTTAAAAGAGCATGCTAACTGCTTAGCTATTAGATTTAGACCAACTCAAACCACGTAAAAATATATAATGCAGATTGCAAAAAAAAAAAAAAAAAAAAAACGACATAATAAATACGTACTTTAGATCAATGCAAATAACACACTGACAAGTGTAATTAATATTGCAGCATATATGGGACCAAAAAATTGGTATATATTAAGATTTTTCAACTTTCATACTTTGATCTACACCTGTCAAGCACATGGATCAAAATGGAGGGAGTGCAAGAAAAAAAGTTGAGGTTTCAAAAAGGTACTACTAACTCAATTCACATATGTAGAGGTGTGAACCCTTAAATCTTAATTACAAAAATTCAAGAAATTTATTATATTAACATAAGAAAAGGGCTCCTGGCAGGGATGGGACATTAAAGGTCCAATATCGTTGTTAATATAGGCCTATAACTATCGATACCATCAAAATATCAGACTTGAAATATTGATAGTCGATATTTTCAACATATTTGAAATGTGAATATAAATATTGATTCTCTAGCACATAAGAGCATAAAAAAATATGTTATTTTCCTCTATGAATTAATTAATGAAAATATCAATTCTACTCTCCTCAGTAAAATTAATTTTCTAGTTCCTATCCATTTCCTCACCCTCAGTTTTTTTTTTTTTTTTAGTAATTTCCATTCATCCAAGATCGGATTCAGTGAAATACTAATTTATTTGTATCCTAAACAGACTTCTTTGATAATTTGCGACCTTGGTTTGAGAAGGTTCTAACTAATGAATTTGGGCAAATTGACTTTACTGAGTGAGAAAGGTCCCACAAGAAAATGAGAAAGGTCGCGCTATTCAACTCTGCTTAGGGATGACCATCTACAGTTGATATTTTCCTCTGCTAGGCACTACCTTATATACAAAACAGGCAAGATGAGTATAATTTTTTTTTATATCAGATTCATATATAATTTCTAACACTTTCCGAAAATGATAGTTTTAATTTTAATTTTTAAATTAAAATATCAAAGGGGCTATATCGATGGTAAAATATCGAATAACAGAAAGAAAATATCGATATTTCGATAATATTGATAGTCAATAGCCATCCCTAGCTCCTGATCATATTAAATGTACCAGGACCCCCATTATTGTACAATAACATTTGGACATATATAATTGGTACCCATAATTGTGGTTTTCCAGTCACTGCTGTAGTTAGGCAAGGAGATGCGCTACACTATTTAACCTTGCACAACATAGTGTGATTGGGAAGCTAAACTCCAATGGGCATATACTGCGTTCATCCACTCAAATCTGTGCATACGCTGATTATATTTGCTTAGTGGCAAGGAATAAGCAATCTCTTATCGATTTATTCAAACTGTTGAAGGCGGAAGGATAGGTGCTTTGTTTAGAAGTCAATGAAAGCAAAACCAAGTACATGTTTGGCAGTTCAGGCAGTGATTCAAGAGAAGATCTGTGCGTTAAAGGTTTTTCTTTCAAAAACGTTAAATTCATCTCCCATCTTGGTGTGGAGCTTAACTGCAAAAATGAAATAGCCGAAGTGAATAGACGGATTATGGCAGGTAGTCTACTATGCAAACATAAAACTCTTCCGCTCATTGCTGTTTTAATGAACCACAAAAATAAGGTTGTACAAAACATTAGTAAGACCAGTAGTGACATATTCTGACCCTTTGCACACCCACAATAAATGCTTTGAAAATCTTCGAGAGGAAAATTCTCCAAAAAATGTATGAACCTGTGTTGAAAGAGGGTGAATGGAGAATTTGGAAGAACAGCAAACTATATGAGCTATGGTCTTGTGACATTATCCCCTTCATATGAGCAAGGAGAATTGAATGATTGGGTCATGTAGCATGGATGAATGAATCAAGAATGCATTGATTGATCTTGGAAAGATGTATAGTACCAGAAGGAGAGGACGTTCTCGGAGAAATTGGATTCAAGATATGGAAAAAAACCTGGAAAGTCTCTTGGTATAAGCAACTGGAGGAAGAGAGCATTGTGCAAATAGGACTGGTGCAATGTTGTCAGGAAAGCCAAGGCCCACCTCGGGCTGTTGTGGTACGTAGTAAAAAAAAAACATTTAGACAGGTCACTATTTTGCCTGAAATAAAAATTAACCCCACTTCTATGATGAGTTCAATAAAACAATTTTATAAACTGAATATCAACTCATTTTATCTGAAAAAGGCTGCTGTAAGAGCACAAATGAAATAGGAGACAAAAACTGATATCCCTGAAAACCCTGTCCGAGTCCCACACTGATCCTATGAAATAAATAAAGAGAACAATCATAGCAGGAAAAAAGAAACACTAGATGTATCCCTGAAAACCCTGTCTGAGTCCCACACTAATCCTATGAAATAAATAAAGAGGACAATCATAGCAGGGAAAAAGAAACACTAGATGTATCCCTGAAAACCCTGTCCCAGCTCCACATTAATCCTACTACTTTCGCTACAGTGTAAAAGTCTATCATTTTCAGCGAAAATAAGATTAAAAGAAACATAAAAAAAAAGACCTATCGGTCTTACCGGAACATCTTACCCGATTCCCGCAACACCTTCAACAACCAGATCATCACTTGTTAAAGTTCCTGTCTTATCAAAGCAGCATATTTCCACCTTGCCTGCGAATGGAATCCTGAATGGCTCAGTGCAGAATACAGCTGTAAAAATAGAGTACTTCATTTGAAATACATTATAATGCACATATCATTAATTATTATGTTAAATTATAGCAACTTACACAACTTAAATAATGATAAAAGGGAACTGTTGACAGCCAGTGACAATTCTATAGGCAGTTCCGGTGGTATGACTGATGTCAGAATTAAGGTACATTCCAAGAAAAGGCGGTATTTATTCCTGTTAGGATCCTCCGAACCTATCAACACATATTCAGTGAAATATTATTATTAATACAAACCTTGCTTAACCAAAACATGAAATATGATAAAAATCTCTTAAGAAATCATAAACCCGGTTGCCCACTCAAGAATATTTTATTTTTCTTACCAGGTAGGAATGGAAAATATTGTAATAATATAATATTGTCTATTTCCAGTTTTAAAAAGATCTTCATGTTTTGAGGCCACTTAAGTCCATAAAGAACCATTTATCTGTGATACAATTATTTCGTGCACAGCAGTTTAAATTGTTTTCCTTTTGTTTTGTAGGTTTTCAGCCCCTAATGCCTCTGTAACAAATTGGCAAACCTCTGGATAGGAGGTGAAATTCTATAATTCTATATGCTGTAATATCAAATCAAATATAATAATTTTGATGAAATGAGCCTCTAGTCTTCAACCAGAAGCCCTTTAGAGGATATGATGGCCTAGGTGTGGATTCCAGAATGCTCGGTTCTGAACGTTCCTACATGGGCCGGTTAATATTTATTTCTCGGTGGTCCAGGGAAATGAATCTTGACATTCCCCCACTGGTAAGTACATGGCTGCAACCTCGAGGAAGCCAGGGGTAGGTAAAAATGATTGCAAGGTCCACCAATGCAGGTCATCAAAAGACAGAGGAGTAAGCAAAATGCAGGTAAAGCCAGGGGATAGAATAAGGCATAACATAAAGTAATACCTAACAGTTGTCTTTTAGAGGACAAGAAACAAGAGTAAGGTGGTTTTAGTCAGTACCAATAACGAATATGGAAAAGTATTGGCCTATTCCGGTCTTTTTTAAGATTTCCACCAATAACCCCAAAAAAATATCACAACTTTGTAACATTAAATCAATCGGTGATTATTTTAAATTATTTTCATTCAGAATAGTACCAACATTTAAATTAAATGGTGAGGAAAAAAACAAACTAAGAACTTTTAGAAGTGAAAGGTTCTTTAGCTTAGCACTTTTTTTGTGGGTGTGAATGAGACTGAGGCGCCATACTCGGATATGTAACGCTGATTCCAGTATTTAGCTCGCGTCGACTAATTTTTGCATTTGGATTAAAATATCTCACTGCAAGCGAAGAAATTTGTTGGTATTTCATGCTGTTTGTACTGGGCTATTATTCAAAACTTTATCTTGATGCAACACCGTATAAGAGACGCAAAAAGGGAAAAAGATAGTGTGAAAAACCAAATGGCAACAAATTCCATACTATATATTATCATATTAAACGTGAGAAGTCGAACTAAAATAATGAGAATATTTTAGTTATCATAAACCTATTGTTCCATTTATAGAGTATGACACAAATGATGATCAGTCAGAGCAAAGTTTACCAGAGTAATTTACACACAATTATACTTAAATAAGTTGTAAATGTTATTAAATTGTGAATATAGAAAAAAAAAAAACTATATTTCATATTATTAATTTGGATTAGATGCTTTCATCTCTATCGTGTGGTCCAAAGCACAGTGCAGGCTTTTTAAAAAATTAATTGAATATTTTAAATCACAATTAAAATTTCATCATTAACTTTTGTTAAAGCTGGACACATTTCATTATTTCAACATAAAACTGTAAAATCTTGAAAGGACACAACATGGTCTGGCTTGCTAATTCCTCGGTTATAGTACATTTAAAAAATAAGCAAATTAAATTTATAATTTATGGTAAATGTTTTGGTCTTAAATAAATAATCCAATCCTCACCTTTGACCCAAACATAGGCTGCAGCAGCTACAGCAAAGATCAACAGGAATAAGATGAATCCAAATGTTTCTAAATTGTTTGCCGTCACTCGTTTCACTCCGAAAAGGATCGTTCTGAGCAGCTTACCCTGTGAGGTATTGAATCCAGTCCTGAGCACGTAACCAACGCAGCCGTTGTCCTGTGCTGATTAAGAGGAATAGTAAATAGAATGAATTAAAAAAAGGGAAATAGTTAAAAAAATTATTAAAAATTAAAATTAAAATTGTATAGTTATAACATGATAAACGTAATAGGAATAAGCTGTCTTACCCCTAAGACCTGAGGAGGTCTTACTAGGAGGCGTGTGCTGGACCACTTTGGTGCCCCCGAAAAGAATGTGAAGTTTGCTTGGTCCTTCAATCTCTAGTTCAATATTAGGATCCAATGATTCAATAGGCTCTTTCATTTGAGGCACTGATTCACCTTCAAACAACAAAATTTTTAAGTTGAAGAATCTCTTTATTTTGTTTAAAAAAAAATTTAGATAAATAAAACAGACTAGGGAACATTAAAAACAAAATCATATCAAATAGATAGAAGAGCTTATGGAATGCTTCCTTTAGCTGGCAAAATTTGATTCCCAGTGGGTGTCCACTACTGAGAAATTTTACTAACTATGTTTTTTTAAACACATATTTACTAAATAATGGTGGAGTATGATAATTATAAATAATAAACATGATTTTATTATTTTTCTGTTGTATATTGTAATGGAAACAAACGATGACATCAACACTCTTCCCTGTATTTTATACACTTTTTGTTTAGTTCTAATGGGAAAATGGAAATATCAGAGAGAGAGAGAGAATCACTTTATTATCATAAAAGGGTGCTGCCCAATTACATTGGGTTGCTTTAAACACAGCATACTTATTAATCGCTACAGACAATTTTCCAAAACTAATATACAATTATATAGTATTAACAACATATATGAGCATAATATACATTTTTTTTTTTTTTTATGTATATATATATTTTTTTTTTATCACAATTTTTTTCCTATATTTTTATTTATTTTTTTTATTTTATTTTATTTATTTATTTATTTTATTTTTACTATTTCTTTAATTCACTTATTAGCACTATACATCCCTTTCTGTTCCTTCTCTCACTCTATACATTTTTCTCCTCTCTTTTCCTAACCTAATTCATAACATGCATACAAATACATAAAGTGCAGTGGACGTGGTCAATAAATAATGTAAAAATGCCGCAAAACACGCATGCCTCCCCCCATGAAAAACTCTCTATCCATGCACATGGTGATGGATAATTCCCAGGGAGTCAAGGATTATGTTCTCTGCCAACCTTGCCACGTCCTTTATGTCGACACCAAGGCCCTCCATGAAGCTCCTTGTTGAGTCTGGTATCGTTCCGCGAGCTCCGAACCAAAGGCCTCTCACGTGGAACTCTCTCGGCCCGAAACTCTCGCGGAACTTTTCACCAAGGAAAGGGATGCATTTCTCATATGTCTGTTTTTTCTCCCTTTCCACTTTTCCTGCCTGATCGAGGTCGTTGGTCTCATATCTCACGGTCGGATCCAAAATCATCGCCGACTTTCCCGTCTTAGGGATTGCCACAATGTCGGCATATCGGGTGGATCCATCCGTATCTATACAATATACTTCCTCGAAACAGGCGTAATCTCTCTCTATAAGGAGCCTCATCAGTTCATGTTTGACTCTGTGGTGACGGCGCGTTATAAGGAGGGAGTTGTTGGGGCATTTTCCAAGCACATGTGCTGGTGTTTCTGGCTCTCTGTCGCATTTGCGACAGAGGGACCCAACTTCTCTTACCTGTCCGCTGACACCTGGGACTCCACGCAGGGGTGCATAATTAATATTCAGTTTCAGGGCATTTGACCATTCAGACCCAGAAAGTACTTGCTTATCATACATGTATTTGTTGGCTTTCGGGGTCTCTTTAAAATGGCGAACTCCAATGCCCTGCCACCTGCAATTGGTCCATTCCTCAAACGAATTTTCTCGAAGCGACTGCCGTAGAGCTCTCATATTCCGAATACCCCGATCAACCCCCAATCTCTCGGCACATTCATCAACCTCAGCCGAATAATCAAAGATCAACTGAAAAAGGGCATCGGGCACATTGGACAGTCGCTGAGCAATGGACCAATGTTGTAGAGGAGCCTCCCATTGGCAGCGGATTAATCCTAATCCTCGATACCTCCTGGGAGAGTACAACATCGCCGTGGAGGTGTTCGCAGGGAGTCCAACAATAGCCTTCACACTCCTGCGAATCATGGTGTCGATGCCGTCAAGTATGGCAGGACGCAGCTTTGTGAGGGGCGCAGTTTGGAGAGGGTAAGTAAGACCCGGGAACAGATATTGGTTGACAATGTTCAGCTTCTGCTCCGGCTTCAGCAAGGGAGAGGTAACCAGTTTATTCAGATTTTCGTTCAATTTGGTCACCGAATCTTCGTTGAACTGTAGCTCTCCCGAGAATGTACATCCTAAATACTTGATTGTATCTCCATTCTGCAATGTTTGGATGTACTCTCCGTTCTCAAGGGAGAGCATCGCTGTTTCCAGCTCTCCTTTATTTAGAACGATGCCCACGCTTTTTTGAGGATTAATAGCCAAACCAATTTCCTCAAAAGTCCTCTGAACGCTGCCAATCACTCTTTCTGCAGCCCCCTTGTCACGCGCTGACACGGCCTGGTCATCCGCGAAACCTGTGAGGACCACACAACCTTGGTCACTTTTTAACTTGTATCCAAATTTTTTGGAAAATTCTTCATCGCACAGGTCGCGATAGAGATGATCGATGGCCAGGTTGAAGAGCGACGACGACAAGGGGCCGCCTTGGGGTACCCCGCGCAGCACTTTGATTTGGCTAGTTGCGTGAACACCGTTACTAATTTTGATTGTGTTGGTGCAGAGGAGAGCCGATATAACACGTTTAAGATCCGGTGACACACCTCTTGCTTCTAAGGAGCTCATGATGTGTTTATGGCCAACATTGTCAAAAGCACCGACAACGTCAAGGAAGACTACCGCACAATCATTTTTCATAACTTTTGCATCTTTTAATATAGCGTCGATAATCCTTGCGTTGACGTGCGTTCCCGGGAGGCCTTTTATAAAGCCTCTCTGATTCCTGTGGAAGGTGACCTGCTTTCTTAGTTCATGGTCCAGAACTTTCTCTATGATTCGGCGCACAATAGAATAAATGGTGATGGGCCTCCAGGAAGGGATTTTATTTACATCACCTTTCCCCTTATATATTAGTATTGTGCGCCCCTGTCGAAGTGGTTCTGGGACATAGGCCACCTTCAGCATTATCTCCGCAATTACTCTGATAATATTTGCTACATCAAAATATTTAATCGTGCGGATCAGAACTCCATCAGGCCCCGGCGATGTGTCCATTGATGTTGATTTAATGGCTCTCTTGACGGCTTCTAGATCAATGGACACCAAATTTGGCATCGGGGCGCACTGTTCGTAATCCGCACGCTTGCGGAGATTTTCGCTCTCAAAGAGGTCTCTATAATGTTTTTCGATATCGGCCATCTTCAGAGGACACCGCTTAGGAGCGTCGGCATTCATTACGGTTTGCACGACCTTTTTCCTTTTATTATAATAATTATATTGTGCAACCTCATATTGATACTGTTCTTGCCGACGACTCCTGTCTACTTTGTTCGCTCTTTGCGGATTTGAGACTTGTCCAGCACCCTTGTCAGTTACTTTAGTTTTATTTTTTTTCCTCAATCTGTAAAATTTGACGGCTGGGTGCTGGGGACCTGGCAGTTCCGCATTGATATTCTTGAGAAATTTCAGGAACCTGCCTACGGCCTCATCAAAATCCGCAATATTTATCGTGCTTTCTTTTGAGAGGTTCTTGAACACAGTAGACCATCCGATAATGTCCTCTTTTATTTTTGATACCTCACCCTCTCCATTTTTAGGCCCTAAAACATTTTTCACTATGCCCCTCAGTGTATTGGTATTAGCCTCCCTGGGGTGCTTCTTGGCAATATGGGTTCCTAGACCTCTTTCACCCTTAAAAGAAAGCCCACATATGGGACAAACTTTATTATTAGGGCGTAGAACTTCTTTCTCCTGCTCTCTGTTCGCTTCCTCGACATTCTGTGGAACATTTGGCAATGCTGGGAAGACATCATCTATCGAAACTGTCTTTCCCAATAGTACACCTTCTGTGTCTGGCCATTCGACTTTTACAAATTTCTTTTCGCCGCCCTCCGCGGCATCCACAGACATCACAGAGGCAACAACAGCCTCCTGAGCAGGTCCTCCAGTTCTCAGAACCCATACCCTCTGGCCAATCTCGACTTCATTCATTGTCCTTAGGTCCACTCAAAATCCAATATCCCCCCTAGAGACCATGCGTACTACACGCTTGGTTAAAACAAACCATCTAAAGGAGAGTGGACCCGTATACAAATAAATAAAAACTAAACGGGAGAGACATGCATATATGCCAACATACACACATAAATATCAGATTAATAATATAAAATGCTTAAAAGTAGTTAAAATGTAAAATAAATAGAGCCCAAGTTAAAAAAGTTAATCAATAAGTTAAAATCTATCTTAAAACTAAGCTAAAATATAAAATGAAATTAAAATCTATAGACTCTATTGCTTAAAATTAAGTTTAAATATATAAAATAAATTATGGTAAAATGTTAAAATCTATAAAATCTATAAAATCAATTTATTAAAAATAAGTCACAATATATAAAACAAGAAATTTCCAGAGACAAAAAAATCCAAAGTGTTAAGGAATTCAAGGTTAATGGACACTCTGTTTATAGAAATATCATTATGCTATGCTTTGGATAACAGTTATAAAATACTCTAGAGATGTCAGAGCATAGATTTGTGGAAAATCAGTGCATTCTATCAAAGAAAAATTTGAATATGATTATTGAAAAAGCCCAGAATTAAAGGCTAAGTAAAAAAGTAAAAGTACATAAAATGCTTTATTTCCTTAGCTACTGTCTTATCTTTAACGATATGAGAAAGAAACTTTCAGAAAGCACAATTTTCACCGTATTGTAAGGAAACCAATTTATGAGTGGAAAGTGCAATAGTTATTAATGAGCTTTACCAGTATTCCTCCCACACTTATAGTTTCGTTTTATTTTATTACTTTGTACGGTTACACATGTAAATATTTTCTTATTAACCAATAAATTTTGTTAATAAAAATGAATTTTATAAAAAAGCCAAAATAATATTAAATTTAGTAAATTACTCAAACATGAGGTTACTAAAACATTGATTGCAGGAGTTGTTTCTCTTAGAAACTTCATTTATAGAACAAGCTTTTTTTTATTCACCAGGATCTTTTATAGAAAAAGCTTCTTTTATTTATTCACAAACCATCGCCCGAGGATCAAAAAGTTTGGAGACTTCTGAACTAAATTAGAGGATCCTAACGAATTGATATTCAAGAGTAGATAGGGACAGGCTAACATGTATGCCAGCTCAACCTGTGATATTACAGACAAGTTGGAGTCCTGGTGTGAGGGGCGCTTTTAACTCTGGCATTAATCCCCCCTCCTCTCTTCTCAACTGAAAAAATAGCCTTAAAGCCGAGGAAAAAAAAAATAAAGAAAGAAAGGTCACAAGTAGATCGGACAGGTAGTGAATGCTTGGGAAAATTAAACCTTATCTTGTCAATTTGCTTTCAAAGTAGTTGGGTAAAACTTTTTTGGCACCACACTAATAACAAAGCTCAGAATTTACTTAAAGTAAATAATATCATCATTCGAAATTACCTGTGAGCATACTCTCATCAACTATGCAGGGACCCCTAAGGAGAAGAATGTCACAGGGTACAAGATTCGATTCAGACCTAGTGATTGAAACAATATCACCAGGGATCAGCTCGTCAGACATGATGCCTCTCCACCTGCGATTTCGGTACACCTTTAACAGTAATTTTATAATTCATATACTTAGCATTATATTAATTGCAATTGAGACAATTAATTACATACATTTTATCCTCAAATCGTGAGATGGATATTCTGCAGTAAAATTGCAAAAATTATATTGATAATAAACTTTTATAGTTTATAATTTAAGATACCCATTACGATGAAATAAATATCGACAGCTATACTTCAAAAGCCTGTAAGCACAATTTAATTAGAATGTGTTGTTTGAGCTTTCTAGGTTAATCTCGGCCTCGGATATATTCATAAAAACAATCTAAAATGTTATTTAGAACATCATATCTTTGTGTTAAGCATGCAATAAAAATTGAATGGAAAATCTACTTCATATAACAAGAAATACGCGGTTTATTTTTTCTTATAAATAATTTAATTTTTTACACTTTCAGGTTTTTGCAGTGTGGGTGTCGCTATATCAACTTAAAAAAAATAATAATTTCAGTATTTAAATAAAGTTCAGCCCATATTAATCCTTTGCTGGTGCCTAGAGAAAAAGAGTGTTGTAACTGGGAAATCATTAAATATAATTAAAATGTGTATATTTTACTGATAGAAAATTGAAAAAATGCTTAATAATATATATTAAATGTAATAAAAAAATAGTAACATAAATAGGTTTCACCTGAATCGTGTAAGGTTTGTTGCCCATCTTCCTGATCTCAGCCATATTCCTTAGTTGCTGCTGAACGAGGGTACACTCAAACAACACAAGCATAACTAATGTGAAGATGGAGTAGTACCAATACTTATCTAGGCACCATAGCGCAACACAAAATACTTGAAAAACAAAAAATGGAGCAGTCGCTCGCTCAATGAACAGTTCTTTGAATTCGGGAACAACCATATCAAGCCTAAAACATAATATTGTTTCCAATATAAGCTGACAATTCTTGAGAAATGAATAGTTTAAAGATACATATTATAACTACTTGGGTTTAAAAGGTAGCAGTAAGTGTGTATATTAACAAAAATGTGGCATTATCAAGAACACCTCAGTGTTCATAGAATGTGTCAGAAACATCCTACATCACAGAAATATATTTGATATAAGCTGAAAGAATTTCTAAAAAATCATATACATTGGATGTACTTGGTCAACTATCCATCATAAGCATGAACCAAGCATAATCACTAAATAAGTAAGGTGAATTATTAATAGAAAAAAGAAAAAGTTAGTAATAGTTATTTATTTAGTTTCATTGAAATTTAGTAGACTTTTATGTAATATTATCGTGTAAACTGTGGAAATGGTCCAATGACTGAATGTCGCAAGTGTAATTAACTGAAAAACATACTTTTCTCAGAGAATCATATTAACGACATTCAGCCATGCAATGGGGGCTCTACATTTAACAGATCATATGTCTGCAAACTTCAAAAGTCTACATGTTATAATAAGGCACAGAGCTATTCTCGGAAACCTGATTTCGTGGACTGAAGAATCCCACTTTAAATGATTTTCAACAATTATAATGGTGTTTTTTTATCACAATTTTTTTGCCGCAGATTGTTGCTTCTCATATTTACAAACACACATACAAATATTTTAACAATCCACACTTGACATTGTATACTGTGTTCTGTAATTAAAAAAGATCATGAGATTTGAGCAAGTTCTAAATTATAAAACAGAATTGGATTTATCGCAGTGTGATTTTTGGTGGACTAATAAAAAATTGATGTTTTATTTGTTTAGATAAATGCTTCAAGTCAGGTTAACAAATTAAATAAGCATAATTTTTTTTATATTTCACCGTTGAGTTATCTTTCATTTAAAATACCATACAAACGGTGGAATATTGTAATATTTGATAACTTAACCTACATATTTTTGCCATAGTTGGATTCAGCATTGGTCAAATTGGCTTCATCAGAGTAACCCTTCCACTGGAGGTAATGAGACAGTCTTTGACTAATTGGAAACTCAAGTCCCCGAAATTGTCTCCGCTCTTCATCCCAAACATACTTTGTTTTTTGAAACATAAACCAACCAGCATATCGTCCATTTTCATCCTGAAAAATAATTTATTAAGTATAAAATTTTCTGTTTTTATTTTCTGAATTGATTAAAAATAAATAAAGTGAACAAGTATATTGAGTGAGTGTAGTATAATCGAGCTAGTTGTTATAATTAGTTAAAGTTGTTTTAGGTTATAGTATATGACTGGCAGGCCTGTGCAAAAAAAAAAATGCACACTATATTGTTCAGTGATCAAATGACTAATTTACAAAAGAAAATAATGCAACGAATCATAACATAGAGAAATCAATTGCTACTTTCTCGCTTAATATAATCAAAAAGGAAATAAAAATTTCATTAATGTTTGGAACCAACATGTTTACAAATTTAATTAAGCTGTATTTTCTTTAGTTATTGCCTGATTTCATAGATTCTTTTCCCCTTTGTAGGTAATTTAGTAATCTTTTATATAATCATTGACAGTGTGTGCAAGGGAAAAGTATGTAATTTAAGAGTTATTCACAAATAGTTTCTTTTTTTTCATAACTTTTTTGCCTGAATTTTTGGGGTGATCGGACTATTTTGCCTGCCTGAAGGAGAAGGAAATCTTCAAAATTGGTGACTCAATCTTGGGATTTGATGAAGAATTAATGATGATATGGCTTACCTACAAAAAAACGCTTTTGATGAACAATATAAATCCCTCCTCTCTTGATAATAGGGACCTCAAGTCGATGAAATGAGACATGTATTCCATGACAGTACTACAATTAACAAATGGTTGAGTGGATGTGAACCTTTTGCCTTGCATTATCTCGGAAATAGTACGTTTTGGGCTTAAGAACACAGGGTTCGGGTCTTGGCGTATGCATCAAAATCTTCAAAGCCCAATTTGTCCCGTATCGATCTACAGACTTACCACCGTTCCAATATTGAAGCTTAGCAAAATGTTTGTGTCGTCTTCATTTATTTTAGAAAGAAAAACAAAAGCGGACAGAATGATTGCTAATCCCCTTCTCGTGAAATTCTGAATCAAACGGTACCCCATTCATGGTATTTGAGCAAGACAGGAGCTTATATTTGGTACAAAACCGATTTCGAGCCATAATGTAATAATATATGTGGGGTAACATTAGTTTTTCCAATAAAACAATAGTACTTATTAGACACCAAATATGAATAAATCCAAATAAAATTTAGCTAAATCAAACAGAAAACACTGTATCTATTCTGAGCAGTATATGTTATAAAATAAGTGTCATTATTAAATATTCAATTATTTTTAAAAAGGAAATACATAACAGTGAAATGTACCGCTTACTGCCAAGAATGAATAATATACTAAAATGCGCAAAAAGAAGATATTCTGCACCAAGTGAAGTGCCCTCTTCTATAGCAAAGGGCAAAACAGATTCGAGGACGTCAGGAGGTACATTAAGCAGGATGGAGATTTTCACAAAGGGTTGGCAACCAGCCTTCAGAAAAGTGCCTGATGAAAAGGGAGTGATTGCGATTGCGTCACGTTGTAAACCACGTGCTTCCTGAATATCTTCAAGAGAACTAAACATTTGAAGAGAACCAAACGATCACAGCTGTTGCATATAACAGCCCATAGCCGCCAGAAGACTCATGGTAGAAGCCGAAAATCAAAAGGCATATGAAAAAAAAATTATACCTGAAGAAATATTACTGTTAACAGTATCTATATGGTTACTACAAACTCTTTTGTATATAATATCATGAGACGCAACCAAGAATCCTTTTAAAAAAAAGATATATCTATATTATTATAAGTACCCTTGCATGGTGCAAACTGACAAGTTCTGAGGATCCATTATGTTCTGTTGGCACAACCTTAACAAGTTCAGCATGATCAGGAAATTTCACCTAGAAAAATAAAAAATTTGAAATTTAACAACTTCATGAAACAATTGCTCAAGCATATATAAATTATTCTGATAAGGAAACCATTCCAAAAAGGAAACTAATAGTGATACTAATTAATAAATATTAATGTTTTTAAACATAATAATATTATCTTATCTTCCAGATTATCCTAACACCTCTAATATGAGAAATAAAATTTTATTGAAATTGAATAATCATAAAACATAGGATAGCAGGAATGCAGCCCTTTAATTTTACTTATCAATGAATTATTATACTTTACAGTAAATATACTGAATTATCACAAATGATAGTTTCACATAAATATTCAGACATCAAAAATTGATAAGCTCTACAAAAGAAATTTATGTGTAAATATAATAGAATTTGTCATCAAGGGAAGATGAAATATTTTTAGAAACCCAAAATTTTCTACTGAACTCATACCATAAAAAACATGTAAACAAGAACATTTTGTAACCTACCTTCAACCCTTAAAAGTAAATATTTAAAAACTTTCATAATTTAAATTATACAGAAAGGTAAGGTGTGTGAATTTCTGACCTTTTTACAGGTAAGAAAGCTCTGGACGTGGACAGACCAGTAACAACAGAGGCAACTTAATATTTGAGCAACGGCAATAACCGCTGTTCCAACAAATCCTGCTTCGGTGAATTCTTCACTGTCATAAATGAAGAACCAACAGTACCAGACGGCAAAGTAAGGTATGATAAAGGGCCATATAGTTCCCTGAAGGATTACAGGCCTGAGTTTGTATAACGTAACAGATTGGACCAATTCATCAATTCGAGCAGGAACCATGGCCACTGATAATATAACAACATGGCACTAATCAGCTTAGAGAAACAGTGTTGTCTTGCTATTGCATATAAATATATTCATATAACATAAAAAAAAAAAAAAAACTGTAATGAGTTACTTAAAGAAATCATTCGCATTAAATCTTATTTTAATATATAAGAAATAATTATTTTGCAAAAGAATATTTATTTTTTTAAATTATCAATAATAAATTTTTTTTTTCTTAAAAAATAAATACTGCTTAAAACTATGTATATTTTCAATGGCCACAATATTATATTTATATTATTCATATGAAAATTGCTATAATTTATAATATTTAAAGTTAAGATAATGAGAAGAAATAACGATAAAACACCAGTAAATAATCAGTGAAGAATTAGAAGCAATGCAGAGAACAACATTAGCTGAAAAATGAATGATGAAATAGATTCCTCAAAGCAAATATGTACTATTATTAAATGGGCAGACCATGTAAGACAATGGTAAAAATAAATTTCCGTAGTAGCAGAAAAAAAAGATGCTCATAAGTAGATGGCGAGATGCACAGGCGGATTTACGGGGGGAGGGGCTTTCGGACTGAAGCTCCCCCCCCCAAAAATGGTAAAATGTAACTTTACTTTAACTATGTTTTATGGTGAAAAATATAAAAAAATTATGTCTTAAAGTATTATTGCTCGTTTAATTACATTTAATAGGGCTTCAAGAATCACTTAAACACCATTTCATATAGGTAGTTAGTATCTTTCTGTTTTTCCAATGTTTTCCAATGAAAATTCATAATCCCTTCGAAATGTGTTCCCCTCATAAATTTTGGCATCGTTATTTTATCATTCCATGTCAGTTCCTTTAATTTTAGTCATTTTGCCAGAGGACAAAAGCATATTTGCTGCAATTCTGGCTTTTGTTTCAATCTATATTTTGTTTTGGTCTGTCACTATCACTCCCAGGTATTTAAATGCTATCCCCATTGGAAAACGATGATAATTAATTTGAACATATTCATTACTTATTATATTATTCCTTGAGGATTTTATGTAAAGGCTTTTATCTTTATTTATGCGCAGGCCAAGTTTCTTGGCTGTCCTTTCAAATTTCTCAAACGATTCCGCCATGGCCGACAAAGTACGAGCGCTGATAAGAACATCGTCCGCATATGCAAGGCATTGTGTCAGTCTATTGTAAATCGTTTCTCCAGGATTGGTCTTTGTTGCTCTCATAGCCTACTCCAGCTCTACATTAAAAAATACTGGCGATATAGGGTCTCCCTGCCTCGAGCCTTGTATTACTTCAAAGTTGCTTAAAAGGTCATTTTGAATTTTGACTTTACACTTCGGGATTATTTGTGTCATCTCTGTCAAAACAATAAAGTAGTTTTTCTCGTCCACGCCCTATTTGTCGATTTGAAATCAGCCTATGATTCTGTGGGCAGGAACTGTCATAGGAAAATCAGGACTGAACTGGGTGCTCCCTGGTCAATCAATATCTCACGATATGAAGGCACGGAGGTTAAGATGGGCGGGGCATGTAGGTCTTAGTAATTCATTTGGAAGCCTATACGTAACAATGAATGCCTCAATAGTAGGCAACAGGTGGAAGGCAAAAAAGCAGATAGTCCAGTCAATGAATGCTCGAAAAGGGACTATAGAGGGAAATGGCGGGGATACGGTTTTGACTTTGGGACATTGTTCAGACAAGTAAGGAGGTAAACATACTAAAAGTCCCCAGTGCTAGGTTGTGAGCTAGATGTGGGGAGACGCCTAGAAAGTAGCTTTTTCGGGTTTTCAATTATATCAGGGAAACTATCTGTCGCATAGACGTTCTATACAAAATTAAAGCTGATAAAATTTGCAATATGATTGATCATGTACCTTTTTCGCTACATCACTTATTTTCCGATATATCCGTCGTCAACTGTGGCTAATTTTGAAGAAAAAAAAAAAATGCTTCATGTTTATTGCTGTTTTTAGGGTTTTCGCTTATATCAAAACTATCCATGGCATCAACAAATACCTTTTATACAAATTTAAAACTGATAAAATTTGCAGATACAAGATGATCAAGTTTATCTTCGATGGTTCACAAGTTAGATCAATTATAACTTCTTATATCAATTCTGAGAATTTACAGAAAAAAATAATGTTTGTAATATACGCTAGATGTATAAGGAGTTTAAGTAATATGATTTCTAATTATTATTTATATTATTATGAGAATAATTTTTGAGAGTTTATGTTAATTTCGATATAATATTTAGCGATAAAAATACATAGTAAACGAATCAAAACGACAAAAACACTTCTATATTTCAAATATATTAATATAAAGTGAATAATGTTCTGATTTCACAAAAATAAAATGCATCAAAGTAGTTAGTGATTCGGGTTATGAATTGACAATTAATGAGAGTTTACAATAAACAGACGATTTGGGATGTTGTGACTGAAGATGCTTAGTATAATCGCTACAAATGTAATAGTTTTTGAGGTGAAGCCGTCCCCTTAATAATAAATAAATTTTTAATTGATCCTTATTTGTTTCTGTGAGTAATCTAAGCAGAAGAAGCAATCACAATGTGTTATCTTTTTACCCGACTAAGCGAAGCAAAATGAAGATTACGTATAAGGCCCATACACATAACCTTCTTTTCGCTTCGCTACAGTAGGGGTCTTCCGCTAAAAGCTACAATGATTAAATAATATGTGTTTAATTGATTTGCTAAGAGGTATGTAAAGATTTTTCGAGCGTACGCCTTGAACGATTTTTAAGTTTGATGGCTCAAATTATTCGATGAGACGCTCTGAGTGTTTTGAAACATATTTGAGCTAAAATTCTTGCAAATTACTGTGTAAATTATGTTTAATCAATCCGTTAAAAGGTACGTAGCGATTTTTTGAGTGGATGGCATGATCGATTTTTAACTTTGACGGCTGTAATTACTCAGTCAAATCAAGTAAATGTTTTGAATTAATTTGAGTTCAAATTACCGAAAAACATACTATAGTTTAAGTATCTCGATTATAAATTGATGTGAAATGATATTATGTGATCATGTATTATTAAAATGAATTGAATTGGTAATGTTTAAAAAATGTCTGCCAAGTAAGATCAGTATAGCTTCCTCACCGTTTTCATTGGCTAAAATATTACAAGGTTTTTCGTATGAGAATAAAATCTCTGGGAGAAGCTGATTCGGAAATACAGTTACCCTTCAACATTCACGGGTTTGATATCCACGAATTTCGTTTATCAGCTAATATTAAAATGCAAAAGAGTGTCATTATTTGAAGATTCTATATTTGATTATCCTCAACTAAAAAAGGAAAAGAAAAAAAAATCATACTGAACATGCATTTCACTACTGTTAGTGCAATAGGTCGTATTAAAATTTGATTGTTTTGTAATAATGCATAAAAACTCCTTATTTCTTTACGCTTTATTAGTATAATTTCGTATTTTATTGCAAACTGCAATTTTCAGACACTTACAATTTACAACAGACAATTTCTGTTGCTAACCCGCACAATTTCTGAAAATTTCATGAAAATCGGATAAATGGTAGCATGTAATAGGCCCGTCGATTTGATTACAGTCAAACACTGAACCAAATTTGATCCTTGATGCCTGAAATGTAAAACGCGAGTGAAAATTTTCGATTCTGAGCACAAATTTTTTTTTAACCTCTCGCACTAATACAATGCTTCCCTACCTTTGGTAGTAAGGAAGCAAAAACCAATGTTGAAATTGGGAAATTTTATATGCCTTCAGGGAATATACTTCTATATATCTATTTAAACATCTTGGTAGATTGGTCGGAAAGTTGACATCTACAATTATTTAGATTTGCTGTAATAGTCTCACTCCCGAAAAAAACTCGAGTCTTTGTTGACCTAATAACTGAAAGATATTGACATGCACCGATATATGGGATGAAATCGATTTGCCTGAACCATCATATTTAGCGAAAGCTATCCGACTATTATACCAAGTTTAAATATTCGTAGATGTCAATTTCCCGTTACAGGTGAAAGCCATTGGTGAGTACAAGTGACTAGTACTTTCCTATATCTCATTAGTACCTGATACTTTTTGTATTAAATACTGACGATCATAAAATTGTGAACTTCCTGTAGCACTGGAGCATCGAAATTTCATACAACATAGATCAGATTAAGACAAGATGAAATAAAATTGATAGATATTAATATATAATAATTTTTTTTTTGTTATTTGTTTGTTTAGAAATATTACATTCTGTCACATCAAGGACATTTATAATAGTGTTCAGAGAGCACACTCACACTCTATTTACAATAATAAAATAAATAATACAGAAACTTAATAATAATAAATAATAATAATAAAATAAAATAAAAAAATGTATATAAACAAAAAAAAACTAACGTAATCATACACATTCGGGCTTGAGTGGAGGATCTGGCCATTGCCAAAACTCCAATAGACGCTTATTCACGGAAGGTCTCTGGGCCACTGCCGCTTCAACCTTCGAGGAGGATTGTAAGGATGGGTGGTGCTGGATAGAGATTGTGCAAGGGGATTTGGATGATAGGTAAGGTTCTAGTGAAATTTGGAGAATTTTTCTGAAATAAGGTCTAGGACAAATGGGATATTAAGGTCATGGTGTAGGATTTTGTTAGTTACATAGAACGGAGCATCAATTATTGTTCGAAGGACTTTAGATTGAAAGGATTGAATACGTTTGATGTTAGAAACTGTTGCTGTCTCCCACAGTTCAAGTCCGTATGTCCATATAGGTTTCAGTATTGTCTTGTAGATAAGTAATTTGTTTTCAATAGAAAGTTTGGATTTTCTGTTTAGTAGCCTGTATAGCTGGCCGTATCGTCGGTTGAGTTCTTGTCTTTTGAGTCTAGTATGTGGGTTCCACGTTAGTCTTCAGTCTAAATGAAAGCCAAGATACCGGACTGTGTCTGAGTAAGGAAGCTGGATGGAATTAAAGTGTACTGGTGGACAGGAACTGCGTCGGAGTGTAAAGGTAATATGTTGGCATTCAGATTCATTAACTTTAATGCGCCAGTTATTACACCAATGCTCAATCAAGGTGAGGTGGCTTTGGAAATTTAAGGATGCTATTTCGGGATCAGAGTTGGATGATAAAATTGTCGTCAGCGAATGTTGCAAGAAAAGTATCGGGATGAACAGGGATGTCAGCAGTAAAGAGGATGTAAAGCACGGGACCCAAGACGCTGCCTTGGGGAAGACCGGCTTTAACGGAGTAGATATTGGAAAATTTTTAACAAATTATGTTGTATCTGCTGACATGTTGCATTAAATAAGGAAAATGTGGAAACACTTATTATTTGATTTTATGATTGATATTCATTATTTATTCGCAAATGTTTAATGAACAAATATAATTGTTATTAAAATAAAGACATATTTTAATTTATTTATTACAAATGTTTTCGTATCATAAATTAATCTTAATTTAAATTAAGCTTTCATTTACTTATATTCTCTTTTAAACAGCATAGTTTTACTATTATAAGAATAATTTTCAACATTTAGACTTTTTTAATTTAGCCACAATGAAACTTTCTCTGAAATACAAACCAAATTAAATTAAAGAATAATATTTCATAACTGTAAATCTAATCTAACCATAAGACAAATCTCACAATCAGGCTTGGCTTTGATTCAGGTTGTTTTCATCGATTAATTGTACTTCTCCACAAAATTAAATTTTTAATCCAACAAAAATACATAAATATGAATATTTGAAGTATGTTACTGCATTCGACCAATTAAATTGTATTTGGATTCACAGCGACAAAGTTAACTTTATAAATTCCGTTACGAAATCTTCATAATAACAAAACACATTGAACTAATAAATATTAGTAGTAAAACATCGGATTTCTGTTATTGAATAAGGCTCGGAAAAAATATTTTTTCTTTCATAAGTATTATTGGTACAGTTTCTTATTTACTTTATGGGTATTTATTTCTTATTTTCTTATGGGCCTTTTACTTTGCATTTGAGAGGTTTACCGGTTTCAGATGCTTTCGTAGTTGTCAATCCCCCAGTGTCCAAAACAGACATGTTACAAATGATTAGCTGGTCCCTCTTGAACATCTCCTTAAGAATCCCTCTAGTGGTAGCCACTTTATACATCCTGTCCTTTTCTTCTATTATAGTCGCTAAAATGTAATTTGGGTAGCCCTTCAGTCGCTCCGCCACAGGTACCCTTACCCGTACGGTTGAACCAATTGCCAAACTGGTTTTGCTTAAAGAGTTCAGGCCAGGTTTATGCCTCTTTTTTTTCTTGCAGGTCGAACACACTTGTTTTCCCCGGCAGTCGTGAGCGAATCTTACCGTATTGCCTTTTGCACTATTTTCTTGGGGGGTGAGGTTTTCATTCAAATTGAGGTGTTTTTTTCCCACGTTTTCAATGGCATTACCGTTATTGGAGTTAAAACCAGTAGGTTCCAAGTACGTTTTACTGTTTTCATTTCGTAATGGATTCTTATTTTCAATAGGGTGTTTATATTCATAATTACTAACATTACGTTTTTTATATAAATCTTTTCCTACTTCAAAACCTTTATCATTTTGTTTTAGCTTTGACGTAGCTACATAATTGTTCTGATCATTAGATAATCTGAGAACATGAGCTGATTTCTCGGGCATATTTAAACGATCGTTTCCTATACTATATTTTCTTTTTTTATTATCTTCCAATGACTCTTTTCGAGGATTAATTGAATCATAATATTTTTCAGGTTCAATATTTTCAAAATAATCATCTTTCAGTACGTTGAATTCGGGTTCTTGTTCCATTAAGGTGTTATGTTTTACTTCTTTACACAATTCTTCATTTAAACAATTCGATATATTGTTAAGGTGACTCGGCTTATTTTCCAAAATTTGATTGTATTCTTTAACCTGGTCGAATTCATTGTTTAATGAACCACAGATTCGTTGTTTTGTTTTGTATGTATTTACTTCATTATTACAACCCCCCTCCTCATGGTCCTTATTGTAAGAACAACTTTTATTTACCGTTCCCATTTGTCTTCCGTATTCTAGATTAATGCTGTTTGCTCGATCATGATCATCATCTCGAATGTTCCGTTGATATTCATTATCCAAAACTTTTACGTGTACCACTCCCAGGACACGGTCATTGTTCGTTTCACCACCTTGTGCCTTTAGTGATGAACAACCACTTTCTTTCATATCTTGTCTACAATATTTTTCTAATAAGTGGCTTGTTCCTTCTATTTCTCGATTACCAAAACATGCAGTACCATAACATGCAGGATGCTTTATATAAGAAGGACGTGGAGTTTCGTCACGATCTCTCTTCTGGTATAAATATCTTGTATATTTCCTCCTAGAATAAGTATAACTAGGTTTCAACAAAGCATAAAATGGTGCGGCGTTTATGATCTCGTTGAAGTAACAATTATTTCGGAATTGGACAAAATATAGTCCTTGACTCCATTTAGTAGACATTGTAGACTTCATCCATTCTTTTATATTTTCATCTATTCTGCTGCATACATGTTCCTGAAAAGTTCCATTTTTAGGTTGTTTGATTTTGGTTGAGAAGTTTTGACAAAAGTTTCCAATATCTTTGTTAAAAACAGATTTTATTAAAGACTTCTCACTAGTATATATTTTTGCTGGTACACCAATTAATGAAAAAATTTCTAATAAACAATGCGATATCTCGTCTCTATCTTTTTTTTGCAGAGGTTTCAGAATTGTGAACTTAGTGACGTTATCTTGGAAGACGAAGACTTGGTTGTAGTTGTTATCAGGTTGGTTTGAGTAATCGATGAACCCCAATGAACATTCCAAGCAACAGCTGTATGCTTTGTTTTTGTTATCATTCTGAAATATTGACAAATTTCAAAATTAAAAATTAATACTTAAAAAAGACAAATCTAAGGTAACAATATTGATACCTCCGTAATTAATAAATCTTTGTATGACATCATTTGAATATTTGATGTACGTCCCTCTTCTTCTTTGACAATTATAGCTCTGCTGTGGTTTCTAACATATTCATAACCCCATTGGGTATCAATTGCTTCTTTGTGGGAATTTAATAAGTTGATGATATATCCCAAGTGGTGCTCGTCCTATAGTAACATTTTTAAATCATTACAATCATATTTACTTATTCTACATTATATATTAGGTTGGCAAATAAGTCCATTCGGTTTTTCAGGGTGAACTAAAACTCAATGTACTATGGAAATAAAATTTATTTTAATCTACAATATATTGACTTTTATTGAATATGATTCACAGTACAATAGCAAACATAATAGCTGGATTCAACAAGAGTTAACAGATGTAGTTGTTGACATGTTTCAAACAGGATAAACAATCCACCTTAGGGATTAATTCATCAGGTAAGAAGTGTATTATAGTGACATAAAAATAAACAGAAAAATCGAAAGGACTTATTTGCCAACCCAATACTATTAAATGTCTTAAAAACCACTAGGTTGAGTCCCATTTTGAAACATTATAAAATCGCTAAAAGTACATGAACATTTTTAATAAATCAAAAAGGTAAAAAGTACTGAAGATTATTTTGTAATAAAACTAGTAAATCCATTAGGCTATTTATTATGTTTTCTGGCTGAAATCTCCTCAAATTGAGAAATAATAGTTTTTTTTATTGATCTATATTTCTTTTTGTGAGTAATCTAAGGTAAATAATATCAATAAGCTATATTTTTTAAATATAAAGCTACTATATGTAACTCAAGAAAGAATATTAAAGAAATATTTCTAAAACCACCATTGCTCCTTTAAATACCAGTCGATTGTATTTGTTCGTCTGTGAAAATTTTTTTAGTAAAACATCTTTTTATATTTTGGCGAAAACGTGAGATCGTGTGCAACATACGATTCTGAAATGATGTTTTCTGATACAAAAAAAGGTCCCTGGAAACTTTAATGTGCACTCTGAGTTAGTTCCTCTTAGGTTAAAGGTTGATCAGCAATTGTACTTGTGGGTTTGTGAGAATGACAAATAATGTCACGGAAAAAAGGACGTACGTTTGCCACACAGGCGATTGGTTCTTTCAACTCGACAACGCTCCTTTTCACACTGAAGCAGTTGGAAAAAATCGTTCACTTATCGTATTCACGTGATTTCTTTCAGTTCTGTAGACTCAAAAGGGACATGAAAGGAAAACTTTTTGAGACTGTGGAAGAGGTAAAACAAAAATTGCCGAAGGGGCAGGACATCCCAGAAATTGAATTACATTTACACAAATGAACGGTGGGAGAAATGTTTGAAAAAATGCATTACAGTCAATAGGAACAATTTAAAAGGTTATATATATATATATATATATATATATATATATATATATACATATATATTTTTTTTTGTTCTTCCCTATCTTGCCTTTTTAGGCTATACGGGATTTTCCCGGGTCGGGGGGTGAGGGCGGGGAATTTAAAATCCCCTCCGGCACCGGGACGCGAACTCGTAATCTTCTCAAATCTGTAATCCGGTTGCCAGGCAACTCGCGGTGCTGTGCACACGCTTTAGCCCATGCGGCCACCCCGCCCCCTGGTTATATATATATATATAAATATACAGTGCCGGTCTTAGAAATTCAGCGCCCCCGGGCAATGACATCATCTCCTCTTGAACTTTTATTTTATTCAAATTTTTTTAAAATATTGAATGTAGTTGCTCTATTGATAAGCTAAAATTAATTAGTTTAACCCGTTTGGTATATTTTTTAATTTCTAACGAGTGGCGAGCGCCCCTGGAAATCCCCTAGTTGCTCCACCCTAATGTCGGCGTTGTATATATATATATATATATATATATATATATATAACAAAGAGTTTGTTAATTAGACAGAGAACTAAACATCATTAAAATTTAAAAGCTTATCTATATGTATATATATAATCTTTTAATTATCTTTATCTCTCTTTCTTACCAAGAAACTCTATCTTCCCCTTTTAAAGTAGAGAATGGGGTTAGATAGATCGAGCCAAGAATGATAGGGGTACCACCTCTAACACTCAAACCTCGACTAAGCGAGAGAGCCACTCTTAGACTTTGATAGTATGGGCACTTCACACTTATAGCGACCTCTATGAAACGCGCGAAGGGAGAGTGTACAGAAGAGAGGAGCATCAAGTCTCTGTACAAGTAATCTCAAGAAAGGAGAAACGAATAGGAGATACAGAATGCCAAGTATCGAGCGGCAGATCGCGCACTCAGCCAGGGAAAGGGTAAGGAAAATTCTCTATCAGAAATCAACTTTTGTAATTTAGAAATTTTTATTTACAATTGAAAACACTAATATTAGAATATTTCTCAATAGATTACGTTGAAAATGTACATGTACGTATGCGTAAGCGTATATGTTCGTTTTTCCAAAGATTTCGAAGGCAATTATTCTGCTCTCAATTTCTTAATGTTGCATGCAGGCATAATTAACATTATTATACCTAAAATTGTGTTTCAACTTACAACCAGTAATGCGTTGGGCCACTTTGGATCATTTATAGCAACCACACCTATAAAACAATTGAGTCATTAACAAAAATTATCAAAGTAAAATAAAAAAATGTATTAATTAAAGTAGATCGAATTAAACTTAATAAACGAAGTTCATACTTCATGCTCATTTCTCGTTTCATTTTTTGTTTAATTATAATTTAATAAAAAATATTTACGTATTAAGCTCTACTATATGTTCGCCCAACAGATCCTTCTCTGCTGAGGGTGGTTCCCAAGGTGGTGTTTTGGTCATTGGGGAACAATAACGCAAAGGATTTGACTGAAAAGGATACATTTTTAATGTTTGTCACAAACGAACATATGGTGACTGCCTAATACGTATGTACCAAAATACTACTGATACATGAGGTTATAAAAAGGGGAATCTACCCTTTAATTTAGGGGTCTCCAAACTTTTTAGCATAAGGGCCATACTGGTTTCGTAATCCTGGTGATGTATTGAAAAAAGTTCTCTATCACGAGGTACTCTTGTATTTCCTTTACATTCAGAAGTTACCTGCAGATTAAGATACTAATAAGTATATTCTTAATGTAGTAGGATAAGACTTATGTATACTCTTATCAAATGAAAGAGAATAATACTGAAAGACACGACTGAACAGTGCAATCGACGGTGGGCAACTACTCATAAAGGTTCTACCTTGAAAAAATACTTTTCTACGGTCTATTCAAGGTTAGAAGCCAAAGGGATGAAGAAAAAGCCATGAAATTTTCGTAAAATGAATAAAGAGTTAGCGAGTCAAATAATGATTGTTTTGTGTGAATGAATACCCGAACGCCGCGTTGTTGTGAGTAGAGAAAACAGATCTGATAAAAGATCTAAAAGATAAGATTTAATCCGTTCCAGTTATGAGACTCCCTCAACCCATTCCAGGCCGAAACATTGCATAGAGGGCACCTAGATCAGACTGGAGGGCCCTCTCAGTTATGTAAGATATCTTTGCCAGCATACAAGGGTGAATTTCCGACATAATTCATATAACTTACCCCTTTCAATAAAAATACAGTCCACTGCCCAAAATAATGTCGAATGTTGAATAAGCAGAACTCATTAAAGTTATTTGCGTTTTTTAATTAAATTTGGGAAGTTGCCCTTAACATTTTGGTCCACCGGGCACGATTATAATTTTTTTTTTGCCATATTAGAAATGTTTTAAAGTCGATTTCCGTGCTATTATTCGTATTTCGCCTATTAATTCGTTTTTTTTTTAAATATATCTTATGTCGCTTCTTATTTTACTTCGTATTTGGTGGTGCCAGGGTATTAAAAATTGATATAAAAATCGTATGTTTCCGGACTAATACTCGTATTTCGCCTATTGATTTGTATTTTTTTTTTAAATATCGTTTCTTATGCTTTCTTTTCGTATTTGGGGAAGTCAAGCTGTTTCCAGATAGGTTTCCAGGAATTTTCAGGAACGAATGCAGAGTGACTAACTGAAATTAAGTGATTTAGTTAATACTTTCGTTAATCCTTGATTGTTTTGGCCTGTTTTGCTGAACTTGGCATTTATTTTGAGGAAGTTTGGTATTGCCTTCAGCAATTAAAATTTATTTTATTTTTTTATCATCTGTAAAGATGGCGAAGACTAAGAGTACTGAGGGACTTAAAGCTATTAATGATAAAAACGAAAGGATGTTTCTTAGAATTCAAACCACCACACGAGAAGAATGTTTGATAATAGTCTTGGCGGAGAGACAGTTCCTAGCTTTGCAAATTAGTTAGGTCACAACTAAGAGTCGCAGAAATGTGTTCCGAGCCTTATACCTCTAAAATTTCACGGCCTAAAGTTCAGCGAAAAACATTTTAACCAGCAATAAACCGGATAATTAGAAATTTAAGTTTTAATGCCCTGTCTGTAAATCAAGCCATAAAATTATTAGCTGCCCTCAGTTTCTGAAGGCCGATGTTATATATGTCTAATGTGTGTATATATGCATATGTATATATATTGTTGTTGCCAAGTTTATGGTAAAAAGAGTCACCATACGATTTTATATAAGGCTGTAAACACTGATCTCTCATCGTGTCATGCTACCACCAACTCTCAAGCACTTCTGGGTACTGCCTTGAGTAGAATTTGTTCAAGTTCAGGTCAGTGGTGCTCCTACAGAATGGTGATAGATCCAGGTTCCCAAAGTAATTTAATTACCACTGATCTAATAACAAAACGCCTTCGTTTCCGGGTTAGTCCTCTAGTGGTGTCTGGACTAGGTAATACATCCATCAATAAAGTGAAGTTGCGTTAGATGAGAAACAACAATATATATATGAGTTTTTAGCCAGATTATTTCCCTACATCAGTGAAAGTTTGCCTTCTTTTGCCGTGTCCCAAGAACTACAGAGTAGATTTGCTATGGACTTGTGGACCCTCAATTTCACACGCCGGGTTAAGTTGATCTACTTCTGGGTGCTGAGATGTACGGTGAGGTTTTAAGTAACCCTCTTTTATTTTTAAAGGGTGAACTGAAGGCTATTCATACCTTATTAGGATGGGTATTATTTGGGAACACCCTCTCAGAAAGCCCTAAATCTTCAGTACGTCTCTTTTCCCGCATACCACACTTTCCTTACAGGAGGAATTAAAGCGATTTTGGGAGACTGAGGAAACTATCCGCCAAATCCGGAAGAAGCATTTTGCGAAAAATCACTTTATAAATACATGCACTTGTGATCTCCAGAGTAGATTCATTGTTTCGCTTCCGTTTCGTTCTGACCAGCCGATTGGCCTTGATTCCACTAGAGAGATAGCTCTGCGCAGATTTAGAAATATGGAAAATAGGTTTATTCGAGATCCGTAGTATAAGTCTACCTATGCTGCACAGATGGACGAATATATAAGACTGGATGATGTCTGTCCCACCAAAAACCTTTCTACATACATCATAGATTCTTCTAGGACAAAGCTTAGAATCGTATTTAACGGTTTGGAGAAGATGGTGTGAGGGAACCTACTGAATGATTTACTTTTGATATAAAAATGATGATTGGATGTATTCGTATTGCCGAAACTAATCAAAATTTATTACATTTTTTTTGGAGAAGTAAATCTTTACAGCCGATCCTGGAGTATAAGTTGGTTACCTTGCCATTTGGGTTGAAATGTTCTCCTTTTATTGCTCAGAGTCATTGTACAGTTATTTCAGGAAGAAGGCCATAATTTTCCTATAGCTGTCCAATGTCATGACCAGATTTATGTAGACAATGTAATCGCTGGGGCTCGCAGTAGTGACGTGGTTCTGGAACTGTATAATGAGTAATGGCCTTATTTGGAGCAGGTGGGTTTGAACTCAGAAAGTCCTCCAGCAATTCAGAAAAAAATACTTTCTGTTCTACCAGAGTGTAGTCAAGAAGTTCCGTTGTGCCTGGATGGAGATTTCTCGACCGTCAAGATTTTAGGTTTGTTTTGGGATCATAAATTTGATCATTTCTGGTATGCAATACAAGAAAGTGAGCCTAATTTTACTAAGCAAGGTATCCTTCATTGCCAAATGTTCGATGTAAGTGGATACATCAGTCCTGTAATCTTTTCAGTTAAATATATATTACAATGTTTGTGGCTGCTTAAGGTTGATTGGGATGATGAGTTGCCGTCTAGTGTGTCTTCATTGTGGAAGGTTTTCTTTAAAGAATTTCCGAGCTTGAGAAATTTTTGCCTGCCTCGTTGTATTGTCAGCCAGAACGCATCATCCATGCAGCTAATCAGAGGCTTCTGGAAAAGGTTACATGTGTGTGGTCTACCTGAGAGTTGGGAGCCCACGAGAAGCTACCAAAATTCATTTGTTAAGGGCAGGAAGTACGGTGGCCCCACTTGAGGTCCAATTGGTGCCTCATTTGGAATTAAAGGCTGCTCTTCTTGACTCCAGACTACTCAGTAAGTTCAAGTACTTGAACACCCTCAGTGCTCAAACCACGCACTGAAGATGACCCACATGTTTGGATTGAAACGTTGGCATAAATAAAAAATTAAAAAAAGACTACGTGTTGATTATTTATACACCTATGATATGTAGAACAGTCGACTAACTTCTTTCAATGGTACATCTAATTTCATTAAAACATCATTTAAAAAAGAAATTTCATCTGGTGTTTTAAAAAAAGGTTTTATCATATTAAATACTTGGTATTCCTTTTATGAGGCAGTTTCTTATAATGGCTGAAGATATGATAAAGAGTTGAGATTGAAAGATGAAAATGCTTCTTTGCAGTTTAAATTATATATTAAGCAATATATATCATATTAAGCAAAGTAAATTATTATTAAAAACAACCTACCTCGTTTCCCAAATTCAGGGCCTGAACATTGTAGGCAGGGTAGAGGCGATATTTGTCCCGGATGGCAAAATTTAGGAGGCGGCGAATTTCGACTTTTATTTATTCAACTTACGTAAAAAATATTTGTTTATACTTTTTGGTTGTTTTAATTTAATTTAATCAATAAAATGAGTTAATGTTATGAGATGATATTTATTTCGAACTTTGTAGCTTACATTAAATTACATTTAAATTTATTTATTACAGCAATCTTTATATTGCACGTTTTGAATAATATGATCGGTTCGAATATGATAATAGGAAAGGCTACAATTAAGAAAAATTACACTTGCAGATTGCCTCAAGGAAGGTCTGAAGAGATAGGGGAAGGGGCAGCCGGGTTTGCAGCTTCGGTATCCAAGATCGAAAGGAGAACCTAGCTTCTTATTTAATATCTACTTATTATTCATTTATTTTATTTTCACCATGTACCTTTTATATTTTGTATCTTTTGTAGCCCTGATGAAGACCTGCAAGGTGGGTCGAAACGTCGGCATAATAATTAAATAATACTATTTCTATAATTTAGTAATTATTTGACCGCAACCCCGGTCAACTCCTTCTCATGTTATATCACGGTCAACCATCTCTAGATCGTTTATATTTTTAGTAGTAGGCATACAAATGCTGTTGTGTTATATTGCGCCACTGAAAAACCGGAATGGCAAAGCAGGAAGAAATAATAGCCCAATCGATAAATGGTCCAAATACAATGGTAAAGTCAATTTGTTCGAACTAAAGTTGAAAATCAAACGTCGATTATAGATAAACGACCAACAATAACAAAAAATGTTTTGAAAATAAACATCTGAAAAATACATTTCTCTTTCTAAATTAGTGATTAATTTGTAAAATATTTGAAACTTTCTTTAAAAAAAACACTTAATCGGCGAAAAAATTGATTTTTCTATAAGCTTCTACTGTCTTCTTCATTAATAAAAAAAATAAAATAATTATAATATATATTTTTTACAATAGAGACCGTCTAAAACGTTACAGTATAGAATATATTAATTTGCATATGTTCCATAAATATTTTAATAGGGATTTTATGTCTCCACAACTTCTTCCGCCGATGTGTAGCTTAGACGATTTGAAGAAAAATGTAAGGTAAAATGTTTTTTTTTTTTTCTTCTAAAAGATATTATCAATCAGCATGCAGCTGGAAAACGGTTAAGAGTTCGGAAAAAAACTATAGAATAAAAGTTTCAGATAATTGTATAAGCTTTCGTTTATTATTAGACAATGTTCTCTTGCTAAGCACCGTTTTCGAGATATCAGCGGAAATCTGAAAATTGTGACCTTTCCTCCCTCCTCTCCTCACCTAGACGTCAATTAACAACTCCTCCCCTCCCACATAGAAGGAATAGCTTAGGTCCCTGCTCACGCTCTATATACCTCATTCCTTGACTGGACTATAAATGAACTATGTAATAAGTTGAAGCAAAAACTTGCTTGATCAGAACTAATATATGGTTTGTTATTAACACCAACGTCAGTGAATGCGTATTAGCTTTAGGAAAAAACAAGGTTAATCCTGGATTTTCTGATTTATTATAAGACTAATCATTTTATTAATATCACATGGCTTCTAACGAAAATTTGCGATTCTGCCCTTAAATGGTGTTAGAATCAAGAACTTCAATTGGTCTCTGAATATAAACATCTGATTAAAATTTTATATAATTTACTTACATTATTTTTAACTTGAATTAAACTGTAAAATGTGATCAAAATAAACTGTGGGGGCCGGGATTTGCGGTGCTCAGTTTGGAGACCCCCGCTAAATTGGTTAGTCGAATGCTCTTACTGCCTTCTAATACAGACATCTCCGGGAAGCATCTACTCTCATATTGTAAACTCAGTAATTCTCCATTTCACTTTTATGCCATACATTTCTCATAAGATAGATTTTGTCAGATGATTCTTTAGGATCCATTTTTCATACTTTTTTAAAAAGACGCCAAAGTCTAGGAAGATGGATATGTACTATCCCAATATATGTTGAACACACCAGTATAAAATTTGGACATTCACAATTTATAAATGAATTTAATCAAAATATAAGGGTCTTAACATGTTCTTGGCATAATTAGTTAAAATTATATTATCATTTATATCATATGACACCATTACTATGAAACACTTCATTAATTTCCTTCATCTATAAAAAAATAACATATGTGTGTGAAGAGTTAAATAAATGTTGAATATTTTTAATATCCTTAAAAATACAATCATAGTGATGAACTAAACTAATAGCCCAGTAAATGAACCCTCGAAAAGGAGTTATAGAAGGAAATGGGGGGGGGGGACACAATTTTTGACTTTGGGACATTGCTTGGTCTAGTAAGGAGGTAAACATACTAAAAGTCTCCATTCCTATGTGGTGAGCCAGATGTTGGGTAGAGGGCGCTTAGAAGATCACTTTTTTCGGGTTTTCACTTATATCAATAAACTATTTATCGCATCGACAAAGACGTTCTACACAAAATTAAAGCTGATGAAATTTGCAATTAACCATATACCTTTTTTCGCTACCTGGCTTAGTTACCGGGTTATCCGTCCTCAACCATGGCTTCAAAGTCGATGAGGTTTAAATTGATGAAACCTCCATCAAAGGGAAATGACAATGCTCGTATATTATTATATACGCCAAAGTAAATTTATCATCAGAAAATGGGTCTGCAGGATCGATTGAGATCGATTCACATCAGCCCCGCCAGATATTACTATCACTTACCTATATATGAAATAAATAGTAAAGAAAAGTATTGCAATCGTGAAAATTGTCGAATCTCAGTTTGTAACGGAAATACACATTTTGAGGTCCCTGAGTCCAAATAGCCAAGTCCCGCAAATGGTCTGTGTGTATTTGTTAAAAGTAACACAAAAACGAAAAGTCATACGAAAGTTAAATTGGATATTTACATGCTTGGAATGTTAAAGCAACTTTTTCGTCAAAATCGGATAACCGAAAGTGGCACTTCATATCATGGAATTAACAAATTTTTATGATTTTCTCAAAAACGGCTCAAACGATTTTAATTAAATTCATTATATCAGTTTCAAATTAAGCAGTTTAAAATAAAATGTAGGTTTTATTCTGATTGATTTTCTCTAATAAGGCTTAAAAGGCTAATTTTCAATATTAGCTTTCCCTAAAGAATCTTTTAATTTTTTTATTTAAAACAATTGACCATTTTACATTGATCTCTAATATCAAAGACAGGTAAATATTAAATATGAGAGAATTTAATAATTAACTAAAGGAGAAATAAGAGATCGTAACGGAGAAAAATTCTAATTGAGGAACCAAAGGAATACGAGTGCGTCCGAGCTTACCAGAAAGATTAGAACAGACTTCCATACATAACATGAGCTTAAGGTAATATGGATTCTGGCAATATTATGTAAATATACATAAGTGATTTTCATAAATGCTATTGTTGGTATCATTTAATATTTAATTGTATAGATATTAACATTGGTGTTAATATTCAACAACTGTACAGCGATATAATATTAAAATTTGTATATGTAAGGGTACTTATACAAATAAAAATATCCATAATGAAATATAAATAAATATAGCTTCTCTAATTTGTTTCACTTCCCAATTGCATGAAAAAAATTATTTCTGCTAAGAAGAGTGTGGTAAGTGAAAGTTGTGTGATACACCGCACCATATCTTTTTTTAAATAGTAGCTAGTTATTTTACATGATCAAAGAAAAATACATGATATCGAAAGCTTTTATTATAATAAACCGAATTCACACTTTTGTATAAAATGTTATTCACATGCCAAAAGTCTTTTATATTTCTTAATATTGTCTTGAAGAAATCTCTTCCCTTGTAATAGCTTCACCGCCAAACAAAGTCATCTAGATATGATTCCTTCATATTTCTGGCTGTGCCACATTCATTCTTGTTTCTGTTTGCAGTAGCCCATTCTCTAAATGGTTTAACGGCTAGGTGTTTGCTGTGCATTCCTGGAATTATCTGTGTATTCCTGAACGATCTCCAAAAATCAGACCAATCATAAGCACTATTTTTTACTATGAGCTTCATTAGGTGTCCTTTATTACGGAAGTGCTCCTTATGGATGATTCCGGCTTCTTGATGATACTTAAAGGGTCTCTCTCGTCATTCAAGCAGCAATATAACCTAAATGAGATCATTTCGCTAACTAATCTTGTATGAATCTTAACAGATGTTTATACAGTAGAAAAATAACAACATTGATTCAAATATAGCTGATACTTTTCTTGTATAAAAATAACTGGCGGATCTGCAAAAGACCCGGGGAGGGGTTGGATTAGGTTCCTTTGCTTGGCTGGAGTAATGGTAAGACAAGGCAAGTATGATTTGTCTTTGTCTCCACAAAGGAATTCATCCCAGAAAACCTGAGAGTTCGCTTCAAGTATGGCTAAAGGGCTTGGGAATCAAGTTTGTACTGAGTTGGGAATTGCAAACTAGATTTAAGCAAATTCAACACTAGGTCTCTGCTTGTGTGCTTTGGAAGAGTTTTACTGGAAACTGCAGGAGGTATCACCGCCTCGGTGAGGAAGTTTAAGAAACTTTCTTGAAGACATCTTGAATACCGTAATGGTTACGGTGGACGGTGAGAGAAGTATGGGCTAGTAACCTGTCGATGCACGATATCGAAATCATATTCTTCTAACGTTAGTCTTCAGTTGCGTGGTTTGAATCAAGGTATTCGTTGTTCAAGTTCTTTTTCGAAATCGCCGTGAAATTGTCAAAAGCTGATTGTTCTTTCTCTCCTCACGACTAACTTAAAGTTTTGTTTTTAATTGTGAGTTGACGAATGGAAAACCTCTGGTACCAAAGTGATCTTGAAAAAAAAAAAAAAACCCTTGTGGCCCCACAGACCATTTTAAGAGTAAAATGTAGTAATAACTCGCACGGACTCACAAATTTCAAATTTGTTAATTCCTTGATTGGAGATTCGACTTTGAAAAAAGGATTGCACCTTAACCAGTGCAGAAGACGAGAACATCAATGATAGGCAAATGACGACGATCCCTAACCTTTCTAGGCTCTATTTCTTCCTCTAACATCGGTAGTAAGTGGAATGGAATCCAGTTATGATGCTGTGTAACTATGGCGACCTTTGGGTCAATGTGAATTTTGATCTGTTGGCCCTTGGCTTTGCATGTTCCTCTGAAGTCGAAAGGGAACTTCCGTATATCGAATCGGTCTTTATTGGACAGAAGATTTGAAAGAGAACTAACTCCTGAATCGGGATGGGATATGTCTTGACGTATTTCAACTACATAAAACGTTGCCTTAGCAGAGTTTGACTTGTGCCGAAGCACCTTGAAGAGTTGACCAGAGATAATTAATGTCTATCTTTTTCTTTTTCTTTTTTATTTCTGGCTTTAAGGCTTGTAAAAGCAAGTCCTATTTTGCCAGTAAAATATTTTAATTGTCATTGTGAGATGAAATTACGGTTTATACACGGAAATTACACTGGATTTATATTAATTATTTATAGTTAGATGATCATTGAAAGTAACTTATATGGAACTTGGATATTAGATATTATGGAAACTAGAAAGACTAATGATTAAAAACTGAGATGAATTAGAATTACAATTAACTGAGAATAAGCGGCGACTTTTATTATATAACTGCTTTTATGTCATTCATGAACTTTATCAAGCCACGGGCGTTATGTTTATTCTTCGACCGAAGAAAGTTAGCTTCCGCCGTCATCATCCGCAGTTTGCGATCCTAAGCTAATTCTTCGCTTCTCGAATCTTTTGCACTTGAAGGCAATGTGTCTTGGATCCTTCAAGCATTGGCATGTTGGGCAGTGACCGCTCTTAGCTAGACCCATTAGATGTAGATATTTATTGGTTCTACCGTGGTTTGTCTTAAGCCTGGTCAGCTTGACTAAGCTGGAGGGGTCGAGATGATATTTAAGAATAGCAAACCATGGGAACCAGTGCTATCTTCTGTTGAACTGCATGATGGTCCTTACCCTTCGAGGCACATTCCCAGTCGTAGAAATGCTGCCAGTCTTTCATTATTTCCTCCCTCACTACTCTTATCAAATCCAGTAAAGGGACCTTCGCATTTATTCGATGTAGTTGGTTTTTATTTGCCGTTTTGTCTGCCATTTCATTTCCTGATATTGCTGCGTGTCCCGGTACCCACTGGAAAAAGTAATTGTTGCTGGCGTTGTATATTAGCGATATAATTCTAAAGGAAATGTGTTATTTTGATAGATTAATTTTAGGTGTTTACATGCAGTTGCTGAGTATGTCAGAATAACTATTTCTTGGTTGATCTATCTCTTTTCGCTGTATATTATGGCGTTAAGAATGGCATATAGTTCGGCGCTAAAAATACTGAAATCAACTGGTATTGATAATGAAAATTTCTGGTTCTTTTGGGGATCATATACAGCTATAGACGTTCAGTTACTTGTTTTTGATGCGTCTGTATAAATTTGTAGATAATTTGGGTAACAGTCCGTGATTGTGTTCAGTGCTAAATGGTTCAAACAAATTGATGGGTAGTCTATCTTCTTATTTATCTCCCACTCTCATGCCAACTTATGGTTGCAAACTATTAAGCATGCATGCATAATAACTAGAGAGACTGGTTCTTGCAATGAAAATCCGAAAAACGTACATCAATAATTCAAAATATTTAAAATTTGAAATAAACATCTAAAACTTGCAAAAATGATCTATATTGTTTAGTTTTTTATATCAAAAGATCAAAATGTGATCAAACCTTGTGTGAAGCTTCTGATTTAAAATAATTTTTAATGAAAAAAATAAAATTAAATTAAACTGCAATGTTGCAAATTTTAGGAAACTTAAAAAATGCACAGTAATATTTTAGATTTTCAAGCGTTCAAATATTAGTCTTGATGCTAAAAAAACATTCAATACTCTAATAATTGCATAGATTTGTTCTATAATGGATGTCTACCTAATTGATTTAGGGGGAGGGGGAGGAGGGGTTGCAGAAGATAACTTTCTCATAAAATTTCAACTCGGGATAAGTTGATATCCATATTTTAATTTTCAGATCTTAATTTCGGCATTATTATTTTTTTCTTCTTCAATTTTATAAAATTTTTAATATTAATGAAATTACTAGAATACATTAATACTATAGATCACTCTTTACTAAGCGTATTAA